TTAAATACTATAGATTTCATGGTATTTTCTCATGTGTAACTTGTGCAATGCCATAAAATCAAAGTATTGTAAGTATTAAAATACACTAATGAGTATTTTTATGGAACTGAAACAGTGGATGCATAGAGGTAATACAGTCATAACCATTTCGTCTTCAGAATATTGCAATAATTATAATAAGTAAATTACTGTTGTCATCAAAAACAAAAAAATTTAAAAGTAGTAGTTCTAGAGTTCTGTATTCCTCGATCTCTTAACTTATCGATACTTAATTTCTTTTCCATGAATTAGTTCAATGAGCTATAAATCATGCCACACTTTGTAGGTGATGAGATTAATTAACACGATTTCCACATAGAGCAGATAGAAGAATGGCTTTAATTAATCTCTCCAAAAATCTCATATTCCTCCTTTATATTCCGATGCTTGATACTAGTTAATGCATGTATATATGGAGTCTTGCTCTCCACGGTGTGAATGACTACAGTCATATCGGTTAGAGAGTTTCATTTGCGTCTACATAATTAGTTGTCCAAATTTTAAAATCACGGACATTATTTAAATTGGTTGTAAGGGTTACCCGTTAGATCGGTTGGTTATTAAACCATTACAAAATTTTCTTTGTATCATAACTATCATGGTCCAATAAACTGTTCGGTTTTTTGTCCTTTCGACATAATGAGAAACCAAAAAGTCGACCAAAATATAAATTAAAATGCATGGATAAAAAAAAAATAATAATAGTAAAACCAAACTGATGGAATTATGGAACAGAGTCACAGACCATATCAACTGTCTGCAGGGAAGAAGATTTTGGTGTGTCTACATATGCGTGCGAAACTGCTTATAAGTTATAATAATAAAACAAATTAAGAATCTTTTTGATTAGTCAGATAAATCCAATAACAGTAAAATTGGTTATAGTTTTCTTCGTTATTGAAATATATGTGTTTACATATGCATATTTGTTTCGTTTTTTTTTTGTGTTTTTAAGTATTTTGTTTATTAAAAATGTAAAAAAATATATTAAAAATATAAAAAAATATTTTGAAATGTGACAATTATTATTATTTAATTCTAAAAAGATCAACTAAAAAAGAAAACAAAGCCTAAACTTTACAGGAATCATGCATATGCTTCTCGAACGTACGGTACGGTCACTGTTTTGGACTAGGTCCAAATGCATTTAACCAATTAAACAAGTCTCTGACTATTAATTCCAACAAATTTAAATATTACGTACACATGAGAATTTTCTTTGGAGTTTACTCTGTTATTTTAATCGAATTAATTTTATATTTATTTGATTTGGTAAAGAATTCCATCTGGAAGAAACTAATAAATTATAAACACTAGTCTGACAATTCTAGAATTGATTGCTAATTAAATTGTAAAAGGTCGACGGCTCCTGAAGATTTTCGAAATGTTGAAAACAAGTTGCAATCATGAACAATTTTATTTGTCAATCCAGAAGAAATAATTAATCATGAAACGAAAGAAAGTAATGGTGAGAACACCATGATTTTGTATAATATACATTGATTTTTAGTTTTTTTTTTTTTTTTTTACTAGTCTTGAATTCTAAGGGATGAATGTCTACGACCAACCAGTTTGCGCCCGCCCGCTCGATCGGCCATTCATTGTTCCCATTACGAACTTGATTTTTGCTAATGTAAAGCCTCCATCCCATGAAATTAAGGGAGTCCTCAATGCGTGTCTATTTAAAATGTGAATGCTTCTTGATTGCCAACTAATATACTCCCTCTATTACAAATTTTCAGTTTAAATTTTTATTTATATACTTAATTAAATGAACAAAAAAAATATATGTTTTTGATAGAAGCAATTTTGCTCCGAAAGTGTACATGTAAATATTTCATATAATGGCTACACTATCTAATGTGATGCGAGATTATAAAAACACACACTTTTGCTTTTGGCTATGATTTTCAGAAATAGGAGACCTTGGGACAGAACTAGGGGTGCAAAGGGTCTTCCGACCATGCGGCCGGCAAATTTTTTGGGAAAGATATCTTAAATTTCTTATCACTTTCTTTTTATTAATCTATTTTTACTCGACCCGGAGAATAAAATTGAATTTTTTTAAAAAAATAAAATAAAATTGCTCCACACAAAGTGGATGCGAGTCCGTATCCAGTGCACCCGAGTATACCGTATATCCCCACCAAACACACGCATTACATGCGCTTAATGTTTTTCACCTTTACATTAAATGCTGGTTATCCACCCATTTCATACTGGTTATCCACAAGTTGTAAACTGGTTATCCAGAAGATATAAACTGATTATCCACAATTTGTAAATTGGTTATCCACAAGGTGTAAATTGGTTATCCACAAGTTGTAAACTGGTTATCCAGAAGGGGTAAACTGATTATCCACAATTCCCAAACAACAAAAATTGAGTATCCCAATTTCTTGGTCTTTCTACTTCTTTATTAAACTGCTTATCCTATGATGTTATCCTATTTATCCAATATTTCTTTGCTGATTATCCAATGCTCTGTGTTGATTATCCAGGACTTTTCTACTGGTTATCCAGCCAATATGCAGCAATATCCAACCGTTTGTAATGGTTATCCAGGATCTTTGTACTAGTTATCCAACTTGTTACACCTGATTATCCGATTGTTTTATAGTGATTATCCTGTAAAAAAATGCAAGTACAGTCTTTAACCTGATTATCCATGAGTTTATACTTGTTATCCAAAACCTTAATACTGCTTATCCATATGTAACTAATGTCTATCCACCATGTGGACATAACAAAACAAGGATTCAGAGAGAGTTTCCAAAAAGACATAACAAAAGAAAATATCCATAAGAAAATGGCTATCCAAACGGCATGATAAACTAAACAACTCCCGCGGCTACCGGAATCACAAGTCACCAACTTGCCCCGGCTGCACCGCCTTGCCGAACACGCCAATGTAGCTAAGGTAATCCTTTTTTCGTGTGTGTGTAAGGAGAGTGTGTTATTGCGTTAAGAGGGGACACAAATTACTTGTATAAATCCCCCCGTGATAAACTAAACGACCCGGCTACGCCGATGCCCGCGGCTGCGCCGCCTTTCGCGACTGTGCCGCCCCCATGCCGAACATGGCAAATTTCATAAATAGTATTTAATTGAATGAGGGGAAGTTTGCCAAATGATGGAGAACAAAACATAAATGAGGGGCAGCTGGATAACCAGTGTAAAAAATACGGACAAGGATATCCAAGAAAAATATAAAAGGGAAAAAAATGAAATTTGGCAACTGGTTATCCAGCTGTGTGTAACTGGTTATCCATAATGTGCACACTAGTTATCCACTATGTCCATACTGGTTATCCAACAGGTTAATAATGGTTATCCAGCTGTGTGTAACTGGTTATCCATAGTGCCAACACTGGTTATCCACATGGTGAACACTGGTTGTCCATAGTGTGTAGCTGGTTATTCATAATGTGCACACTGGTTATCCAATATCCAATTTGAATGAATTCGTTAATTTATATATGTCACGTTTAAAAAAAAAAAAAAAGAAGGATGAATTATCTAACAAACTCACGCTATTCTAAGAGAATAAAGTACATGCGCAGGGGAGTACACGGTCCCCCCGGGTGTACCAGATAATTTGCCGTGGATGCAATAACTGTAAGAAGAAATGTATTTTCCCCAATGTACCCGAGAGCGGTTTTTCTTTTGGACGTTACAATTTCAGTTGTTAAATACTCCCTCCCGGTCTTTATTATAAGGTATTTTGATTTCGTCCTAAGTATAATTTAGGATGTCTTTTTAATTAGAAAAAAATCTTAAAAATATATTTTCACGTTCGTTGTGTTCTCTTAATTATTATGAATGGTTTTAAGATTTTTATTCTAATTAAACATAAATCTTAGATGAAACCTGGAACGAAATCAAAATAATTTATAATAAGGATAAAAGGGAGTGCCTTGGACAGGTCATCTTGTCTAAACATGGATATATAATGGTGATTAAACTATTTAATCCATAAATTTTCATACACGGATAAAAAAACAATCAACATGTTGATTGAATTATATGAATTGGATAGCAAGCTATTAGTAGCATAGTATTTAACCACCCATTCCTGAAAGTTGAAAACGCCATTTCAAAGGGGCATACGAGACAATGGGAGAAAGCTCCATTCAACTTCCTAGGTAATTTTAGGTAGCGTAAAGTTTATCATTTTGTAGCCCATTTGCTACAACCTGAGGCCCTCTTTTTTTGCTATTTTGCCATGTTTCACTTCCACAAGTATCGGAATCTTCTCAAGAAGCCACCAATTCCCCTTTTTTAGTTTTTTATTCCACACACTTTAAAGTGATTGCAAAAAAATCGCATCCTTATCTTAAACCAAACAAAAATGACAAAACCAGTTTTTACTCGTCATAGTTCCACAGATTGCAAGAATTTAATAGAAAAATCGATCTTGGCTTGATGAATCGTGTGGAAAGATACATGATAATTTAATTATGATTTGGATTTGAACTTTACCGTGAATGGTAAAAAAAATATTATATGACACTTTTGTATCATATATATATAATTTTTTGTAATATTAATTCTTAGTTAAAATTTTAATACGTGTTCAATTGGTTTGTCCAACACAGTTCACTTATTATTAAGTTAGGGTGTTAGTATTAAATTATTTTTATACTCATACAAGCCTTTTAACAAGGATCAAAGACAATGCAATACAAAATGTAACTAAAATTACTTACACCATGACCATGTTACGTCTTTGTAAAAATGTTATCCGATACGAATCTAGATTAGTCGTGATAGGATCTAATATTATATCATACCAAGAAATGCTACTAGGGAAGAGAAAAAGAAAAAAAAAAAAAAAAGCACAGAAGACAACAAAAAGCGTGTCAGTTGTTTGACGGTGTTTGTTTTTCTATTCTTATTGTCACACTTGATAAAATACATAAAATCTGTGCCTGCCGAAGATTGATTGAAGGAGTAGTAAAGTGGACTAGGCTTGGTGGGGTTCTATATCATTCTAGAACAAAATTCTTTTTTATAAAAACTACTACTACTCGAGTACAGCCACTTTCTTCGGTCCATGTCCCCGCCACAACAAATTCTCCAAATTTGATCTTTTTAATTTTATCGATCGTATAAAAACAGTCCAAAACACGTCTCTACAAAAGAAAGAGAGAAATTAAGAAAGAAAGAAAGAAGAGAGAAATTCACTTCCTTCAACTTGTTCCGTTAATCAAAATCCTTCCGGTGTGTTTTGCCTCTTCTTTCTTGAGAGATAAAGTTATGGTCGTTTACTATGTTTGGTGGATTATTGGCGAAGGAGGAGAAGATCAGAGTAATGGAAACTAATTTCACCTTATTCATGCGATCCAACCACGATCTTGTTCATTCTGGTGTTTTTCTCTCTGGGTTTTACTGCTGGGATTGGGAATTCCTCACCGCCCTTCTTCTCTTTAGTTGTTAAATTTTCCGATTTCTCCTCTCATTTTTTCGTTTTTTCTTTTTGCCTCCCCTTAACTCAGTAATTAACGATTTACTCAAATACAATTTAACCGAATTTTATCAATCAATTAGTAGTTTCTTTTTATTAGTATCATTTCTTCGGGTGTTTTTGGTCTCGGCAGCCGGGTTTTGGTGAATTAAGGGTAGCGGCCGGGGCGGCGAAACGTAGAGAGAGAGAGAGATGACGCAGAGGACGGTTCCGGCACCGTTTCTGACGAAGACGTATCAGTTGGTGGATGATCCGGGGAGCGACGATATAATATCGTGGAATGAAAGCGGTACGACTTTCGTGGTTTGGAAAACCGCGGAGTTTGCTAAGGACTTGCTGCCTAACTATTTCAAGCACAATAACTTCTCCAGCTTCGTTCGGCAGCTCAACACCTATGTAAGTTTTTCTCTCTTTTTTTTTTTATTATTATTAAAAAAACAATTTAATTATTGGCCATGTAACGTAATAAGTAATAAAAGAAAAAAAGCTCTAATCAACTTGGTTTTTAAATAATCGTAATAAATAATGTTGATTAATATTTTTGTCTTCGCTTATGACAATTTTTATTGTCTTCTAGTTATTTGGGACTATCGTGTTTTATATTCGCATTTTGTGGCTTTAGTTGTGTCAAGTTAAAGTTATCCTGCCTCCAATAGGATCTTCGTGGTAGTGAAATTACCCACTACACACACACACACACAGACTTAAAAAAGGACATAGTAATTAAATTTAGCGTATGTAATTTGATTAACCCCCTCCCCCAAAAAAAGTTGTTGGAAAGTAGTATTTTAATGGCTTTTACGTATTCATCTTTTTCGTTAAAACTTAAATCAGTCACTCCATTATGGTTTATCCAGATGTCAAGTTATCAATAACCTATTGTTATTTGTTCCGGTTAAATGGTCTTGGCCTCTCTGGTTCTAGGTTATATACTGTAATCGTTATCAGCGTTACAAATAAGATGCTAATTTTGGTACTGGGGAGTACTAATCTTATTTTTTTATTTCTCAAATAAGATACTAACTTTTTCATTTTTAAATTATTTATAACATAGTGAATAGAATAATTTTATTATTATTATTATTTTTTTTTGGTACAAAAGAGGGAGGTCTTTGCGTATTTCATACAATTACATTACTGGGTAAGAGACCCCGATTACAAGAATAATTATCATTATAAGAAAGAGAGAGTGATTTGCAACGTATACAGCGTGAATAAGGGTAAGAGGGAAGTAAAAAATGTCTGATAAATCAAAGATTAGAGCGGTCAATGTTCCAAAGCCGAAAACCAACCAAATTTCATTCCCTTATAGGAACGTAAATTTTGAAACGTAAAATAAACCACAAAGGGAGGACAATTTCGTTTGGGAGTTTGAAATGTACTCATTAGGAAATTGAATTTCGTTTTCTCAACTACCTTAAGAACTTTGGAAATTGATAAGACTATGTTGACTGTTGACCCACAATATGTCTTATGTATCAGAAAAGATATACATATAAGCTTTTTTTTTTTTTTGTAAATGTCGCAAAAAAAGTTGAAAAGATATTTGTTTACCAAAGGGAAATTAAGAAGAAAAAAACAAGGCAAAAAGAAACGTTTTCTATTTTCAGGAATCATTTTTAAGAAAAAGATTTATCGAAGGAAAGTACTCCTATCAAATCCAAGTATAGCTGTGAAATTAATCGAACTTTCTTGGGGGGCCCTTCAGTGGCTTAACCCATCCTTTTTGCTTAAAGAAATTGTTTCCTGAATAGCCGAGAAATAGGGTCCACCGTCCTCAACCTCTGATGTGTCCATTAATATCCATCTGAAGAAAGATCCTCATTATGGCTTTAGTCACTGTGTGGGCCACATCTTTGACTTTTCCCAAAACTTGTATTGCTAACTGCTCTATAAGAAAAATATAAATTTGAATAAATTTAGGAACGAGGCAGTATGTCATTAAGCTGTTCTTTGTCGTAGCTGATAAAAATCTCCATGTTGGTTTAATTTAAGTCATTAATACGGTTCTTCCAATTTGACGGCGAAGCATTCTATGTTACACCACCATGCATTATCGTCTAGTAGAATTTGGCGCCGATATGGCGCCGTTATTCTTAGAAGGAAAATCTGAAATATTGGTACCTTTTTACTTTTGTATACTGTGTTGGGTCCAGAAAGTCGTATATTTTCCACTGTGTTTGGCAGGGTCCAAGTTTAGGGGTTGGAAATTGGTATCCAAAACTGTAGCCAGTCAGTCAATGTGAGTTAAAATAACGTGAGGAATTGAAATTATGGTACTCGGCTTTGGAATTTTCTTGTGTGAAGGAACTAATTAACGTTATCTTTTCATTTTTCTTCCACGAAGACAATTAGACGAACATATCAAAAGTTTCCAGATTCTATGCTGTTGACATTTGTGGTATTCTCCCTTGTTTCTATTGGGTTGTTGAAGTGTGAAAAGGGGTTTTGGATTTGGTTTTGAATCAATTCGCTGATGGTGATGTTTGGTCTTACTCGTTGCCCTTCTATGATTCCATTTCCACACTTGCTAATAGCCTAATATCGACCACAAAAATAGTCCTTCCGTTCCACAAAAATAGTCCAGTTTAATAAAAAAATTTATCCAAAAAAAAATAGTTCAGTTTCACAACAGTCAAAAATAAATTGAATTGAAATGATTTAAATATCTAAAAGAGTAATGGTAAGGAAAACAATGTCCACTTCCTTTGATTTTCATTTTTTTTAGTTTTCTCATATTTTTTCAAATGATTATATCTTTTAATACATAAATAATTAAAAAAATGTGTTAAATATCAAATTAATTTATGTAACGAGATCTTTCTCTCAAGATTCATTGTCAATATTTTTTGAGATAAAAATTTTGATCAAATTTAAGTTGTAAAATAAATGCATGTGTGATTAACTTTTATAGAAATAATTAGAAGGGACATTAGTGGAAGTTAGGGGCATAAAATGAGTTACACATTTGGTATGTTGACCAAATTAAAAAAGTTGTACATTTTTAAACTGGACTATTTTTCTAGGACGTAGGGATTATATATATCTTTTTAGGTGTGTTTTAAGAGGATCAAAAAGTTTATTTGAAGCATCAAAATGTAAGATTGAGATCTTGTTTAAGGCGAAAGAGTGACTAGACATGTACTATCCCGTCCCAATAAAATTAGTAATTTTTAAATTTGTATTAAAAATAATACAAAATTTAAAACTTATCGTGGACTTATTTTTTTGGGACGGAGGAGGTATAATTTAGTGGGTTTCTTCGTTGTAATTTAAGTGCTCCCATTACGATCTAGCATTAATATTGTACTTTCATGACCATGTATATAAATACTTTTTCAATTTCAAAAATAATTTTGTTTAAAATTTCACTCATAATATAATTTATACTAAAAATAAAAAATCTAATTGAACAATTTTTTCATAAATATAATGTTCACATTCTAATGATCTTAATTTGTTTCTTTCATTAGTTTGTTTCATTTGGCATGAAAAAAGCAGTTCAATAAATTTTATTGACTTGAGTTTGAAATATGTGGATGTTTGAAGAAAATAGTTTATTTTTGGTGGAATGAGTCAGAAATATGTTATGACTCCTTCTCAACAAAGATATAAAACACACAAGTATGGTGAATCTCATATGACCATTCCCTTATCTCCTCCTAAATATTCCCAAGTAAATTCAGATCAATTCCAGGAATACTCGTTTAAGGCATTAATAATAATGTCTTGACTTAAATAAAAGCATAAAGAAAAATGTCGGCAGTGAGCTTTTATGATCAGTAGGTGCATGCTGATTTTACAATCACGAGACACTCACGTGGGTTACTACCTTGTTCTGCAGGGCTTCCGCAAAATTGTTCCAGACAAATGGGAATTTGCCAACGAAAATTTCAAGCGAGGGCACAAAGAGCTCCTCACAGAGATCCGACGCAGGAAAACCATTGCAACGGCCGCAAATGGAATGTCCAACGCTGCTGCCAATCCCAGCTCCACCGAGAACTCCGGTGACGACCAGGGCTCCAGCTCAACATCCTCCCCAGACTCGAAGAACCCAGGGTCGGTCGACACCCCTTCCGCGGAGCAGTTCGCGGACTTGTCCGGCGAGAACGAGAAGCTGAAAAAGGACAATCAGATGTTGAGTTCGGAGCTGGCACAGACCAAGAAACAGTGCGATGATCTCATTGCATTTCTGACCAAGTATCTGAAAGTTGAACCGGACCAAATCAACAGCATCATGACCCAACAAGGCATAAATTCCGGGTCTAGCCAGGGTGCGATGGTCAGTACTGACGTCGGCTTAAACAGCCTTATGGATAAAGATAACAATACTAGTTATGACGATGATGATGACGAAAATGAGAATGGGAAGAGTTTGAAGTTGTTCGGGGTGACGTTATCAAAAGGGAAGAACAAAAAGCGGGGTCGCGAGGATGAGACTTTTGGTGATGATGGACAAAAGAAGGGAATCAAGACCGTTGACTTTTGTGCTGCCCCAGTCTGGTTGAAACCCGCTTCCTATTCCGGTGAAAGCAGCAAGGTTTGTAACTGAACCGGTTTTTTGTTGCTTTTTTCGGCTTCGACAAAGTTGAGGTCGAAGTCGAAGCTATCAAAAACTGCGTTAACGAGACAATGTATCTTAGTATAAGTATAGGGTGATATGGTAATATAGAAGAACGCCGTTAGATCCCCGTTAGTCCGCAATCTTTAGATTAGATTGCGAGTTCAGACATTAGAATAATGGGATTTGGAGTATTCATATTTGTTGTTGCGAACAAATTTGTAAGATTATAACTTTGTTTAAGGAGGAGCTTGGATCAGAGGCAAAATGCCGTCTCCAGCTCGAGTCATAATAGATGGATGCTTATATATTTGAGAAATTATTACAGTAGTAATTAATTACATTTGGCCAACTTTAAGATGTAGAGTACGTATGGACAACAATAATCGTAGCAACAATTTGTAGGGATGGATGTAAACAAATATTGTTATCAAAGGTAAGCAAACCCAAGGTCCGGCTATTATTGGATGGGTTATACCAGGTAAACACGGGGTAATGTACAATGGAAATATGGAATATTTTCTCATATTTTCTGTTGATTTAGAGGATTGTTTGGATTACTGGATTTGTCCTAAGGTTTTGTTGAATTTTTGTTGTCGGTTGATGGAGGCCGAGGATAAGAAATTGGATGCGAACGTTTAAAATATTGAATTTCCTTTTGCATAATGTAATGAGGTTTAAGGGAAGTAACCAAGTAGAGAGAATTAAAAATGTGGTAGTTTTTACTAATTTCGTGTTTGGACAAATCGTAAACCTTAATCCGTGATGAAACCAAACATTTCCACATCGGTTATGGATATGATTATGTGCTTCGTGTTTATTGATTTATTCTATTAATTGTGCAAGAACCATGACAGATTGAAGAAACTACTACTTTAGAAATCATGTTGTTGCTAGAGTATCAAATTTGTAATATTTTTATGGTATGAAAATTTTAATGGGGTAATGTGAAAATTTTAAATCGACACCAACAAGTACTTGGTTCAAGTGTTAAAAGTATTAGATCAAGTTTAACTACGATCGGGGTTCGAACCAGAGTATGTACATACAACAATGATTAAACTACTTGTTGGATTAGTCAGAATCATGATTTCGAATACCGGTGCATAATATACTAAAAAGAATTAAATAGACAAGAATGTTTCCATGTGAGAATTTTATTTGGTGCGAGTATTAACAGTTGACAACCGTTAATGGACTAGTTTGGGATTTATTTCATTTTTTATAAAAAAAAGTAGTAACGATCAAAAAGTTTACTAATAAAATAACAATGCTTCTTCTAGTAAAGGAAATGAGGTAAAATCCAATTTAACTTAGATAACAATCGAATGTCAGGTGCCCATCATAATTTTGATTTTTGCGGGGATTGTTCAACTAGTGCAAATATGCCGGGTTAGAGACAGCTAAAGAGGCTAGAAAGTCCGCTGCAAAGATAAACATATTTTCTCTAGTAAATTTTGTTTGTGGGATTTTCAAAAATAACTTTTTTTTTTTTTTAAATGTTGACATATTCATTGGTTAACACTTATTTAGTCATTTTCTCGCGAAATGATTGTCTAATTTGGTGAGAAGTCTTGTGTGACAAGTGTTTGATCATAAATATAAGTGGGTTCAGTGATCATTTAATTAGAATGTTAGTATTATTGATAATGACACGTATCAACTATTTAACTAGTGTCATATCGAGTACTGCTGTAACGCAAAAATGTTGAAGACCATGACACCTCGTGTCATCCGATCTGTATTTTTATTTTGAGTATAATTAAAAATATAAACCGTATAAAATTTTTGGGATAGATGGATCGTGTCCTCAAAAATATCTTTGGGCCTGCCTCAACAAAAGCAGAGAAGTCCATAATTGTACGCTACTGGAAGGCCTGTTTTACAATTTAACCTTATTGTCTACTTCTCTCTGTGTATAACAAACCAGTAAGTAAGAGCGTAAAAAGCACACAAAAAAGTGAAAAACCCCCTCAAATGGCCGTGATTCCGTGAAGAATGGCAACTCCGAGTCACATCCTCAGCTCAGCACTCGTCCCTCCTCTTCATCGTCCTTACACTGCCAATTCCTTTTCTCCTACTTCTCCTCTCCCTCGATTTTGTTCATCACGGAAACCATCATCATCGGTAACAGTGGCTAAATCCCAGATGATGGACCCTCAAACAAAGTTCACGGATTTCCCTCATGCATCCGCCCCAGTTAAGGAGCTGATGCTGGACTTGATGAATTCAGTGGAAACCCGTATTGGGTCTTCCCTTCTTCCCTGTTCTCTTCCCCCTGATGTGCAGTTCTACGAGAACTCAACCGGGACGGCTCAAGGCACCCTTCTTGTCAGATCCGGCATCCCCTCTTCCCCTGTACTGTCTCCTTTTATCCTCCTCCCAATTTTACATTGATTAATCATCTTGTTACTACGTTAAATTGCTAATTATTTATAGCTTTGCACGAAGCTGCCTTCTTGCTTTTATCGATGTTTTTTTACCTAGCCACTCAGCCTGCCCTATCCTCCAAGTTGTGTTTTGTATGCAGTGTTCGAGTTTGAATTGCATGTGGTTTGATTGTTAATAGGCGTAAAAGATGTTTGTTGCGAGATAACATTTGGTAGTATGGCAACTGTTTTGAGTTTGAATTGCATTAGTTTGATTTCAGTATTAACACTTTAGTTTTTTTTTTTCTAAAAAAATGTTCGTGGTGAGATGACGTTTGGTAGCTTGGTTAAAAAAGCTCGTACTTATATAAGCACGAGTTTGATCTTCTTGTCCTCAATCTTTGATTTGGGGCTACAAGAGGAAGAACAAGACAGACTCGTGCTTATATAGGTGGAAGCTTTATAATCTTGTTTGCTAAATCTTATCTCAGAGAGCATTATTTATTTCATAAAAGAATTCTAGCTCTTAGTTAAGACTTTACTAAAGTAGAAGAGGTAAAATTTTCTAGCTGAAAGTGCTGTGACTAAGTAAATGGTGATCAGCTATTTCTATCAGGAGGTCCTAATTTTATGCATTGCCCTTAATGGACATGAATTCATGTAGTTGTTTGATTAAGTCCTTCCATGATCCATTGGATGAGTTTGCTTCAAAAAAGTAGAGGAAAACCATTAAAATATAGTTTTACATGCTGTCATTATGCAGAGGAGATTATCTTGTTCTTGAACTTCGGTTTGGCTCCTGCCTCACACAGTAAAGTTACATCAAATGCTTGAGTCAATATACCACCTTCAATTATTTGTTACAGAATGTTATAATAAGATTTATGTTGCAAATCCTCCAATATTCATACATTCTCCTTACATTCATAGGAAAGTTCTAGCACATTTCTTTCATACGAAACAAACATGAAATGCAGTGATTTTCTGCATGACAGGTTGATTTTATCTTAGGAAGCTGGGTTCACTGTAAGCTGCCGTCTGGAGAAGCCTTAAACATTACTAGCCTTTCAACCTACATGAAGCCATTAACTGATGCCCCAAACTTCATTGTTGAGATCATACAGGGTAGTCCAACATCTCTAGTTGTAATTCTTGATATGCCCCCAAGAAAGGATCTTGTCTTACATCCTGAGTACTTGAAAACGTTTTACGAAGACACTCAGTTGGACATGCACAGGCAACTTCTCGAAAAGCTGCCTGAAGTGACACCATATATCACCCCTTCACTATACATTCGAGCTCTTGTCTCCCCATCTGCAATTCTCGTGCGCATAGCAGAAGGTGACAAAACTGCTAAAATAGAAGAGATAATTCAAGATCAATTGAGGCCTATATCCAATGAGATTATGAAGGTCTGGTTGGATACATGTGCTTCTGGTGGAAGACCAGTGGAAAAGGATGAGATGGCTTGTTTGGCAAAGAGGGACCAAGTTACTAGAAGTAAGTCTATTGAGATTGATCTCGGCACAAGCCTTCCTCGATTGTTTGGAGAAGAAGTAGCGGGACGAGTTCTACAAGCATTAGAGGGAACTTTTAATGCTTGAATTACCGGGTCTTGTAAATGATAACAAAGTGATTCGTCTTTGTACTGTTAGAATAGCGATTCCAACAGAAGGAATAGTGTAATACACTCCGAAATTACTATGTATAAAGAACTAATGCAGTATAAATGTCTGTTTTCATGAAGTTTAAAGATTTCTCGCTCATTCTTTTATTCTGATGCATTCGCGATTCAGCCAATTTAAAAGCGCTGGATTCTGGAAAGTATGATCAGATTAGTCCAGAACGATTCCCACATAATAAAAAAATGGAGGCAAGATGCCAACTAGCTTTATAAAACGACCAACCAAACACTAGAACTTCAGACATGAAGAAATTGGGCTCAAAATTTGTACTATGTAAATTCCTTTTTTCCAACTCTTCTCTTCCAAAACCACGGCCAACCTGTTATTCCCGCTCAACTCGTCTCTTTTCTGTTACAAGCGGTCACTTCAAAAATGATCCCTCACTGCAAAGTTCCAAGCCCGTTTCAGATTGCAGAAATCTTGTATCTTTTCTTGCCCGGTGCAGAACGACGCGAGATTTGAAGACTTTGCTCTCTGCACTGATTTCGCAGGGATTAATCAGCCCGGAAATTCTCACTAAACATTTCATCAAACGGTGCTATGATTTGGGTGATCTCGAATTAGTTTTTTCCGCTGCTAAATTAGTTGGAACGAAATCGAGGCTCTTAACACAGAATTTGATGCTAAAGTGGTTGTGCGATAATGGGTTGTTTGAGGATGTTTTGATATACTTCGAAAAGTCTAGGTTTTCTGGGTGCCCGTCTGATAATTATACGTTTCCACTAGTTCTTAAAGCTTGCGCTGCTTTGAAGAACATTTCTTTGGGTAGGATTCTACATGGAGTAGTTTTGAGAAAGGGCTACGTTGAAAATGTAGTAGTACAGACAGCTATAGTCGGATTCTATTCGAAAAATGGTCGAATTTCGACTGCACGTCTAATGCTTGATAGAATGCCTGATCCAGATGTGGTTGCTTGGAATGCATTGATTTCAGGTTGTAGTGCGAATGGATATGATGAAGAGATTCTTGAGCTTTTTCAGGAGGCATTAGCAATAGGTTTGAGGCCAAATGTGAGCACTTTGGCAAGTCTAATTCCCGTTTGCTCCAGATTTGCGTGTATTCATGCTGGAAAATCTCTGCATGGCTTGGCGATTAAAAGTGGATTCATTATGGATGAATCCCTTATTCCATGTCTAATCTCAATGTATGCTAATTGTGGTAATTTTCAGCTGGCCAAGAGTATCTTTGATTCCTTTCATGACAAGTCTATTGCCATTTGGAACTCGATGATATCTGCAAGTACTGGAAACCAGAGATCAAACCATGCATTTGAACTGTTTCTTGAAATGCTTCAAGATGGCTTGCATCCGAACATGATTACTTTTGTATCAATTGTTCCTGCTTGTGACAATTTCACTCCCTTCTGGCATGGTGACTCTCTTCATGCTTGGGTTGTAAAATATGGACTAGTGAATCATAATTCTGTAGGGACAGCCTTGTTATCCATGTATGCAAAAGTTGGAGATATAAAATCTGTCGAACGTGTCTTCAACAGCATCCAGCAGAAGAATTTGCTATCTTGGAACTCACTGGTTTCAGCATACGTCAGCAACAGCCTCTTCGGTGCCAGTTTTAATACATTCCGTGAAATGCAGTTGGCCGGAGTCAATCCAGATGAAATATCTGTTATCAGTATTCTGTCTTCGTGCTCTGAGCTAGATGAAGCCTTTTTGATGGGGAAGTCCGTCCACTCATTTATTCTAAAGAAGGGAATCGAGTATAATCTCAATGTATGCAATGCTCTGCTGGCATTTTATTCGGGTTCTTGTTCAATGTATTCTGCTTTCGGTGTTTTCAATAGAATGAGTAAACAAAATATTATTTCGTGGAATATCATCTTATCAGGATGCCTGTACTCTGGAAAAACAGAGATTGCATTCGGCTTATTTCATCGGATGCTGCAAGAAGATATTGGTTTTGATTTGATTACACTAAAGACCCTACTCCCTGCTTGCAATGAAAATGGAGGTTTGATGCTAGGAGTGTCTATTCATGGATATTCTGTGAAAACTGGGTTTGACTCTGATGTTTCTTTCACTAATGCCCTTGTTAGTATGTATTTGGGATGTGGAGATATAGAATCAGGTACATATCTATTTGAAAACATGACTTGTAGAAATGTCATTTCCTGGAATGCTCTTCTATCAGGACATTGCCAACTCAATATGCTTATTGACATTGCTGGCTTTATTCAAAGGATGACAGAGGAAACGCAGAAACCAAATTACATTACATTGTTGAGTTTATTGCAGTTATGCAACATCTCTGTTCAAGGCAAGGCAATCCATGCATATGCTGTAAGGGCAGGGTTCATGCAAGAAACTCCTCTTCTCACATCTCTGATGCTAATGTATGCTAGATTTGGGAGCGCTAAATCATGTCAGTACATTTTTCAAATGGGACAAAATGGGAGTCTTTCCATGTGGAATGCAGTTATATCATCACACTTACTGTTAACTGATGCTGTCTCTGCGTTTTCTTTTTTTATTGATATGCTTCGAAGGGAGGTAGACCCTGATTGTGTCACTCTTCTCTGTGTGATATCAGTTTGTGTTCAGATAAATAACTTGACTTTCAGCGATGCCATCTTTGCTTATCTGATTCGGAAAGGATTTGACGAGCATGTTTCCATCAACAATGCCCTAATCGATCTGTATGCAAGGTGTGGCGACATTTCTGTGGCTAGAAGGCTGTTCGAATTGCTTCCTGGAAAGGATGCTATCTCATGGAGTGTGATGATTAATGGGTATGGTTTACACGGTGATGGCCAAGCTGCTTTGTCTCTCTTTTCATGCATGAGGGCTTCTGGTATGAAACCTGATGGTGTCACTTACTTAAATATATTATCAGCATGCAGCCATGCTGGTTTGGTTGAGGAGGGAAGAACAATATTCCACTCAATGATAGATGATGGGATCCTACCAAGGATGGATCACTATTCTTGCTTCGTTGGCCTTCTTTGTAGAACAGGTTATCTGGATGAGGCTTATGATATCCTAAGGAATTTACCCTGCAAATTTTCTGAAGAGATACTTGTCTCGTTGTTAGGTGCATGTCTAACACATGGCAACATTCAGCTCGGGGAAGAACTTGGTAAGATGATTCCAGGGTTGCAATCAACACATTCAGGGCTGTACGTGATGCTTCACAACATATATGCAGCTGCTGGGAGATGGACAGATGCCAATAGGATAAGGTCAGAAATGGAAGAAAAGAAATTAACAAAAGTAGCTGGCGTTAGCATGGTGGAGGAAAATGGATAATGATTGCAATTCCTACATGATAGCAGAAAGGCAAGTCAATCCGCTTTGTGCTGGGAGCCAAAGGGATAAATTTGGCTAATGTGTAGAAACCGAAGGGCCAAGTTTGAAATCGGCTACATGGAAAATGCGCACTCAAAGCTTGTATGAACTCCACTAATGAAGTTGTGAAATGGTGAAAGCAGATTCCTATAGCTTTGGGAGCTGCAGTTATCAACCCTTGCAGATTACAAGAGATATGTAAGCCACTGCTTATGCCTGGCTTACTGCATCTTCCTCTCCGGGTCTGTTTTTCTCATCAGTCTGCATCCATGTAAAACCAGAGTTATGATGTCAAATGTGATTAGTACAGAACGTACATTTTTTGAATTCTGAGTACATAAAGCTTTAGTTGGACAATTCCAGTTGCACGAGATGACGCAATAATCACATTTTACTGAATTATGTTAGTTAAAAACAAACGTAATTACAATTGAGATTTCGAATGGTCAGTTTGGTTAAACGATGTTTGAGTTTAGTCCTTGGACGGTGAATGCCCATAATTGATGGATCATAAACCAAGGCTGTATGAACAAGAATGCAAGTGAGACGAAGTTGCATAGATAACAAGGAAGCGTGTTTTAAGGGGCCTCTATTTTTCCCGACATCTGAAGCCCAGTTTTAAGTTTTAACCTCTTAACCAAATCCCATGTAATGGGATGTGTCAAAAGCAATGTTTTGTTCTAGCCTATTATGACTCAAATATTTTCATACTTTGTCTCCAGTTCAAGTCGGCAGTTTGGCTTGTACAGTTGTACTACAATATTGATCCGTCAAAACTTTTTTCAGAAAAGGACAATACCGGTCTGAACTCGTAGTCTAAACCTGGAATCCGCTATCAACTTGTTTTGAAAGAGTTTGGCATGCACTATAATCCGGCACTCTTTGATTGAAACTTTACTCAAGAGTTAGGATTACACTTTAATTAATCTTTGTTCTCTTGATAACGTATAAACTCATGATCCTCTAATAGTGTTAAAATGTCACAATGTTTGTAAGATCGTGATCCTACGCAGCATCGAAATAAAATCACAGGATTGGATCGTACATGAGATCAGTAAAATCGGAACAGTAGAATCGTAATAATATAAAATTATTTAAAATTATATATCTGAAGCAATAGGTGTATTTTTCCAATTTATTTGTTTCCTATAGAACAAAACAAATTTTAATTTCTCAATCTTTTAAGTTGTAAGCATGTACGCGGTCATGAGTATGTTTCATTTTATCAAAACTCTTCACAAAAATATCATAGTTAGTTTATGTTTATTTAGTTGAGTGAAAACTATTATTTTAATTAAAATAGTTCCAATATAATTGGTACAATTTATTATATATATATATATATATATATATATATATATATATACTAATTCTTAGCTATTGTTTTGGTTTGTTTTTTTTTTAAAAAAAAAAACTTTTTACTAGTAAGTTATAATTCGCATGCATAAGATATCTAACCAATTGATCCTTTAATTAAAACATTAATTAACTTTATTATTTATCTGTTTGACTCATAATACTAATAAACCTGAATCAGTTAAAGACTCTGATTTTTTGTTTGACCGCTCAAACAAAAATACTCTATTTCTTTATTTCTTTGGAAATAATTAATTGCAAATTTTCCTTCCTTCTCCATCATCTCCTCCAAGACGCCGTTATGCTCACAGTGAGCATTTGTTCCTCCAAAAAACAAAGCAGTGGAGGCCAAATTGCAAGAATTAAATCAGATTTGAAGACCATTATTTGGGACTAAGAAATTAATGGCACCCATCTCTTTTTTATTAAATTGATTTGTGAGTTTATATAACTCCCACCGTCCCACGCTTTCCAAGAACTCAAACCCCCCAAATTCATCTTTCTGTTATCTTCTCCCGGATCTCTTTCATAACCAAATTGATCAATTGTTCTAGAATCGTTGAACTCGGCGGACATCCATTCCGAACGATAATGACGATTTCACTCCGAGTCCAAGACAAAAAACGATTTTGAGCGAGTTAGGATCGATTTCACCATCTCGGATTGCGGGATCGTCCGATTCGATCTGGATCGCGAGTTTGCAAATTGCTCTCAACATAAAGTATTATTCCCTTCCTCTCCTCCTTATTATAAAAAGTTTTGATTTATCTAAAATTTCATCTAGCATGTTTTTTTAATGGTAAAATTAAAACCCTAAAATATTTTATAATAATTAGAAGAATATATTTTTATAAGTCATACTAGGTTCTGGACCCGTGCATATGCATGGGTTTCAAATTGTTTTCGAATTTTAGTTATATTTATATTTTTACCATTATAAGTGTAATATTCCTGCTATGTTATTATGTTATAATGTTATTTGATCAACAAAAGCTCATCTAATCATATTTATAATGTACTATTGAAAGTTAACTTGGAACTTAGAAGCATCAATTGAATGTCTTCGTAAAAAAAAGTTTTCTTATTCGAGCTACATAGACATATATACCTATCATCATTTTTAGATGAATAAGTCCATTTCTCCTCACTTACTATTCTTTGTTTTAATGCTCTTTTATCTTATTATTCATTTATCTTCATTAAATTAATTTTTTTCCAACAAACCGTGATCAATAAATTTGGCCTTAAAACAATAGCAGTTTTTTGCCAGATTCAGAGAAAATCAGAAATAAAATAGCATCATAAACTACAAAAAGTAACTAGCTTCTTTGGGGTGAATTTTCCAAGAATCATCTCAGATAATAACTTTGAAATCAAATCCTGCAACCTAAGGATCATAAATTCTAATTATTACTGGATAAAAGCTCCAAACAGTTTTTAGGTTGTCGGTTTCCTTCTTGGCGAAGTTTCTTCTTCTCTTTCACTTCATTCCCTTGGCTGGTATCAAAACCAGGGACTTTCCCATGAGCACATTTATCTTCACTTTTTTAAGGAATTTCTTAGTTTACTCCATAAACTTTACCAAATCCTTCTTAGTCGAATGTATAATTTTTTTTTTTAAGGAATTGAACATTTTAAATTAGAAGTTGAATGTGTAATATATAGCTTAACATGTAATTTTTTTTTTCTGTGCAGCATGGAAAGGGTTTGTTGCATGGGAAAAAAATCACCCATGGTACTGCCAAGTAATCACCCCAACAATTAAGAATAGGAATAATGTATTTCTTTCTTTTTTGTATATTTTATTTTATTTGATTTTATTTTGTTTTGATTTGGGTGAGGAGATTTTTTAGGAAATAAAGACACTTGAAATTTTTGTAAAAAAATAATTTTTGTTATAACGGAAGTTATTATTATTATTATTATTATTATTATTATTATTATTATTATTATTATAGATAGATTATAGATTATAGATTTTTTTAAAACATAATTAAAAGATTTTATTTTCAATTGGAAGAATATAATAAATAAAAACTAAGATAAATCCAAATGCCTTATGTTCCCTTTGGTCCTTACTATAAGGCATTTTTATGCCTATGTTTCATATATGTTGTTCTTTCAATTAAAAATGAAACCTTAAACATGTTTTATAATGATTGGGAGAGTATAATAAATGTGAAAATGCATTATCTCTTGTTTTTACTCTCTTCCTACCCAAAAAAAGTCCAAACAGAACAATTATTACAGGAAAAAGAAATATTTGGATGAAGATTTTTCGGGCGTAGGAGTTGGAACCTAGGAGTTGCATTGCATTCTCAAACATAGTTACCTAAAATTCTTTGATGTGGTTAGAGGAGAACTCAGGTGGTGGACCAGAAAACCTAAGAACTGTCCATTTATTAGTACGATGTCCGCAATTGTATTGCGGCCTTCCCGTGACGCCCTCCGCCCCATGACCCGTCATCATCATCTCAATTCTCATCTGTATTCATTAAACTAACTATGTACTTTTAAGTCCAAGCTAAATCCATATCACATTTGACCCACGCGAAATAATACTACCACGTTTGAAAAGAAAAAAAAAAAAAAAAAAAGAAACCCCGCCCGCTAATTACTTGAACCAAAGATAACATATATATCATGATTGCCAGCCGACAGACTTTCAGTATTCAGATTAAAGATTTTTGGTACGAGGAAGAAGAAGAAGCGTGCGGCTTTCGGACTTCTTGCTAGTATTGTACAAAGATTCAGTTGTCATTTTGTAGCAAACTTCCACCTAGCTTCTGAGAACAGAAGTGTATAATACTATAACACTTCTATAATCCTATTTATATAAGCCATTCGGCCTTTACCATTTTGAGTTGAAAAGTTTGACTCTTGTTTCCTCAGTGATTGTCCCAATTATTTTTAAAAAAGACAGATTTCATTCTGTCTTATTTACTTCGATACAATGGAAGGACGCTTGGAAAATTCGAAATTTTTATCACTTGAAGAAGAACAAGACCGCATGGTCTCCGCCCTGAAGCACATTCTCAGCGGAAGTGATAACGAAGGTGGAACTGACAGCGCGGCCACCGCGTCATCATCGGCCCCAATATCGACGGGATTGCCGGATTTCAACACTAAGGAACCATTAATGAAGCGGAAGAAGAATAAAAAGAAGAAGAAGAAGAAGAAGAGCGGGAAAATGTACAGGGGAGTTCGAGAAAGGCAAAGCAGCTCACAGGGGACAAGATGGGTGGCGGAAATATGGGATCCAAATCGAGGGAAGCGTCAATGGCTGGGCACGTTCTCCACGGCGGAGGAAGCGGCCAGAAGTTTTGATCGGAAACACATTGAGTACAGAGGAGATGATGCATTCCCTTACACCAATTACCCTTTGGAAGATTACCCTGAAGAGTTGCTCAGGGCTCGCCAACGCATTAAGAATATTCATCCTAATCCTGAAAATGCCGATCCGGGACCGTCGCAGCAACACATATCTGAAAGTGAGAATGCTGCACCAACGGATTCTGGAGGAATGATAAGTACTATGGAGGACGTGGATACAGTGGACCCGTATGGACTTGTTGATGATGACACACTTGCTGAGTTATTGGATTTGGTTTCTCTGTTCGATCACTGATCAAGCAATTGGCCTTCATACAAATCAAATCATGGAGTACTACAATTTTGAAGTTTAGGGTTGACTGCATGATAATGAATAGGTTTATCGTCAACAATCAACATGAAGCTATCCATACTATTTTCGAGCAAGCATGGGTAGCAGTTTTCTTATACTCCATCGACCCATAATTATTGTTCAGTTTAGGTTTTCATTTTTAGTTCAAATTGTACTAAAAGTGAAATTTCAAACTGGACAATAATTTTAGGACAGAGAGAGTATATTTTTTTTATTACTACAAAATTAACGTTTCTCCATTGGTGTGCGATAATTTTTGTGGAGAAAGAAGTCGTTTATTTCAATCTTTGTTAGTCCTCTAAACATGCAGTTATTTCAATGGATTGTGAGAGTAAACGATACATCATTTTAATTTGGGTTTGACTTTTGGAGCACTAGCTACATTTTTTGTAACAATTTGTCTACTGAAATTCTACCACGCTCTTACTTGCGCTGGTGAACATGCAGACGGAAAAATTAAAATGAAAAGAATCAGGATCAATACGCAAGATACAGTATTGTGTCTTCCATTGTACTCCCTCTATTTTTTATTACTAGTGATGTCTGGTCGCGCAATATGACCTAATATATCTGTAGATTTTAGAAATATTTGTATCTGGATTAAAAAAAACTATTTTATATTTGGCCGATATATTTTAGAAATGTTTGAGAATCTAGAAATGTTTTATAAGTGTGATCATAGAAATGTTTGTATTTGGCATAAAAAGAAATTGTATTTGCCACGGTACGTTTTAGAAATGTTTGAAGATTTTAAAAATGTTTTATAAGTGTTACTTCTTAAATATAAATAAACTTGATCAAATATATGTCTTGAAGTAAATGCAAGACAAAATATAAAAACATCCTCATAAGTTTAAATATTAGTAAGATAATTTATTGATGTTCTCCATTGATTGTGCCAAATCAATACTTAATTTTGGAGATTTATAATAACTTTGTAGTAAGCTTCCTCCAAAGGGTATACGCTTAATTGTTGAAACTATTTCTTCCAAAAGTTTATAGGTAGTAAAATATCAAAAATATGATTTTGAAACTGGTTAATTATTGAAACTGGTTGATCACGAATATGAGAATGAAAATAATGTAAAAAAAAGAACTCATCTCACCATGGCAAATTAAAAAAAAAAGAGTAAAAGATAGCCCATTAAAAATTGAGAAATTTATTTTTTTCTATAGGTAAAAATGATGTATAAAAACACAAATAAATGTAGAAACATCATTCCTTCCGTCTCCACTCAAATTCATAAAAAGCTTCCCCATAAATTAGTTAGAAGAAGAGACCTGAACTATTTATATGATGAGGAACTAAAAAAAGTCCAAAAACCAAATCCAAAAAAGTATATTCTTGAAAGACCAAACACAAAAAAAAAGCGCTTCATTTGTAAATAAAATAAAATAATAATAATAATAATTGGTCAACTGGGAGTATGAAACAAAATCAAAAGCAATTAAACAAAGAAAAAACACACTTCATAACTGACTATATACGGAAAAAAAACCTGAGACTCCATAATTAAAAACAAAAAACCAGTCTAATTGAGTGAAACATAAAAAAAAAAATTGAAAAAATCACACTTTGTAACAAAAACCCAATTAATCAATTCAATCCAAACAGAACTAAAATCATACAAAAATTCTAGGCTAACTAACCATATAAGAAATCATATCATATTACCTGACAATTGCTACGGTAGCTGTAACAGATGGACGCATAAAAATAATAGTAATAACACTATTCTTGAACGGGAAAAATAAAAAATAATAAAAACCAAACAAATGATCTGTGAAAATAAAATCATTTAAATTTTAATACATGTAATGGCACCACCATAATGGCCGAAGTAAGATCAATGAGAATTTTTTTTATTCCCTTTGTTTTATATAGTAATGTAAAGAGAATATTTTTTGAACTCGAAATTTTATCAGATTAGGATGTAGTTGATCATTATTAATGAAAAAATTGAACATGCTAATAGGAAAGGAGTATATTTCACCACATATTCTCAATTGATGATTGATGAGAAATTTGTTTCTTTTTTTTTAATGTGGAGAAGGGATTGATTAGGGAGTCGATTGTCGTGGAAATGGGGATGAGAATTTGGGTTTTTTATGAACACGTGGTTTTTTTTTTTTTTTTGTTTTGGCAAAATAGGCGGTGAAGGTGGATTTTGACTGCATTTGCCTTTTTAAGTCTATGAGATGTGTAAATAAAAATTTATTTTAAAAATATGATGTCAAAATGCCACATGGCAAATGGTGGTGCTTTCTCTGAAGTGTGGTTTTTGTTTCTAATATAGTAAGATATGTCGTTTAAGGATTTAGTGAATTTTTTAAAATATATGTGGTTTTAACAAATTGAGGCACATTTGACCAATTTTTTCCAATATTACCCATTGGAAATGAAACACTATTGATAATGAATTTTTATTGGTTTGTGTTGAATTCTATGGATCATAAATAAGAATATTTTTTATTTTAACCACATTAGTTAATGCGTTCTTAATTTTGATGAATTCTCTAAAAAAAACATATAAAAAGAAATGGAGAGAGTATCTTTTCAAATTCTTCCATCACATTTTTGGTTTAGATTTTTATTGGTCTAGCCTTGCTTCTTATTGGTTTGTGTGGTCGCATAGATTTTGTGAATGATATATATAGTGGATAAAAATAGTGACAAAACATAATGACTGATGTGGATTAATCACGGCCCCTAGTTTTTTGCCACTTTCTCGTTGAAGTTTTATTTTTTCCAACAAATTATATTTTTACCCTTAATTAATAACTAGAGATGTTTAGTAAGTATGTGGTGTATTTGTCTTTTCATTTGTCACTATTCAAATTCACTATAATTTTTCATTATCTGTATCGTTGCTCTTTGTTTCGTGGCTACAAAAATTCAAATATTCGAGTAACTTTTAAAGTCAAATTTTCAAACAATTGCGCTTTAGATAAAAAATTGTTTTTGTTCCTTGTGATACAGAGTTTTTTTAAAAAAGAAATTTGAGATCCATTAGGCCAAAAGAAAAGAGTGTTGTTCTTCTTGTTAAATGGTTTTAATCTTATAGTTGGAATACGATTTGGTCGTGAACTTCATTCATCTGACATGTGAACGTTTAGTATTTTAGGTTATTGACCTCATTGTAAAAAAATAAACAATAATAAGCTGTAACTAAACCTGGTACTAATTATGCAGTGAGTCCAACAAAGATGGTTGTCTAAAGTCTAAAATAAACATCGACCACTGGCCTGGCCCAGGCCCAACTGTGATTGACTTACTTCACGGCACCCGTTGGCGCGCTAAATAAAGGGAGCCGCCGGCCGGCAATCAGAAGCAGCGCCCCGAGACCAAACGTTAAGAGCTGAGCAAGAAAGAAAGATGGATCCGACAGATACCCCATTGTCCACCTCCCCTTCTCATTCCAATTTCAGGTACTTCTTACTGTCTCATATCTGTCTTTCAATTCCATTTTTGCTCATCTTTTTCGTCGAATTTTCAATCGGGTTAAGCAGAGCAAAAAGGATTGATTTGAGTTCATTAATGTTTCAGCCCGCAGCGCCACTTTTATCTTGCCGTCGATAGGCTCCAATTCAAAATGGTTCGAGTCATTTCCCAATTGTCCCGTACTTCAATTTTTTTCTTTGGATGAAGTTAACCTGTCTGACAAAGTGTTTGTGCAATTTTGTATGGTGAACAAAAAAGGAAACCTTGGTGGACCTATTGAGCATGGCTGGACGGCGTCCCAGTATACCGATGGTTGTTTGCTGCAGCACCCGAGATGAGCTCGACTCCGTTTGCTCCGCCGTTTCCAATTTGTCCTACATTTCAATTGCAACCCTGGTATATCTTTATTCTAATTTTTCATTTCAGTAGCTTATTTGGGGGAATGAATGGAATTTAATTAGTTGAACGGGGACGTTGTGGTGGCAGTACAGTGACCTTGCGGAAGCTGAACGTGCGTCAATTTTGGAGAATTTCCGGCAAGCAACCATGGTTTGGAACAAATACGGCGCTGAAGATAAAGAGAAGGAGGAAGAGGAAAAGCCCAAGTCCCATATGGTGATCGTGACGGATTCTTGCTTGCCGCTACTGGGAGCTGGAGAGTCCCCTATTAGTGCTCGCATTCTCATCAATTATGAACTTCCTACAAAGAAGGTACATGTTCGGGTCACATTGATATCTGGACGATTTAATATTTTTATTAATTCTAAAAGAGGGAAAAAAAATTGATTTGGTGAATTATGATCTTGGACTAATCAGAATGCGCCCTTTGATTCTGTTAAATCGTTCGGTGCAATATAAAAAACAGTGTGGATTTTGATCTTATATTTATGTGTTCTCTCCACATTCCAATGCATCAATAGAAATATGAGAGGACACGATATCTTATAAGCCTGGTAAAACATTGTGTGTTTCCACCGTCATGGACAAAGAAAAGGATACAGTTTGGTTACGTCTGGTAACTCTTATGGTTGCAATAACACAATGTTTTCTAGTTAAATACCGTTTTGTTTCCTAATATTGTCGTTTTTTAATGCAAACGTGTCGGTTCTTTCAATCCAGGAAACATACATGAGGCGGATGGCGGCTTGTTTGGCTGCGGGTAAATTTTCATTTCCGCGGAGTTAATATTTAGTATGGTGATCTGATGTAAAAAGGATAAAGGAAGCCGAAAGAAAAATGAGATCAGCTGAATGATTGGGATAATATGAGCAAACATCAAATCTTTTACTTTATTCCAATTTCCAAACGGGAATGAACTGCATTTGGGTTTTGACTTTTTTCTTGGTGAATACATGTAGATGGAATTGTGATTAACATGGTAGTCGGTGGTGAAGTTGTAACTCTCAAAAACATCGAAGAAAGCAGTGGCCTCGTGATAGCTGAAATGCCCATACACGTGAGTTTAGAGTCGTCTCACGTGTGTTTATTTTGTTTCTAGAAACCAAATTGACTAGATTTGATACTCACCGTATGTAGCGTACGTTTAACTTTTTAAAGTTTGTGTTGCTGTTGCTATGCTGTCCGACTTTCTTAGCTTGCTGACATCAAACTACATGTTCTGCGAGTTCGCAGATATTTGAGATTTTGTGATTCCAGTGAGGCTTGTGGATGAACGTAAACTAAGGCAAAGTTGGATCATGCTGCCCCAATTAGTAGGTATTCATGGCTAGTTCTCCCAGAAGCATATTGACTTCTATTTTTTGAATTTGTTAGTCTATTTGGGACCAGCAACACTGAGGAATTGATACTCATGAAAGGCATCGTTGCATACGAAACATTTGGCGTGATTTGCGACCTGCTTTTTGCAAACAAATTTAATATGCCTGATAGTGTACCTATTAATTTTTTCTGAAGGCTGAATATTTATCGAAGAAAAAAGCCTCTCTTTCTCTCTCTCTCTCTCTCTCTCTATATATATATATATATATATATATACACACATATATGTATATATATATATCTGTCTATCTATCTATCTACCATCTATCTATCTATCTATTTATCTACGCATGATTATGCCCTGTGGGAGGATTAAGTTTCTTTTATGTGGATTGAACTGTGTATGTGTCCTCTACAAATTTTTGGCACGATGTTATAATTGAGCATCAGGTTGAGACTGAAGTTCAGTAGCGAACCATTTTTTAGCGTAAACATGTCTGAGCTTGTATCCTATTGAGTCATGTAATCCTTCTTTACCACTTGAAGCTATTGAGTCAGTAGTTCAGTTCTTCATTTGTATGATTGTACTCAGTACTATGCCCCTGCTTATAATGGTAGGTACAACTATTCTTCCTGATGAGTGTTATGATGCACATTTTGTTAGATGGCTTAGAATAGTCTTCACATTGTTTAACAGGTCTTTTCTTCTTAGAGCAGTTGCCTGTTCTCTGATTGGTTTCGGATTTTTTTTCTTTTTTTTTTTGATTTATTTTTTGAACTTTTTTATTTATTTATTTATTTATTTTTGAGCTCAAGATCTAATTGGTGATTCTTAGTCAAACGCAGGTCAATTTAAGTTGTTTTTTTTTTAATTTTTAATTTTTTATGTATGTTAAAAAAGAAAGGGACTTCTCCTTGAAAGCTGGAAGTGACTGGTTATTTCAGAACATCATGAGTTACAGATTGTCTTTTGTGTAAATATGCTTAATGAATGAAGCTAAATCCATAGACGACCTTTAGGTACACATGTTTGGCATGGAAAATACTAGAATGATGAACTTGAATTCAAAGGGAAAGAAGGAAATTAAAAGGTCTTCCAAAGGAACTACAAAAAGGTCATAATGTCTCTAAACTTAAATGACAATATGTTCTCATACAGTTCCGTAGCTGGTGATTCTGTTGTAAACACTACTGAGAGGTTACTCTGCTTCATTGTGGTGGCAGTATGGACTTAACTGTGAACCTCAGTTCAGAAACTGGAAAATAAACTAAAAATGACTTAGCTTCAGGTCTTGTTCCAGGAAAAAAAATTCCAATGCCTAAATCAGTTATGTGTTGTATGTGATTTGAATGTAGAGGGATTTATATTACCTGAATTCATACAATGTTTTGATTGAATGCAAGTTACGGTAACTTTGTTGATTTTAACAAGAAGTTTATCTAGTAGAGCAGTTGATGCGACAAGCTGCACTGCTAAAATATAAAGCGGGCTGTGATTAGACATTTGTTTGTCTAAAAAATTTCCCGTGTTGTGTATCATATGTGAAGACATTATTGTATGTTTTTGTGTTATGAAGAATTATGGTTCTGTCAATGGCTTTATATGACTCACATAATCTACCCTGATAAGGATTAAGGGATTGATTTTTATTTATGATGTATTCTCATAGTATAATTTGGTTGGATCGACGCTCTTTTCTAAAATGTATACCGCGATCCGTCTCTTCTAATGAGATCAGTCATAGGAGGATAGGCCTAGGCCCATTATAAGCTGAAGTCTTATCATTTTTGCATGTTCTGGAGCTGGCTTTTAGGAACAACCATATGGTCCCTGCCCTGGGTTGTAGGTTGCTTTTGTCTTCCTTGATCATCACTAATACAGATCTATATGCTGTCCTGAATCCTTTTGTTTATTGACATGTTAAAATTTCTCCGCTGTTTCTTTTTTCTTTTTCTTTTTTTTTTTGTTATAAATTGAAATTACCCTGGTTACATTTACTCCTTTTCTCCACTGCAGCATTGGAGATATATTTGTTTTTCTGCGGTTGATCCGTGTTCTCTTTTTCATGTGAATGGGATTGTAACTAGTAAATACCTCAGTTGTCTTATTTTGGATAAAGTCATAAAAATAAAGACTGGAAAAAGATGCCATTATTTTTAACAGGTTAAGGCGGTTTATATCTTGCTTCTTGTCATTTTTCCAGTGATATTTACAACAGCTAGGTTTCGAGGAACCTGAGGTATTTTACCAAAGCTGGCTTCTTGCTAATCTTTGGTTCAAGTCCTAGCAGATATTTTACCAAATCTGACTTCTTAGAAGCACAGAAATGCAATTTCGAGGCACCAAGTAACAAAAAGTACTTCAGGTTAAGAAGATGATCTTTCATTGTCAAAAGAAACTGACTAAACTTTCATTTGTTTGTCTTTGTTTTCTTTACCAATTAGCATGTTCATGCTTGATTATGAAAGACTAACATGGGCAAAGTCACAAGAGGACTACTCTTCTAGGTCCCATAGCTCCCCTCAATAATCCCTTTTCTTTAATTTGCTTCAAACAAAAAGTATTATGTTGTTGAAAGAAAACCCAGAAAAATGAGGAAAATCCAGCATGAGGGGCAGTCTAGTTTTATGTCCTGTCATAATCAAATAAAAGATGCCATTTCCCATAGTATTGGATGATTGGAGCCTCCCCCATTTAGTTTGTCCTTCTACTCTGTTGCTGATATTTGCCCTGTTCGTCTAATATTAGCATTTAGGCCTCCCCCCATGGTCCCCAGAGTTTTGCGAATACGAATTGGCTGGTGCAATCAATATTTGAAGTCTCCATGATGACAATATATGAGTTTCACGTGAGAATTCTGTGATATTGGTTAAGTCCAGATATGAAGCTCCACTCCCTCATCGACACCTGAGCAAAAGATTACTCACAGATCAACATCCTGTTAAACGGATGGGAAGAAAGGGGACAGAAAGGGTAATTATGAGCAATGGTCCCGGAGTTTCTGGACAGAAGGGAAAAGACCCCTCTCTCTTTCTCAAGAAAGCGTTTTCAAGGTCCATCGCCATGGTCATTATCGTTTTCAGGGAAATGACAATGTGGAAGATGATGCATCAATTCTTTCTGGGACATGGGGTTACTAACTTTGGGGGGTTTTGGGACTCCTCGGAGAGCGACGCGACTCTGACTGCCGATGGGTTTTCAAGGTGGTTATGCGCTGGAGTGACAGTCTCCCGCTGTGTCAACTCCGCTAGATTGTCGACAGCAAATGTCATTTGACCTTTTGTCCTGACGTTTGATACTCAATTGCGCCTGGATTCGGATGAATGCTTAGAATGGTGGATTCATTCTGGTGGTAAGTGGTGGATTCATTCTGGTGGTAAGTAGATTTCATCACTCTTCTTCCTGTATGAATGAAATTTTCGTTAAATGTGGATTTTAGAAACCCCTCCTCTTTTTCTTTTCTTTTCCTTTCCCTATTTCTTTACCATGAATCTATGAAAGAGGCAAATTGCTATAAACCGTAACTTACAATAGTAAACTAGCCTAAACCCAAGCAAGTTGAAGGTCTTGAGAAGAGGTAGAATGCGGTCTTTTTCAGCATACTAATGCTTACTGGTGACAACATTTTAGGAACTTAATGTCTTTACCATAATTGAACTAAGCAAGAATGAAACCCGGAAAGGATGTTGTTTCATTCCCCGCTCTTGGGCAGTTGAATTTCAGGCCACTCAATTTCATTTGCTTTCCACCCTATACAGTTTCAATCTCATCTAACTTTGTGCAGAATCCATACTGCAATTACTACTACCGCCCATAAACCATAAAGCACCGGTGATAAGAGAAGACCATTTATTACCATTATGTTTCCACCGTAACAATTTCAGATTTTAACTTAAAATCTCTTAATTACAATTTTGATCGATTTCTTCGCCGTTGTGATAAAGACGATGGTAGCTCCTTTTCCCATAGTCGTCTTCGCGTCTTGTTTGACAGTGTGGAGGCAACACGCGTCTATGTCCGTACAAATGCTGACATCCAAATGGCAAATATTCGGCTCGACGATAACCTTTTCCTAGTTTCCCTTAATTGTGTCATCATACTCTAACCTTAAATTACTGAGATGTCACAGAAAAACACTTTTTTTGATCATTAACTCCACCAAACAACATCATTAACAAAACATGTGCCTTTGAAAGTATGATTTTATTAATGCCCTTTCATTATTGAGTTTGCATAGTAAAAACTAAAAAGGTGATCCTATGAAATGTCGAAATGAAAACAGTTTACACGTGCTGTTGGTTTATGTCTGCCGTGTCTTAATTCTGCGGGGATCACAGGGCACGTGCACGCCGAGATCGGTCTGAGGTCTTTTGTTTTCCGGCGGTGAACAATTCAGACTTTGCTACATTATTTTTGGACGGTCCTAAGTTTTTTTTTTCTTTTTTAATATCATCAAAAACTAAAAATGACAAGAGAAATTGAAAGATAGGAACAAAGGGGTGTTGTTATGATGGCAGAAAATGGTAATGATGATAATGACCAGAATCTCAACCAAGAGGTGATGACAGACAGCTTTCCATTGTTTTGGCTTTTTTGCATGCATGAATTAAGCCAACATTTGGCTGATGGATTCGATCGGGAACTACCAGTCCAAGTAATTTGACAATCCATTTTTCCATCACACTCCAAAAATTGTACACACCACCAAACTAAAATCCCTTTCAAAAAATAAAAATAGAAAAATCAAACAAAATATTACAACTGTGTGATTTCTGTGAGATCATAATTTGTACCAGGAAGATCAGATTGAGGGAGAGAAGAGTTATACTTAAATTGTGACTTGCATTCATTTCAGTGACTCTTCTGCCCCTCCTCCTTTTTTTTTACTTTATATAGCCCAAACCCTGTTTCCATATCCAGTATAATTTACCTTGATCTTTTCATTCCTGAATTTCTTTTGCTCTGCTTTTCTCTGCTCTGTCACATTTTTCAAGTCTCTCAATAAAAGCTTTCATTGATTAGTCATTCAGTTGATTGATTGATTCATTAAATTATAATGGATTTCGAAACATCAGCACCTTTGCTGGCGGACAGCAACAACAACTACAACAACAACAACGGCGGCCTCCCTGATTCGAAAGAAGCTGCTGCTGGTTCAGATGATGATGGATATGACTGTATCCGACCAACTCAATCAGAGGTTAGCGATTTCGAATACGTATCCTGTGGCACTTTCTTGAATACCATGGCCAAAATCTGTCCCTCATTTTCTCAAGAAATCTCTCAGGTGGTACAGGAGATCAAAAATCTTTACACCATAGCATTTCCCCTGATTATCACTGGCCTGTTGGTTTATGGTAAATCTATGATATCAATGCTGTTCATGGGAAGATTGGGGAAAGATGTTTTAGCTGGAGGGTCTCTTTCCAGTGGGATAGCAAATATCACTGGGTTCTCTATCATATCTGGATTAGCCATGGGAATGGAAGGCATCTCTTCACAAGCCTGTGGGGCTAAGCAATGGCTCCTGATGGGACAAACTCTTCAGAGAACAATAGTGATTCTCTTGTTTTCTTCTGTTCCAATCTGCATTTTGTGGCTGAATATTGAACCCATATTACTCCTCTGTGGCCAAGACCCGGTTATATCATCAATTGCAGCAACCCATATAGCATTCTGTTTACCTGACCTTGTTTTCCAATCCATCATCAACCCTTTGAAGATCTTCCTCAGAACACAGAACATTACTTTTCCTCTTATGTATAGTGCTGCTTTTTCCCTTACTTTACATGCACCCATAAATTATATTCTCACCTGTAAATTTGGCCTAGGAATTCGAGGTATCGCCGCTGCATCAGCCGCCACCGATTTCATCCTCCTGGCAACTCTGATTTTCTACATTATTTTATCAGGGGCTTATAAAAAATCATGGCCCGGGTGGTCGATCAAATGCTTTTATCAATGGAAACCAATTATAAGCCTTGCTCTGCCTAGCTGTGTGTCTGTGTGTTTGGAATGGTGGTGGTACGAATTGATGATTCTGTTATCCGGGTTGCTTTCCAACGCCGCGGAAGTTGTGGCTTCAATGGGGATTCTCCTGCAGGCAACTTCTTTAGTCTACATTTTCCCATCATCCTTAAGCCTGGCGGTTTCTACCAGAGTTGGGAATGAGCTTGGAGCCAATCAGCCATCAAAGGCCAGGATTTCTTGCCTAGTTGCATTTGCATGCGCGGTTTTTACCAGCATCATCGCAATGTCGTTCATGACAACTTTCAGGAAATCCTGGGGGCGTGCTTTTACAACAGATGAAGCCATTCTGAGCTTGACTGCCATGGCTATGCCGGTGGCCGGACTCTGCGAGCTCGGAAACTGCCCGCAGACCGCCGGCTGTGGGGTGCTCCGGGGCTGTGCTAGGCCAACTTTGGGTGCCACCATCAATTTAGGATCCTTTTATGGAATTGGGCTGCCGCTTGCTGTTGTTTCAGGGTTTGTGATGGGGAAGGGATTTTTAGGCCTGTGGTTAGGCCTTCTTGTGGCGCAGGCGGTTTGTGCAGTGATGATGGTGTTTGTGTTGAAGAGAACAGATTGGATTGTTCAAGCAAATAGAGCAAGGGAGTTGATTGGAATTGGAGATGATCCGGGTCAAGATGGTGAATTGATCCATCACCGTAAAGTGTTCTCGAACGTGTGAATTTTCCTTTGTAATTTTTTCGTCTTCTTTTCAGTGGTGTTTTTTATGCTTTATTGTAAGGAGATTTGATGGTGGTCATCATTGAAATATTCAAATACATGTAAAAATTGTACTTGGATTTGATACAAGGAAAAAGGGGTACATAGCCATTGTAATAATTTGAAATAAAACTCGCTCTTTTCCTCTAGGCACTTCTTCTTCTTCTTCTTCTTCTTCTTCTTCTTCTTCTTCTTCTTCCATGTTTTTATTTATTGCATTCTGGCGGGTTCATGGAATTAGGAGGCTAACTATTTTTGTGCAACAAGAATTTGAGGTGCATTCATTACAACGTGCTACGACCTCACTGATTATGAGTTCATCGACATTGAAAATTTTCAATAACTTTTCTTATCTGGCTGACTTGTAATGAGGTTGGAATGGAGTTTAATATATGTAAAGCAATGTGTACTATCCGTTTGTTTCATTCTTTCATAGTTTTTTTAAGAATAATATAATAATAACTGTTATATCTTAACATATCTTGTTACATATTCAATAAACTTTTTTACATTCTCAATACAAAAAATACTTAAAAAAGCACACTAAAAAAACGAAATAAAAATATGAACGTCTCGTTGTTTACTATAGTCAATAAAATTATAAAAGTCAACGTGATAGTACTTTACTTTAGATTGTGTAATCATCAAGTCGACCATATTTTATTGGCTTTAGAAAACAAACGAATATGTTATAATATTATAAATGAAATGTATAAATTCTGGATTCTATAAGTTCACAAATTAGCATTCTTTCCGTAAAGAGGATACATTTTAAATAATTCTTTTTTTTTTTCACCATCTACTATTATTACAATTTTAATAAAATGAAATAAAATTTCCCTTCTGTCGACTTTTTCATCGACTTTTCTAAGCCAACGAATAAGTTGACGAATTCATTTCTACCACAAAACAGTTGAGCTTAATTTTTTTTTTTTTGAATATTTTTTATAAATCACCACAAGTCATTTTTTTAGCATAATATTTATAATTATTTATGTTTGATTTTGAGTAATATCTACACTAATTTTGGTATTTTATAAAAATTATTGTCCAATTTAATATAATTTAAACTAAAAATAAAATATAAACTAGATAATTATTTTGAGACGAAATGAGTAATTATTTCGACCAAAGGAACCCCCACGACACAAAACCCTACGCACCACACCACTTCACCTCCATCTAAGCCCCCTCCACGCATCACTCCATCATCTCTCCAGCTCACGTCCATCATCAACCGAACGCACCATCACCTCACGTCACGAAGCATCATCATCCAAGGCGAAGCGGTGCAGAATTGACGGGAAATATCTCTTCGAGTTATTGTTTTAATTTTAAATTTATTTCGGATGATGTATAGTGACTAAATATTTTTAATTGTAAAGTTTAGATGTAACCGATATACTCTTTGGCTTGTTTAAATTGTGACTTTTTCATTAATTAATATTTAATATTTTTGTTTTCATCCATTAGAGTATTTGATCACAATTTACACACTATAAAGTGTTAATTGATGAAATAACAGTTAAAGGTTAACACTAGTTGATGGAAATATTATAATTAGATAATGAGTTACGACAGTAATAACATAATCTTTGCAACTTATAATTATCAAGTGTTTAATGTTCTTTCATTAATTCGTATAATCATGTCAGTAATTATAGGATTAGTTTGAGTAAGAGAATTATAGTATGACGGTGCATAATTCTTAATTAGATGAATTGTTATGAGATTAATGAAAGTCCAGAGTCACGTAATTATATATTGAGTTGAGTCAAGTAGTTCGGTAGGTAAACCCTTTACCCTAAGTTTTTTTTTTATTTGTTTATATTTTCAATTAATTGTAATTATTAGTTTTGGATTTATATTAGTTGAAATCTAATAAAAATGTTAATCAAAATAATAAAAAAAATGTTTTGATCATGTACTTAGTTTGCTTTTCTGTGGGATTTTGCTTTCTGCATTATTATTAATATTTGTGTTTAGTAGGTAATTGATATTTGATTAGTATGACGACGGTTTGTCACCTTGATGTATCAAACAATAAGTAGATACAAGAAGTCTCTAGAATTACTTTTTAATATTTTTTTTTTGAGGCCGTACCTATTGGTGTTTTAGAGGTACCTAGATTTGCAACGAATATAGAACCTATTGGGGAAGGGGATAGTACTACTAGGGGAGACTCTACTCGCGTGGCCTCTTATTCGAGATTCCGGTCCTCCGTGGTCGATGATTTCAGGACTCATGCCTACTTAAACTGGTCGTTGGTAAGCTTCCTATTTCTTCCTTCAGCTTCTTGTTTCTGCGTAACCATGCGATTAAACGTATAACGCCCTAATAACCAGAATAACCAGAATACGACTCGATTCTTCTTCTTCTTCTTTTTTATCGTGTTGACTTATTGTTCGATAGGAGAAGTCAACGATCAAGTTGAAAATGAAGTTTTATGTGCTAATGTAGTAATTTTTCGAACATTGCCAAAGAAAAACAACGCAATAATTTAGATTACTCCGTGTAATGCATTCACCGTTTGACAGTTTTGTCCACTTTGGAAAACAAACGAATATGTAGTAAGATTTATTAATTTAAAAAAATTACAAATTTTTTTTGAAATTCAGAATTTTAGACTTCTTCATTTATTTAGGAATATATTTTAAATAATTTTTACAATCTAAAATTAAAATTTTAATTGAAAAAGTCTAAACTTTTATTGGCGTCGAATTTATAGTTGGGTTTTATAAGTCAATGAAAAGGTCGATAAAGTCAATGTTTACCAACAAAAAAATAATAATTGAGGTTTTATATAGTTTTTTTTCCGTTATCAATTTGATTAATCTTAATAAATCATAAAATAAATTTATAATTCAGTTAATTATAATAACCAAGATTGGGCGCAACCCATCTAAAGATGTCATTGGAAAAAGTTAAAGTCATCCCTCGCTCATATTAGAATGGATGATTAAACTCATGACCTTCTCTTAAGAGTAAAGGTAGTACCACTAGGACCAACATCTCATTCGCTCATTGTTTAACTTTTTTGTGATACTTTACTCCATGTGATGTTTTAAACCGTTGACCAAAAACTAAAGTATATGTGATTAGAATTTTTTTTTCCCTTATGAATTCGAATAAAGTATACAACTCATTCATTTTCTAAAATTTTTCAGTTAATTCTTGTTTCTTTGGTTTGGAGACATTTTAAAATCAGAATACTTTTCCCATAAAAGAATTATAATTTTAATGAAAATGTTGCAGAAATTTCTGTCCATCGACTTTTCGTCGCGTTTCCAAAGCCAACGAAAATGATTACGAACCAAAAATAGCTGAAGTTGAAGATAAGGAGATACAAAAATAAATAAATAAATAAAAATTCAATCTTACATGAAAAAAATTGATATTGAAGATTTACAATCAGTTTATGATAGTGTTGACTTGAAATTGGGTTGAAAAGATCAACTACTACCTTGAAAATGAAGCATAATGTAATTAATTTGTGTCCACACTACTTCCCTACTTTTACATTGGCTTAGAAAAGTCGACGCGATACTTTACCTTACTATGCGTAGTATATTTGCTCGTCGTCTGTTTCGTCAACTTTGGAAAACAAATGACTGTGTGCTCAAAATTTTAACTTTACATTTTAAACAATCTGACGAGTCCATATCCATCACCGATATCAGACCAGTCTATCCGGCAATTTAAAACTCAGCTGACTCTACTAGGGCGGTTTGAGCAACACGAAACTTAGTGGAACTCGGATACCTCCCAGGTAACTTCATGTCTATAAATAGGGTTGATCACACCACAATTGAGGTACACTATCTCTAACACAAAACACTACTCGTATACGTTTCTTAAACCCTTTTGCTGACTTAAGCATCTGAGTGTTTACCCTCGAGAGACTCCCGATGCTCTCTTTTGCAGAAAATCCTAGCCGGAACTTCACTACCAAGTCGGCAGTACAATTTCAGGCTTCATCACAATCATATGCATAATCATGCTTTCTCCATAAAAGTTGCAAGTTTAATAAAACAAATACAATTTACTTGCGTCAATGTTGTCGTCGGGTTTTCTAAGCTGTGGCAACGAACTCAATTTCTTACAAAGAAAGTAGTTCAGTTTAATTTTTTCTTTTCTATTGATTTTGAAGTATCATGATATAACAAGGAGACGAGAAATTTTAAATCTTAAATTAAAAAAAAAAGACTTTCAATCTATAATAAGTTTTATGATTTATTGACTAGTATACGGTCGACGATCGAGTTAAAAACGAAGTGTAATATGTTAATTTTGAATCTGTTTGATCGGCTTTGGAAAGCAAACAAATATTATGTGATAACTGATAAGACTGTTAAATTTAAATCGAATGTATCTAAAATTCTAAATCCATGAATTTTGACTTCTTTCTTAATATAGGAGATGTTTTAAAACAATCCTGATTATTTTCACCCTTAAAAGTTATATTTCCAATGAGAAAATGAAAATTTTCATTACGTCGACTAGTTTGTCTAGTTGATTAAGCTTATAAAAACGTTGAAGAACTCAATTTCTACAAAAAAAAAAAAAAAACATAGTTGAGGTTATATTATTATTATTATTATTATTATTATTATTATTATTATTATTATTATTATTGATTTTGGTGTATCAAAGAATAAAATATGTAAGAGATTTCAATATTAGGTATTAAAATATCAGCTTTCAAAATTTAGAATAAATTTTTTGACCACATTAACTTGTGCTGGTGTTCAAAAAGTCGGCAGTTGAGGTTACAAGGAAGTGCAATGTACTCTTTTTATCTCAAAATTATTGTCCAGTTTAAATTTTTAATTTTAATATAGTTTAAATTAAAAATAAAAGTCCAACCAGACAATAATTTTAGGACGGAAGGAATATTAAAATTGTGACTCTTTGACTTTCAAATTGGCCAAAAATTGGGCGCGTTACTTTATTATACTCAGTGCAATGTTTTCATCTATCCACTATTTCGTCCATTTGGAATGTAAACGAGTACTATACAAGGCTTTTTTCTCCCTCTAAAATATATATAAAAATGTTTAAATCTAATCATTTATAAATCCATTATCTTAGACTTCTAATCCATGGTCTCCTTTCGCTTTGAGAATAATGCTAAAGATTAGTGCATCTCTCTGAATATGAGAAGGTGGGCATGGAATTATTCATTTGGCCGCCGTCCCACTAGTTTCATATACTCCGCCTCCGGTTTTATTTATAAGATTTAATTTCAGATAGATATAGGAAAAATAAAATCTGGTTTATTTATATATAAATCCGGACCAAGCATATAAAGTATCCACCTAAGTCTTAATTCACTCCTAAGCTACTTGCATCGCAAAATGAGGTTCGCCATTAGAAACTTTAGATTATATTCGATCGGATGTCATATTCCAAAATGAGAATTTTGGTCCACCAACTCAATAAATCATATTCTCTTGTCGAAAAAAATAGGTGACAATTCAAGTCATCGGCATCTTACGACGAGCTTATAAATTACTCCCGATCGATTGGTAATCTCAATTTTGCATATAATAATTTTTTTTGTTAAAAAAGAAATGTCATCGTTGAGCTTCCGCAATTTTCAAAACCGCGTTTCAAGAAAACCCTACTCCTTTACTACTAAATCAACCAAAAATGATCATCGTGAAACAAAGAATATTAGTACTAATAGTAGTATTTCCCATCCCAAATATGCGGAAGAAATGAGAAGTGTGTTTAACAAGTTCGACACAAATAAGGATGGGAAGATCTCCGAGGAAGAGTTCAAGTCAGCTCTGCGCGCGATGAGCGGAGGAGCTAGGAATACTAATAATAATAACGTTGCTAAGAGCTCCGACGTCGAAAAGGCGTTTCGGGCGGCGGATTTGGACGGAGATGGATTCATCGACTTTGAGGAGTTCCTGAAGGTGCAAAATGAGGAAGGAGGAGTGAAGAAGGAGATGGAAACCGCCTTTAAAGTGTTCGATTTGGATGGGAATGGGAAGATAAGCGCGGAGGAGTTGGTTGAAGTGATGAGAAGGCTTGGAGAAAAGTCGGATTTGGAAGGATGTCGAAGATTGATCAAAGGTGTTGATTCTGATGGGGATGGATCCGTTAACTTGAATGAGTTTATGGTCATGATGACCCGCTCCACCAAGCTTTAGTTTTTTTTAGTTTTATTTTCCCTTCTGTTTTTCTTTGGCTTTTGTATGATGCTTCTACGTGGTTAATTGGTTATATCAATTTGCTGCCCCTTCACTACCATTTTCTTCCTCTGTTTGGGTTATTGCAAATAGAGATAGATAAATCGCACTGAACAGACTAGACTGATTCGAACTCTTTCTTCACTTGAAATAAAAATCATGTACCTTAGTAAAGCAAAACTCTTATTTTGATTAAAAAAAAAATTATGTTTCAGAACCCTAGTTACCAGTATATTTCACCATCGATCAAGTGTGTTTTAGCGTTCATTTCTTCTTTCATACGTTTTGTTTTTTTTTTTTTTTATAAAGATGAAATTTCATTTTAGGCTTTTTACGAAGCAAATTGCACTACGACAGAGGTAAGAAACCCCTAAAACATCGTTGTGTAACCAATTTCAGACGAAGTGAATGTTGGAATTCTACTTCAAAAATAGTGGACAACAATGGTTACACTAAATCAAAAAACAAGAGGAAGAATTTATGGTTAGGACAAAAGAAAGTTTTGTCTCCAAGTCACAAGTAAACTTGCTTTCCTTTAGGCTAAATTTGCCCACTGTACAGTGCAATTGTCTAGGCGAATTTCTTCTGAGATAAAATTGAGATCATGTTGTTTCACTATGCACTTTAGTGAACCAATAACCTGATACAAGGATAAGAAATGTCATTGGAAATATTTCAAGTATTTGGTGATTTCATTGTACACTAAAAGCATCCAACTGATCCATATTTATAGAGTTAGAGGAAACTCTTAAGGATTAGACGTAAGCCTTGGTTATGGTTCTAGACATAATTTTTTGTTAATGTCTTTTCATATGAAATTCGTAGGCACAACCTATTAGTTGTATCTCTACAATGTATTGAAAATATTCAATAAGCACAATATATTAATTGTGTCCCTATAATATATTGAAAATAACTCCAACATCGAATTCCGTCCATTAATTCCTTTTGGATTCGTCCCTGTATGCTTACCTGTTTTAGTGTTCATTTCTTCTTCATAGGAAATTCGTTTTATTAGTTCCACCACTTAAAACTGAAGTGTGTGCGTGCTTTTTATTTTTATTTTATTTTTATTACTCCTCACAAGTGAAAAGTGAGTGTGGCGGAAAGCTCAGAGGTGCACGTGAGTGACAACCATGCTGGGGTTGCCGTATGCTGACCTGTTTGTTACCTTTTAAGGAGATACGACTCAATTTGTACAAACACAGTACCAATCTTCCCCTTTTTTTGTTAATTTGCAGTTTCCATCCTGTTTTTTGCTTATAAATTAGGTTTGGATCAGTATAAATCTCTTGCTAAATCTTCCCACGTGTATGTATGTGATCAACGCTTGACTAGCCAAAACTAGTGTTCAAATTCCCAAATTGCGCTCATAACTCCCAAGTTGCGTTTTGTTTTGTAATTTTTTTTTTAATTTTTCTTTTCGTTTCAAAAATAATTATCTGATTGATTATAATTTAATCAATAAGAACTCCTCACATAAGTCTCCCTTGACTGAAAAACGGCCGTTATATCATAAACAACAACAACAAAACACAAACTGCAAGCTGCTTACCCCCCCGGTGCAATCTTAAATCCATGATTAGTTAATGGAAAATTGAGGAGATCACGTGACAACATTAATTCATCACTGAAAAGGTCTAATAAAAAGATTATTAAAGAGAAAGGAATAGCTCCAAGACAAGGGACAGCCAATCAAAAAACATCAATCTTGGCAAACTATATATAAATCGTCGTCTTGATATTGTGTTTGATGACCAGGTGACTTTGTGATAAAATAATCTAAAAACAAACTGCAAAATCATATCCTAAATTCCTAATTACATAGTACTTCCCTTAATTAGTTCGTTCTTTTCCACTTAATTAAGGTTTCCGCATGTGTTTAGCCCAAGTAGCTAGCAGTAAGTAGTACTTCTTGTTTAAAATCCCAATAATGTACACACATCTGTTACCAGAAATACTACAGATGTCAATGTAAACCGATACAACCAATTGAACATCAGTATAAATTATTAACTAATCAATTTTGCTGCTTCGTGACCACCAACTTTCCCAGTCAACCTAGCTGGTGTAGAGTGTGTGTGTGTGTGTGTGTGTGTGTGTGTTAATTTACAAATCTTTTTCTTTAATATTTCTTTTAAGCAGTAATGCAATCCTCCTCAAATCTTCCAAGAACACCATATCCATGCATACACACGATGAAAGCGAATAGCAAGATTGGGTGAATCTTATCGAGCACGGAGTATATCCTTAAAATAAACACATTTAAGAAAAAAAATCCATATCTTTCCAGTTGTTCACCATATCTACATTTTAGTAGTTGTAAGATTAGCAAGATTAGTAGTTTCGGAAAGCATTACAAAAGTCTAAAGTAGTGAAGAAATTAAAGTTCAATTGGGGATTTTTGAGCCGAGTGAGTCGATTGATCTGAGTTCCCATACACACGTTCTAAATCTTGTTTCCAAACTTATTTTGAAGGATCATATTTTTAATCTCATTCGAAGAACATTAGATTTTTGGTACAATAAAGAGGTAAACGTCTAAATTGTTAAATCAAGACATTACACTTAATAAAATTCGATCAACTGTATCGTATTTTCAATCCTGATCTAACAATATTATCTACAAATCATCGTGGGCGGAGCTAGGGTGGGGGCACTGGGGACTGCCTCCACTGATCAGAGCCCCACCTTAGATTTTACATATAAAGTTATATAATTATCTCTTGATTATTCAGTAAATTAGATCAATTTTATGTTTGGAAGGAAATTATGGTAGGCAAAAAATTGGCATTGCACATCTGGACCTCAAGTTTTTTATGTCTACTGAATATTAAAACTCAAAATGAGATTTGTGGTAATGTTAGGCCATTAAAAAAATATTATCTATTTAATTGTATTTAGTGTTTTATGCAATATTTCTTATTGAGATTTTTTTAAAACATTTCATAAAAATAATGAAAAATGATTGATTATAGTTTGAACATTATGTTTTATTTTTCCAGTTATTCCCTAAAAAAAAATCTTTACAAGATACCAATTTAGTTCAGAATTTCTCTCTACATATCGTATTAGAACTTTAGAAGTTAGAAGTACTCCATTAGATAGTAAAAGGGGTAAAAAAGCAATTGAGAAGATCAGGGGTGGTCCCGGCGTGGAGTTATACCAATCAGATAAAACGTTGAAGAAGTCAAAGGGCGAGTCAACAAAACAAAGCATGACACTGCATGCATGGAATTGGCAGAGTAATGCCACACTGTTCACAGTTCCACTCATATGCCCCTTTGAATTGGATTATCTGATCCCAATTTTCCCGCCATTCCTTCCTCTGCCTCCTTGTGCTTCATTCACGGTGCGTTTCCATCCATTTTTTATTTTTCTCTTTTTGCATTTGTCATTGCCCCCTCCATCTTTCCTCATCATTTTCTTTGTAATCGATACGTTTTAAGAAAATAATTCACTATGATCAATCGAGACATCTCCAAATTAGTATAAGTCGTATTTCTAATAGCTACATATATTTCGTAAAAACATGATGAATTGAAATCGTATGACAAATAATATGATGATTACTTCTTTTCTTATGTTGAATGGAGTGATTCGTAATGGTGATGATTCTTTGTACAAAGACACATGAATGTATGTGTACAGATCCCGCCAAAAAAAGCATCTCTGGTGATATTCTGATGAATATTGTTCATTCATTAATGAGCTTGCTACTATTTAAGCTTTAAATTGTTTACTACCAAAGGAAACTGTTACAGTGATGAATGCCAGGCGCCACCCCAAAATTGGATACACGACACATTCGTATTTCTTCTCATTATTTCATTACTGATTTCCCACCTCCCATTTTTTTCTTCACCCAATTTAATTTCGTACCATTAAAATTCATTTCTCTGTCTGTTGTCCCCTCTTCCTCTGCCACCTCTTACATCTATGAAAATTGTTGCATGAGTTGAGCCTGAGAGAAGATAAAACATGTACACTATTGATATATTAATGCTAACATGTGATTTGTTTTTTCTTTTCCTTTCCACATATGAATATGATCATCGTGAATCATGATCCAAGTTTGGTTCTTTTTTCGAAATTCAAAAACTAATACTACAAAAATACAAAATCCCTTTTGAACTTTTCTGATTCTAAAGTGTAAAAAAACATGTTGGAATTCTGGCAACCACAACCTAGCTCTCGGTCCTCTCACCTTATCTCAAATGAATCTCATCATCTTTGTACCAAAAAAAAAATAAAAAATGAATCTCATCATCTACAGATCCTGTAGGACCTGCAAAACATGTAGTAGTACTCATGGAGAATATCACCACAAGAAAAATCTTCATATTATTTTTTAAAACAAATTTCTTGTGAGAGTTGGCTACGTCGTGAGTCTTTTTACCATAAAATTCACGATCCAGAGACGTGCAATGTACCCGATTTCTTCTGCTTCAGATCTTGTACATCATGAACTTCAAGACAGCAGATGTAGATGCTCTTTCTGTCACTCAAAACATTCATTTTAAAACCCTTATTTATATAGTGTATCATTGATAGTATAAAGAAATGGATTCCTGGATGTGTGATAAGACGCCTGAAAAGAATCAACTTGCAAACTCAGTGGCGAATGTTTGACCAATGTATTTGTTCTCTTTCACCAATCTCTAATGGTAGTAATGAATTCTGGGTTGCGCCTTTCAGTCCTTCGCAAATTAAGCATTAAATGTAAATTAGTGTGGTTTTGCAGTGTTGCTGCAGCTTTTGAGTTATGAGGGGAAAAGGCAATTTTGATTCCAAAGTGCATTCGTTTCACGCATTATGCAGAATTTGAGAGCAAAGTTTTTGGTAAGATAGTGATCCACTTATTAGTCACGAATTTTGAAGAGGATGAAAATCATTGTGTAAAAAACTCTGAGCATTTAAAAACTTGTCAGCAAAAAAAAGGGTTCAAATTAACTTCAAAGGAAGTGAACAACGAATGAATCACATTATCACAGTATGGGGTGCGAGGGTTGGTGGGGTGGTTAAAGAATTATGATGAAAATGATTATTATCAGGAGGTCGAGATTTTGATTCTCGCTGAGCCATTCAATTTTTTAGTTTTTATTATTATTTTTTTAAATGAATCACAACATATTATTAGGGATAAAATGAACCAAAAGACAATTACCTTAAAACCCTTCCAAAAAAAAGAGAGAGAGAGAGAAAGGAAGCAAAAAGGGGGGTTTGAGAGCAGAAAATAAATATGAGCGCATGTGAAAGTGGTCAAAAATCTGAGAGGAGAAGGGAAGAGTACTTGAAAGAGGAGGAGGAGGAGCAGAACAGGTGTTTGATTCTGAAATCGTCAAAGCTGCTGGGGGGAGGAGATTTACACAGAATGTCCGGGGCACGAAGCACTAAAAGGGTAGTGTGTGAAGTGGGAGGGTTTTTGAAATGACACAATTTGGCTGCAATTCCACGAGGCCAAACCGACCTTGACCACAGTCCACCCAGGCCAGGGTGGGTATCTAATCTGGGATTCTAAAAAATTCTAAAAAGAAAACCCCAAAAGATTTTGTGCATCATCATCATTCTCAAATGCCAAATTACCATGCAATGACAATAACTATCACATCATGATTTGATGTGTAGTCCAACAAGCATCTATTACCAAATTTTGATAGCTCCATTTTCTGTCTCTTGTTTGTTGTTTTCATCTTGTTGGTATTTGCATCCTTTCCCCCCTTCAAATACATCAATATAATTTGTGCCACCGCACCGACTCTGAAATTCATCTCAACTTTAGCTCTTCATTCATTCTTGTGAGCTAAGTTGATGAAGGGTTTTGTTTCCAAGTCCAATATGATTTACTTAAAATCACTCACTAAAGATCTCTAAATAAAGGATTTATTTATGGCCTACATTTTTAATTTGAGACGTGATTATAAAACGTAAAAGGTAACTCATAAAATAGTTGAAGACACATAAAACAAAAAGAAATCATCCACAAACGTAATTACCCAGCCCTCTGAGAACTATAGACGAGACTTTCATCTCATGTTATGCATGTAAAACTACCCAACGAATGATATTATCAGAAGTTTTCAACTTTACTTATAAAACTTTTCTATACATTCACTTGATATTTAGTGGCATACACAACTTTGTGTATTTTCAGCACAATGCATAACGCCTTGTAATCATATATAACCTCTAGTCTAAAATAATTATTCCAATGAATACTAGTATATAGACAGACTATATATATTTTCGGTGCAATCAATATTATTGTAAATCTTCAAGGGGCAAACTTTAGATTCTCCTTGTTTTCCATCCCTATATATAGTAGCTAGTACTAGCATATCCCATTAGGAGTTGGGACGCTCGGGTATAAATACGAGACAATCACCCAATAGCGTGAGGTGTTGGCGTAGGAGTAATAGCCCCCAGTGAGGGTCCCTTTAGTTTTTAATTTTTTTGGAGTTTTTGGTTTCGTTTTCTTTCTCCTTTCCTTAATGTTAATGTAATGCTGGCCTGAACGAGTGTTCCATGGCATGCTTAGAAATGTACAACCAAAACAACAACGAACACAACAAACACCTTGGGGGCGCTCCTCCACTTATCAGCCCCAGAATCTCTTTCTCCAATGACTTCGTCCTTGATTCCTCTTCTTCCTCCTCTTCCTCTGTTTCTCATCCCCATTTCAGGTCTTATAGGGATGCACCCGTTTCTTCAGACTTTGAGTTTTCTGTGTCCAATTACTCAATGATGAGTGCTGATGAGCTTTTCTCACAGGGAAAGCTCTTGCCTTTAAAAGAAAATTGCACTAGTAGTACTCATCCGTTCCAGAGGACTACTACTACTACTACTACTACACTCAGGGATGAGCTTATGAATGGAGATGACAACGATGCTGATTTTTCCTTAAGGCCACCGAAGAGTTCGACTAGGTGGAAAGGTTTTTTAGGACTGAAGAAATCTCACATTGGATCCAGAAAGATTGAAAGAGGTGAAGGGTCGGATTTGAAGAGGTCTTCTTTCCTTCATGAAGATGGTCACTCTGGAAAGCCTTCCCAGGTAAAAATGATAAAATCCCTTTACATTTTTTTGTTTAGTTTCAGCAAAGTTGGAAACTTTTTTTAATTCTGAGGTTTTAGCATTGATGCACAATAATGTTTGGGGGGTTGGATGCAGGATATGATGATGAATGATGGTGGGTCGGGTTCCAAGATGAATCAAGATCAGTTCCGGTTCTAGCAGAAGATGATTTATGAGTATCTGTGTGAAAATGGCGGGTTTAAGAAGTATCTACTTGTCAAGTTAGCTGGTATTATTATTGGTTAGTAGTAAGTGTTTTTTGTGGGGTGGAAATGAAATCACCCCTGTTCAAGTTGTGTAGGTTTCTGGAAGCTGCAAAAAAAAATTTGTAGTAAAATTTTTAGTGGGGATTGGATTAACATTTTGATTGGCACAAGTAGTTTTGTTCTTGTTTTGTATGCTCTTTTTTTTTTTTTTTTTATTCATCTTTCTTCTATCATCATTTCTTGAAGAAGATAAGATGGATGATGTTTTCAGGGTTGGTCTGTGTTTTTTTCCTGTACAGAAAAAAAAAAAGAAGTATTTGCAGTTGATGAAGAAGAAAAAGAGTGCTTTTTAGTTTTTATTTTCCATTTTTCCTCTGTTTTTGACATCTTTCCCTCTTTGCTCCAACTTCTTCAGCCAAAGTACCTCATTATTAGTTCAATTGAGTAAAACTAATCAGAATTTCATAAAAGGTGTTTAAATTATTGGTTTACCAGAAACTGGGAGCTGCCAAAAATGATGATGAGATGAGGGGAAAAACACAAGTACAAATGCAGTGTTGTTGTTGCAAGCTGCAAAAAGAGCAGAAGGAAGGAAAAGGAAGGAGTGTGTGACTGTATGCATGTGTGGTCAAACATGACAGCTAAGCCATAGCTGGTTGGTGTGTGTATGACTGTGAGCATCATAAATTTTTAGTACCACCACCAACTAGCGTTTCTTTCACTCCCACAAAATTTTTACTAGTAAGTACATTAGTTAGAAATAAATATGACAAAATGCAAATTGGGGGCGGGGGTATTTACTCCTGTCCTTAACATAAGACATTTTAATTTATTTTAAGTTTTATTTAGGATGTATTAATCGATAAAAAAATTTTAAAAATATATTTTCATATTTGTTGTATTTTTTTAATTGTTAGAAAATATTTTTAAAATTTTTTTGTCAATTAACAATATATATTAGATGAAAATTAAGATAAATCAAAATATTTTATATTAAAGACCGGAGAAAATATATATATTACCTGGGTTTATATAACTACTGGTCAAACTTCAAAGTACACAGTACCTAGATAGAGCCTGTTCTGTATATTTTATATTTTGGGTCAGAAGAAAAGAGATAAGGAGGAACTCAAGAACTTTCCTGCTACCTCATTCCTAGCTTCTCAGAAGGAATCTTTGGCTTCTAGTTCTCGTCTTCCCTCTTTCTTTCTTTTTTCCCCCTATCCTCTTCCTTGAGAAGCTCAAAACTCATTGCTATGATGACCCGCGCCAAACGTCCTCAGAGCTTAAAACTTTATGGTCGTTTGAATTGTCCAATGGTTTTAGGTTGAGCTGGAAACATGCCACGCCCAAATTGCCAATCCCTGGTGTTCACTTGTATTCCCTTTCTTCTTCCACGTGACTACTTCGTCACCGAACAAGATAATCATTTCGTGACGAAAGTATACGAAAAATTCTTGAATAAATTACTACATATATCATAACTTATTTTCTTGTTTTGCATACATATTGTTGCGAATACATGCTCTAGCATTTAACCATCTACCTGGCCAACTTCTGAGGAAAAATCAGCCGATATTAACAGTTATGTCACAAAGCAGAATATTCAATTCAATATTTCAATGTATTACTGTGTTAGATAGACATTGGACAGTTGAAATTCTACATATTAGGCGATCCGACAACGAGGTGTTACACGTATTACCTAAAATGGGCTGTTCGACCCATGGCGGAGTACATATTTTAGTAACACCACCATCGTTAGCATTAGAGAAACTAGCTTTTGATAGCCCGTCTCCTCTTTCAGAAGTCATTTTATAAACTAAGTTAATTAGCTTCCCCAATATATATATATATATATATATATATATAAAATAAATAAATAAAATATTTCAATGTACTACTTAAACATAAACCGAAAAGTTAGCAGTTAGCAGCAAAGCGAGAATAGAATTTTCCACAATTTTTAAGAGAAATACTCCTCTCTTATCTAGCTTAAAATGCAATATGATATTCATAAAGATTATCCCTTTCTTAACCTTTTCTTTTCTAAGCTTAAAAAAAATCCCTTTCTTAAGCTTTCAGTTTTCATTTGTAATTTTGTATAGTCTTTCGTCCAAAAATTTTAGTACTTGGTTGGACATCAGTTTTGTTTTCATTTTTAACTTGAATGTAGAAAGTGTTTTAAGTGGAAAATATAATAGAAGATGAAAAAATTGTTTAGATGGTATTTTAGCAAACAGTTGTTTGAATGGTTGTTGGGGAAAAGTTTTTTGGAATATGTATTGAAATATCAAGTACGAAACATATCATTAAATAATCGAAAAGTGTCAATTTTAGTTACGGTAAAAAAAGAATTTAAAAAATGATCACTAAATAACGGAAAATTGTCGATTTTGGTCACTATAAAATGATCACTAAAATCACGGAATAACTTCTAAGTTTAATATTTTACAGTAACAAAATCGACACTTTTCCATTGTTTAGTGATCATTTTTTAAATTCTTTTTTTATAGTGACTAAAATTGACAATTTTTGATTGTTTAGTGATATTTTTCGTACTTGATATTTCAATACATATTCCAAAATATTTTTTCCTAACCACCATCTCATTGGGCCTAGGTTTTTTGACTAAAGACAAACTGAAATAAATGTACAAATTTTGAATTTTGTCACTGAACTATTTTTAGTTCAAGAAATAGTTAATGCCTTAGCAAAATGTTTCAAGTTTGATTTTAAAATGTAAATCAGAAAATTGTTTGGACGTCAGTTTGATTTGTATTGAGTTTTGTGTTTAAGAGACAAAATGAGTTGAAAATGCAAAATGAATGGACATCCAAATAAACCCATTATAATTTGCATTGGGTTTTGTGTTTGTAAGGTAAAATAAGTTAAAAATGTAAAATGAGTAAACGTCCAAACAAGCCCAATTTAGTTGAGGAGCCTCGTAGTCATCCCTGCAGGATAGTTCTTTGTAGGCTCTTTATCTATTGTTCCCAAACGAAGATCGTTGAGGAGCCTCGTAGTCTTTCCTAGAGGATAGTTCTTTGTAGGCTCTTATCTATTGTTCCCAAACGAAGATCGTTATGGATAACTTCAATGTGACATTGCCTCTCTCTTTATTCACAAGCATTTGCTTTTATCCTCAACTTTGGTTACTTTATTGGGTCTATTCTATTTTACCTCTAAATTATCTATGAAATCAATTAGCACTTTAAAGATGGTGCATTAGTGTTAGGCTATATATAATGTAGTTGGTTCCTTCTGCGAACCTGTTCATCACGATGACGACACTTTAGACTTGGGAAGTCTCATTTTCCCTGACACATAAAAAAGTCTATTTTGGTACAACATTAACCAAAGTCTACTTGGTAAATCTGCCCAGTTTCAACAAACCAAAAACAGCTTTAATCTTAATTAACTACACCTAGAAGGCTAAAAGGCTAAAAAAAAGTTGATACATTACATCAATATCTCTAAGTTAGGCTATGGTTTACAAGTCCACAAGTTTTTTAAAGTGCGTTAAAAACCTCTTCCTTCCTTGCATATAAAACATCGTATATGCAGCGGAAAGCAGGAGGCTACGAAAACTTATTTAAGAGACATTATTACCACGGAGCATCCACTTCTTCCTGGAACATCAGCTCATAATTCTCAGCCATTGACCTCAGCGCCTCTATATCAGCATCTTGTTTCTCAGCCAATCCTCTTAATTCTTCGAGCTTGGCTTCAAGCTTGTTTATTTGATCTTCAGTGGTCTCACGTTCGCTTTTTGCCTCCCAGAATTTTTTTGTCTCCACAGCCCCCTCAAAGTCAAATGCAAGACTAAGCAGCCTACTCAGACGTGCTCTTAAAAACCCAACATTCATGCCCAGAAGTTCAAAGGACTTCAAAGACTTCTCCCATTTCTCGAACTCATTCCTCGAGGTCGTGACTTTACAAGCTTTTATGGCATCTGCAGTGCTGACAGCTTCAAAAATCATACCAGCAGCCAACTTGCAGTGAAGACCACAGAGAAAACGCTCGTGAAGGAATGCATTTTTGCTGCAGCAGAGGTCATAATACTTTCTTCTTACTTGCTCGGGAAGTTCAGAATCTATGCATACCCCATTCACCATTATGCGGAAATCCTCGAAGCTTTTAATGTCGCTAAAACGAATTCCAGCTGCTGACGATTTGGCACCCTCTAAAACTTCTGAGGCAACCTCATCACTGACGTTTCCAGAATGTTCCTCCAATGAACCTGAATGGGCCACTAGTGTGCCTGACATGCCAGCCTTCTGTTTCTTCTTTTGCACCATAGTCAGAGGAAGAGACTTTGGACGTTTCTTTTTCTTGTTTTTAGGATCCCCAGATCCCTCCCCTTCACCTAATTTGTGTAGTTCAGGATGAGAGAAAACATCCGATAATCAGGACAAGAGCTTGTTTTAATTTGAATTTAGATATTTGCAGACAAACAACTAACCATTTGCATCAGCTTGTTTCGTAACTATCTCCAAATTTAGAAGGCTAAGAGCACCATCAACCTCGCTTAAATCGTTAGCCCTTATCACTAACACCTGCAAAATGAGAATCATATGAGCAGAAAATACACTTTCGAAGGTAATCGAGGCAGCTGCAGAGCAATAACTTGTCCAATACACCAAACAAATCAATAATTAAACATACTTGACGGATGTTTCCTAAAGATTCTTGTTTTCAGGGGCTGCAAATTGTGCCTACTGTGAGTGGTATCAACTAACATATGTCACACAAGCACCATGCATAACTCTTGCACCACTCATTTTTATTTAAAATTAGTTAATTATAGTATTAAAGGGATATTAGGATGAATGAAAAATTAAACAATGATCCACACCAAAAAGGCCAAAACATGTTTAACAGGTTAAATATTCCTGCACCTTGAATGTGGTAGGCTCAACTAACTGGAAGATCAAGACATCTCCTTCAACCAGCTTGTGAGCAGCAACGAACTTTCTCCATCCTGCACTAAGTCCTGTCTTTTCTGAAATGTATTTTATCTCAAACTGTTCCCCACTTTCATTTTCAAGAACCATTGTACAGTCCTTTCTTGGTAGATGAGCTTTGCAGAATGGCACAGGAAGGCCCTGAAACATAACAGTTAGGAATTAAAGGGGCCAATGGCATGCTCGAAGAATATTCTTTGCAGAATCCTAGCTCAAATCGTATCTAAATAATGCTTACCATCCAAAAACAACTCGCAACATGCGATCTAACTAACAATTTTAGAAAGCTAGGGTGCTCATTTCCTAAGCTTGCTTGAACTTCCTCTGCTCGGATCAAGGTTGGTGGTTTTATAACAGGAGTTCCTGGTCCATCATCTCCAGCCTTTTCCCTTTTACTGCATGAAGTAACTATATGAGCCATCTTGACTTGAGCAAAAAGCATAACCATTCAAAAAACAGCATTAATTTGAGGAATTCAACCAACCTGGGATTTTTTTTGGCACCATCAGTTGTTGCCTGCCAAAAAAACCATAAGAATTCCCCATGGCATGATAAATCCATCAATAAAAAGAAGTTAAAAAATAATTGATTAAACTATGCTTTGAAGAAAAATACCAGAGTCAAAGATAAAATGATAGCACCGAAAGAAGTTGCTAAATGAAACAGAAAACTTTTAACCTTGTGTACTTTGCGATTTTACAATCTCCAGTCAAAACATGAAAACGTTTAGGTTCAACCAACTATAAATAGAGACCTTTACTTTTTTTGTGCATCAGAACTAGAAATGCAAATAAACCATCTTTACAAACAAAGGAAAGAAAAATAAACAATACTCAAATACGAATGAAGGATAGATAAGCTAGAAACATAAATACTTAACTCAAACACAAGAGATTCCTGATTATCCAATTAACTAGGAAACATGAAGCTATTCCCGAATACGGAAGAGAACTCTGAAGGGCAAGTTCTATTTTATCTTTGCTTCTTTCTTCTTTACCTCATACCACTTTCCTGTATCATGTACCTGAACACGTTTCCATGCCAAGTAGATGGCACATCTAAGGATGAAGGTAGTCATAACTCATAACTAATACAATGGGATAACATGAAAAAGTGTCTCCCACTGACATTGATTCATGTCAAACAGCTATTCTTGCTCTGGACTACTAGTTGATAACCCACTATCTACAAGGATGCACCCGTGTTCAACTTTGCTACAATATCCCGGACTCAACTGGTTTAACATTCATTTGATAGTCAACTATAATTTAGCTCAAACACCTAATCAACATTTCGTATTCTTCACATTCTAGTGCTTGTAAGCATTTGAATTGGGTAAGGAAGTCCATCCTAGCTAGCTTTCTTTCTTATCTTTAGTCCCCAGGACTACTTAAATCATCTTCCTAATTCTCAGTATCCACAAAACTGCAAGAAGTGGAGAATCCCGAAAGTAAACAACTCCTGTTGAGTAACTACCAGGAATGTCATAATAATCTGCATAACTTCCAAGACCATGTAGAACGCAATAAGATTAACTGATTATCTTCTGTCAGTGAAAAGTGACAAAGCAGAAAATCTAAGCCATTCCCTTCTTAAGTGAGCTATCGCGGGGTCATTTCTATCTAAAAGACCTTCATGTATGCGCTTCAATTACTTATTATGCAGAGGCAGAAAAAAATTGACATGAAATGGTGTGCCATAGCATCTAACAAGGCCAAACAAAAGATAACAGCCAACGCGTTTGCACTGCTAAAACAAACTCTAAAATTTCACATGAACTCTTACCTCACATGCACATTTCTACTACCCTGAGTGGTTGAAACATAAGCAAGTTCCAAGTTCCAGAAATCATAAAAAGCCAGGCAATTAGGAATAGGAAATTCACAATTCGTCTTTAAAAGAAAAGGGGAAGAAAGAAAAAGAATAAAAGGACAACTTCAAAACCCGTCAGTCAGACCGGAAAAACAAAGGCATCTCAAACGAAAAAAAGGAAGACGAAAAAAAAACAGGTCGATCTCAGACCTGGTCGGATTTAGAAGCAGAAGAAGGCTTCTTCTTCCTCCTGAAAATAACTGGGGAAATCTCGTCCATACGTTCCTTAGGCTTCCTCTTCCTCTTGCCCTGTACAATAACGAACCAGATCTAACACCAATTCGAACAAATCGAGAAGCATACGGGAAGGAACGAACACAAAGTGAAAGATGAGAAACGAGGAACGAACCAGTGGCTGGGGATCGGAAGGAGCGGTTGGTGACAATTCAGGTGGGTTATTATTATCAGGGTTGGCCGTAGCCTCCTCAATATGGGCTTGTTCAGCCATTAACCAAACTCCTTCAACAAAGCCCTGTTCTTGTTCCTCCTTGACAATCGCGGTTAAAGGGACTTCTTCTTGATCAGAAGTAGCAGCAGGAGTAACATTGCCCCCGGCAACAGCTTCAGGACTTGGCTGTACTTGCTTTATTTTCAACCTCATCTCTCTGGAAAGAAAGGGGCACAAAAAATCAAAGCCCTGAACCAATTACAATGAACCAGGGAGGTAAATTTATTCAAAGCTGGGTTCTTTCCACACAATTTGTGTTTTCTGATGGCTTGGGTAAATTAACTAACTATAGTGTATTTTTGCCGATGTGCGAAGAGGAAAAATAATGAAATGTTGGGAAATCGAATGAAGAAGAGTCTGAAGGCAAAAAATATAAGGCAAATTTACGAAAACCTGGGGAGTTGTAGGTGCGGTGCGTGGGTCAGACAAAACTTCACCATTGTGCCGGGGTTCTTTTTCTTTTTTCCTTTATATATATATATATATATTTTTTTTTTTCGGCTTAAGGTTTCTATTTTTTTTTTCTCGCTTACTTTGGTCGTGTAAGTACATCAACACAACAACAGTTAAACAATGAGAAAATGAACATTTTGCTAAACACACAAACCTCAATTCATCCGAGGCATTTTTAACCTAGGACTTCATTCCCAAATGCAAAAATGGTGGATTCAATTCATATCACGGGAGAAATGAGCAATTCCCCTGTTTCTAAAAACTTTACCAAAGTTCATTTGAAATTCTTGAAGATGAACAAACAACGAAGCGCGCATTTTGGCATTAACATTTTGTTGTTAAGTGTTAACCATTGTGTCCGTCAATTATTATGAATCGGTTAAAAGAAGGAATAATAATCATTGCCATATTGCTGCCGTACATATTCAGTTTGCGTGGCGAGAGGTATGGTTATACTTTTTATTGGTTTCCCCACCAAAAGAAGTGACACAACAACAGATTAGTAGAGAGATTTTAATTAGTTTTAGTTAAAACTAAAAACAGAGCAAGTGTTACAGCAACATATATTAAAATTAACAGCGAAGACTAAGAACTAGTCCACAAACTAAAAATTACAAAGGTAGAACAACAAACGAAAAACAAACCCAGGTCGTTGAAAATGAGGAAAAGACATCAAATTTCATGATTGTTGTTGTTCATGGAACTGGGCAAATTCATTAAAGGCTATGGAAAACCCGTCAGGTGAAGAGATCTATCTCGAACAATCGGGCCCTGAATCAAAGTGAACCAGATGCGTGTATATATTGTTAGGCCACCAGTCGTGAGTCATGGGCATCTTTCACACCTAACCTCAAACAAAGGAGCTCTGGATATGGAAATTTTGGGCATAAAACAACAGCAACGGGATGCATATTCCATGTTGGCCTTAAACTCCAACTTCCTATTCAGTTCTATTTTCGCCATCAGAAAGTTAGGATTTTTAGTCATACTGGAAAAGGGTAAGGGATTCCAATTTTTGCATCTCATCTGTTCTGGGGATCTTTTTTCAGGAGAGATTCATAGGGAGTTTTGACCCGTTCCGGGGCTTGCGGCTGTGCATATGACGACACAATTAATAATTCCGAAAGGCAGCTAAGCTAATCGGTGATCAGACAATCTGACAAACAATACAGCAACACATCTGCGCCCCCGGAAAAAATACTCTGCACAGATGCTCTTCGTTTGTGAGGTTGAAGAGAAGGAAACAGATCGCAACTAGATTCAGACTTGCCGATCAAATCCGGACCGGAACTTAATCCGATGGTTTCATGTGGTCGACGATGTTTATGTTTAACCATCTGTTCTTGTTTTGTCAATAACTAAATCCTGGAAGTAGAAGAAATAGAGCAGCTGGGTTTTGTGGATATATGGTATGGATGTTGAAATGGAAGTCCCACCGAATTTTTTCGTCAACTTTGGTCATTAACCATCTCATCTTTTCAGCGCTACATTAGGCTCTTGACTTTGTGGGAACTGAGAAGGGAACCAGGGGGAAAGTTACTGCATTGGGGTACTTGGTAACAAGCGTTTTCGTTCTCTTCTTTTAAGGAAAATGAAGAAAGCAAATATCGAGTAGAGTCAATCCTGTTGGATCAATGAGTGGCTAGGGATCTCATCATCCAGTAAGACATCTGGAGTTCAAATCTCCCTAATTTATTAGTTTTTCTTTTCTCTTTACTTCCAAGCACGATGTCCCTGGCTAGAAGCGTGAACAAAACCATGAAAAAAGTAAGAGGAAAATCACATTGAAATCTAGAGTTTACTACTCTTGTCTTTCATGGATTACATCACTCCCCATCTCACATAATTGGAAGATAAGTACGTCGTATTTCAGATTTGTATTAAGTTTTATTATTTTCTTAGAACAGAAAAAATAATACTTAAAATACAACAAACATGACAATTGTTTTGAAACCAAATAAGAACCCCAGAATAGTAGTTTCATCACTTGTAAAAGTACTCGGCACCAAACTGGCCTGGTTTATGACTTCGTGTGATAAAAGAGAGGCCCAACGGACATTCAGAACCAGATAACATTCATGGGCTTTTTACCATATCGATTAGTAAAAGTCAAAATTTATCAATTGTATCAAACTTCATTTCATCAGCTTTTAGATCCAGTCTTTATTGTTTGACACTTTTGTAGTCATAGCTACTTCCACCAGTTAGTACGTATACTTTGTACCTTAGAACACATAACAAAACTAACCCTAGACATCTTATATATCAAAATGAAGATAGAACCAAAAAAATATTTATTGTTCCAGTTACTGGTCTAAATTTATTTATCCATAACTAAGAACTTTTTTCCCGAATCTCATGCTGCCATTTCTAGCGGCTTAAATCTTTACAAGTCTACAATAACTGCTGTAGAAACATTCAACCTTAATTGGAGAGATTCATTACAATCAAAATTCAAAATCGCAGGTAGCCATCTCCAATTTCTTGCATTCAAACTCCCTTGGACTTTCAGGCATTCTCCGGAATTAACCAAGAATATATCATCCCAATCTTATTTATTGTACTGAAAGTCTGAAACAATATTATACACATCACCTATGACATTTTTGAGCAACGGGGAGAGAGTATTTCTTATGTCTAAGAAAAAAATTAAAACATATATTTGCATTGTACCACTCACATCAACACGTTCACAATTTTGTCATTCAACTGAAGCGGTTGGGAGTTTTCTTTCAACTTTTATAACTTAAATTAGTTATTTCCCCCTTTCAAATGAATAAAATGCTCTTAATTGACGTTGACATACTTAACAAAAACAGGGGTGATTGGTTGTGATGCCGCACCAAAACGCGCAGTATTAATGCTACTACATGAAAGAAACACATTTCTAAAAATTGGTTAATTGTTTTTAGTATTCAAATGCAAACACCGCCTAATTTTCCTGCAAAAACCGAGAATGTAAAACTGAATTTTATCTCCCCAACAAATACATGCTATGTTCATATCATCTTATTGAAACAATATTACTATCGCAGTCTACAGATTTACTATAGTTTAATGTGCCAACGCAAAACACGATATAATTGGTCTGATGTCGCACGTCGTTATAACTAAGTGTTTCCTAAATCTCAACTTATAATTGAAACCGTCTCAAGTAATGATACTGTCTTATCCTTATAGAAGTGGAGGAATTTACAAAAGATCAAGGCAGAAATTGCAGAGGAATTCCGAGAAAGGAGACGTAATTACATCCTTTTTATGTGATTAAGTATATTATTTGGCTCTTTGCTGCCACGAAGTTAATTTATTTATGAATATCAAGGAGATGGCGCAATCGGCAGCTGGTCAAATTAAAGTAGATATATATATATTCATCGTTTCAGTTGGACCAGTTCCAAATCCCAGTTTTTATGCCTGCGAAATTAGCAGACGCTTGGCTGCGAAAGATGGGTGAGTAGTTTATGGGAAGCAACGAAATGGCGTCTAAATTAGAGTAACATTCAAGACTAACAATAACTATTGTCATATATCTTATGATATGCTGATCATAATACTACATGCTGATCATAATACTACCAAAAAAAAAAAAATAAACTTTATTATATTACTTCGTTGCATATATACAATAGTGATTAGTTTGAGATTTTTGTCTTGTGTCTTGTTATTTAGCAGTTCTTCACTTCCGGGTGGTTGTATTATTATATTAATAATACAAAATAAAAAATTAAATAAGACAATCATTTGAGACTAGCAATATTACTTTGTTCCATTTGTTTAAAAGGAAAAAAAAAAGAGAGTATCAACGCCAAAAAACTAGAGCAATAGATAGCCAGTATTGTATTGGCATTGTGGTCGTTTATTCTCCTTCCCTTGTGTAGCATTTCGTTTATTCTCATTTTTTTTTTTTTTACAAAATCATGAATCTGTAAAAATTATTTTTACTGAATTATTAAATTGGGACAAACAAAGTGCTATTACAATTGAAAAACATGTTGAATTATTTGAGAGGGTGACCTCATTGATGAGAGAACTTACAGAAGTCTTCCAAAATATACAAAGGGCAGCCTCTCTGGACCCATGCAAGTGAGGTTTTAATATTTGTTTCAGTATTTGTTTTCATTGTTAATTTAATTGATATCATTTTTACTTTTTTCTATATTGTCTGAGACTTGGGGCATAAGAAATAGGAGTACTAATTAATTTAATTTTAGAATTGTGCACTGCAATTATGTTGACTTTGACCGAAGGAGGTACTAGTAGTTTCGTAAGCTGCAGAGTCAACACAATCATATGCACAAATTTGGGAAAAAAAATTAAACCGTAATTTATCCAACGAAAAGACTCCCAGGGGAAGAAGAAATAACGTGTCCCAGAGGAGACTGTTGGTTTGGGTTGACAAATGTATATAACGTTGTTGTTGTTGTTGTTGTTGTTGTTTCAACTGTCAAAACTTTCACCCCAGTTCATCTTCATACGCTGAGCCACAGCGCCAGACCAGCATCCACGTTTTTGCCCCAGATGTACAGTCGTCTTCATCATTGAGAAAATTCACCAGTCAACTAATTCAATTTTAAGAAGAAATGGAAGCTTCATTTAATTAATATAATAAAGTTTATATTTTTTATAAAAAAAAATGGTCATTTCATTTCTTTGAATTTTCGTGAATTAATCATCTATCTATCTAATCCCATTATTATCTAATTCTATCTCGGTGTCTCTTTCCAGACGGCGGACCATTCCCGTAGTTGTTGCTTTCCTTTTTTCTTTGATATTTTCCGTGATTTCACTACCCCCTTTTTTTTTTTTTTTTTTAATTAAGGCTAATTTAGAGTTCTACACCATTTATTCTGGACAGTAATTTGCTGTTCAATTTTGGTTGGTTCACGACCTGGAAGCTTTCCTGTACTGTTTCTCTTGGCTTTTTTCCCCCAACTTTTGTTTTGTCATGTAGCCCCAACGCTTTCTCTTCTTCCAGATATTCTTTTCTCTCTTCGTAGTTCAAACAATTCTTCCCAAATCCCTGTCTTGAGCTTGAAAATCTCTGTTGGGTTTTGAAAATTTGACAACCATACTTTTTCCCTGCAAGGTTGTATGTTTTCTCCCTGTAGAATTTTCATCTGCTTAATGAACAGAGGTCAAACATGTCTCAGGAAAACTTTCTGAGGTCCCTTTATGTGATTTTCGCGTTTTGTGCTGCCCTCTTTTTTGGTGCTCTCAAAAGTTAGTAGCTTTTTTTTCCATGTTTTGTTTAACCCTTTTCTGTTTTGCTTGTTCTGATAATGAATTCTTTTTCCAATTCTTTTGGCATACTGTTTGTGTTTTGATGATCATCTTGTGCTGTGGTTCAGGTTTGCTGGTGGGTCCTATTGCCGGTCTAATACTCATAATTGGGAATGTTGGGGTGATTTTGGGTCTCTTCCCAGCACACTTTGTCTGGACTGCCTACACTATCTACGAGTAATAATTATCTCTGCTTCCTTGATTGCTATCTATTATCGCTTTGTGTCTGTCGTTTATGATTATTCTGCTTGGAACTTTTGTATTTGAAGACCCAATATTTTTACTTGTTCTTAAAGATTTTCCCTCCAACTATCACAGGACAAATAGATTTGATGCACCGCTGAAAGTTGCACTGTTTTTGGGCTTGCCTGGCTTATTTGGTATCTGGTTGGGTTTAAGCATAGCTGCAAGTGTTTTTGTGGGCGTAGGATATGGGTTTTTCACTCCTTGGGTTTCGGCTTTTGAGGCTTTCAGACATGATGATGACTCCAAGAAGTTCTTCCATTGTGTTGTGGTAAAATATTTCTGTAACTTATGCCTGTTTTTGTTTTTCTTTAAGTCCTGATTTTGGACCTGTCTCACCCATGCATTCCGGTTCTGCCAGGATGGAACCTGGGGGACTATCAAAGGAAGTTGCACAGTTGTTCGAGATTTTGCAGATTTATGCTATCATTCTTACCCACTTTACCTGCAAGAATTGCGGGAATCACCTTCTTCCCAGACGATTGAACCTCTCAGGTAACATTCCTCATAGTCATGTTATCTGTATGAATTTAGTGAGAGGATAACATAATTTGTTTGCTCTCTTTTACTCTGTTCCTGTAAAATTTGGTGTATTGCCAATGTAGGATATCCGCAATCTATATAATTCATGAGATTCATTTGCTTGAAACTTTTCTGCAGGCTCATCCACATTCCAGGATGTATTATTGCTGGTATTTTGGGCCTGATTGTGGAAATCCCTCTGTATACGGCTATTGCCATTGTGAAGAGTCCATACATGCTGTTCAAAGGTTGGCAGAGATTGATACATGACTTGATCAGCCGAGAAGGGCCATTTCTGGAAACAGCTTGCATTCCCATTGCTGGTTTGACCATCCTTCTCTGGCCGCTTGTTGTAATTGGTAGCATTATAGCCGCCATTTTTACCAGCTTCTTCATTGGATTATATGCCTCTATTGTTGTATATCAGGTTTGTTCTCATCCTTTAGTCACGAGTCTTTTGGTCGTGTTGCCTGAAATGTTTGTTTTACTGATGAATGCTCACTGTTATGCAGGAGAGATCATTCAGGAGAGGCATTGCCTATGTGGTTGCTATGGTAGCTGAATTTGATGAATATACAAATGATTGGCTTTATCTTCGAGAGGGATCCATCCTTCCAAAGTAATGTTTGATCAGCACTTCCTTTATTCTTCTGGTTAGGCATATAATTTGGGTAATAATGTTGCCATTTCCAGCAGTACTAATGAACTTTTTTGCAGCCAGGCCTCGATATCGAAAGAAGAAGATTTCCAACTCATCTGAACTTGCTACCGATCAAAAGGCAACAGTAACAGTGAAATTCAGCTCAGTTCTGACCGAAGCCCCTAGTATGATTGTTCCAAGATTGTCATCATCACGATCAGTGAGGGAGGCTATACAAGAAGTGAAAATGGTCCAGGTATTCCCTTTATGCTAGAAGGTTCAAGATGGAGGATTTCTAACATATGACTATTTCATAGTTCATAATTTAGCAAAATCGTATCACCTCTAAGTCATGTTATCATCCATAACCGTTGATATGACGGAAGATCAGGTTTTAGGAAGGGTCATCTTGATGGAATTGATGAGAGCTAGGTTTTGGCTAACTAGTCATAGATGTATCATCATCTGTCTGTCCGTCTATGTTGGTTAAACCAATCTACATTCTTTACAACCACGTAAACCAATCACATCCAGATGTTCCTCTTAAGCTCATAAAACCACCTGAATGGTACTCTTAATCTGAAGTTGTTGTGATCAAGACTTCTTGGGAACCTTTTGTAGCTTATGATGAGGACATCTGGAAATTGAACAGCATCGCCTGCGTTCTTATGCAGTAAAACTAGAAATGGCTTACTGATAAATTGTCCATGTATCTATTGACTATCGAATGAGTTTAACATAACAAGTTCAAAATTCCATCCAGACAGTGCCCAGGGGCACTTCATTTTCAGCTGATTAATGCCTTTCCATGCCTTCTTGAACAACAATGTTGACGAAAATTGTGATGAATTTTTCACAACGAGAAACATCGCAAGTTTATGTTCATCATTACAATACTTACAGATAGTTAACTTTGTTGGGAATAAATTTCTGCGAAAATACCTTATTGCTCCCTTCAAATTCTGAAGGTATGGGGACACATGATGAGGGCATGCGAAGTGAGGGGCAAACAATTGTTGGATGCTGATGTGATAACTACAGCCGACCTCTATGGGTGGTTGAAGGCCAAAAACGGCAGCGAAAACCCCATCATAGATTTTGGATTGCCTTGTTACGCATTCTTGCAGACCATAATTCACTCCATAAATGCCGGATCAGATGGTCTAGTGCTTCTCGATGGCCTTGAGGTTACTCACCTGAATCGACCTCAGGACAGGTTGTTTGATTGGTTCTTCCATCCCATTTTGGTCCTCAAAGAACAGATAAGAGTAATACAACTCGAAGATTTTGAGCTGAAGTTTTTGGAGAAAAGGGTTCTCTTTGGAAATGACACAGCACGCTTAAAGGCTTGGGACAATGGCGGTTTGATGCCTGAAGATACACTAAAAGCTGCTCAGATTGAGGGCATCAGCAGGAGGTAAAAATGACCTTTTTTTTTCCATGCTTTTTAACTTCAAAGTTAAGCAAAATAGCTGACTCCGAATTGCTGTTTCTTTGTAGGTTGATTGGAATGAACAGAAGCATTGCGAAATTCCCTACTTACAGGAGGAGATTTAAGCAGGTTGTGAAGACGTTGATCATTTATTCGATAGCAAGGGAAGATTCCGCTAATTCTTCTGCATCATATTCAGCAAACATGAAACATTTCAAATCAGCATCTGTCAGAGTGGTGGCATCCAGAGACATGGTCTAAAATTACCGATTTTGTATTTGTCTAACTTTGAGTAGTAAAGGAAAGGACTTTCCCCTGGGTTAGACCTGTTATGCTTTTCTTCTGTAAATCCGCTGCGAAATCTATTTTGTACATGATAGATAGTTTTTCTGGCCTGATTCTTTAGTCAATAGGCCAATCCCTCGAGGATAATGTCGTCTTATGATTTATCATTGTACTTAAGAACATCGAAAAGATTGGAGTTCATGCAATGAACCAATGACTTCTGCCCCTGCTTGACTTAGACAACTAATGGAAAAACTGTTCTGCGGGTCAAAACAACAATCCAGCGTGCCAAGGCCTCCTCTTTTAGAATGTTTGTTCACCTGATACGTTTAGTAACATCATCAGCAGTAGTAATTGACAAAGTTCCTTAATTTCGATACTGAAAGCTGCATGTTGTTCCTACTTCAGACACTGCAAACAGAAAAGGGGAAAGTTGGGCCTGACTCAGTTTCAACTTAATTCCACCGTCCCAAATGATTCTCATGTTAGCTGCAGTAGTATTATTTCGGAGCGGAAGGAATATGAAATTAGTGGAGTCACTAACAGGACTGGGAAACATGTTTTTGTTTGTTAATCTTGAGTCCAAGGTCAATTAACGTAACATATACTCGCTGAATGATCAATGGAAAGGAAATCAGGACTTTGGAACACGGACAGAGGAGAGTCAGAGTGAGTATTGACTATTGAGTGATTGGTTTATAACTATTCCGACGTGTTATACCCGACAAAAAAAAAGTCGACGGCGAATTCTTCTGGCAATTCCAACATTTTTCTTCTAATCGCGTTTAAAAGTCAAGTTCTTTACTTCATTCCGTCAAAGCCCATTGCAATATTTACATTTCTCCAGCTGCGATGTTCCATTTGATCCGTCCATCTTTAATTTTCATCAGATTTAAAACAGAGGTCATCACACGCAGTCGAATCATTATGTAGTACTCTAAACTGAAAGTGAAACTGATTTCCAAATTAGAATTGGCATTTGCTTGCTGGAATCTAGTAGATAAAGAAACGGGTTTTTTTTTTTTCTTTTAATGTACGTATCGCCAACAATGAGGTTCAGTTTATCAGAACTCCATCAAGAGTTGTTCTCCATGGCTCAATGGAGAAATTACATTTTTCTTGATCTTTTGAATGATGAGCTGATAACATTGCTGGGAGATAGATAAGAAACTCCATCTCTGTGAATGGGTTCAAATTAGAAAGTGCAGAAACTGCCATTAACGACAGAGTAAAGAATACTGCAGATTCGGGAGAAGCATCTGCCAGTAACCATGGTTTGAAGGAAGGCCTATATCGGAAAAGTGACCGGGTCAGCAAATGGCAAATCATCTGAATTAGTAGTTATTAATGCTAGAATTAATCACCCAGAGCCAGAAGGATGTGGAAATGTGTACCGTTCGTGTGGTCCTGGATTATTATAATATATGTTTGGTAGGAATTCCAGAGTTCTTTTGTAAGTCAAACAGTTATCAAGGTAAGCAGCTGCTTCTTTTATTCAAGTCATCAAAGTCAATTGAATCATGCAATAAAATGTAGTACTGGCATTTGGTCATTTTTAAATGTGCCATTAGAACTAAGAAGGCAATGAATTGTGTGCCTCATAATTCAACAACATTCATCAAGATTGAATCAATATGCCAAACTAATAAAAGGTTGAAAATTCGAAAGAAATATTCATAAGAGTAAATAAACCCTTCATTCCATCAAGTGTAGGCAAAACAATTGTATTGTTTATTACTCTCTCCGGTACTTAATATAAGTCATTTTGATTTGTCCTAGATTTAACCTAATATGCATTTTTAATTGACAAAAAAATCTTAAAAATTTCATAACAATCGAGAGAATACAATGAACGTAAAAATATATTTTTAAAGTTTTTTCGTTAATTATAAATAAATACATACTATGTGAAACTTATGACAAAATCAAAATACGTTATATTAAAGACCGGAGAGAGAGTAGTTTATGAGAGTGTGTAAATATAATACAGGGTGTCCTCTGATATTTGTACACTTTGCAGGGAAAGCGTGAAGGGAGGGTGGATATGCAGAGATATCTTCTTCTTCTTCAACTCTCAGTTTTAAAGCATTCTAATAGTATTTTGTAATTTTAAAAACTAAAAAGCACTGTGTGATTCGTGAACCAGAAACTTCCACCATTCCCACGTTCTCCAACTTTAAATTTCAATTACTAGTACTTTTTTAACACTGCAACGATTAATTATCACCAGATCCAAGAAGAATGCTCTTTGGTGACACAATCGACAGGCATTTTTTTTCCAAGGACACACACACGTTCTTACAACTTGAAAGTTGCTACTATAACCTGCAGTTGTTGTTTGCCCCTCAGTAGTAGTACTAACAACATTAATTACTCAGAAAAAAAGAAAAAAAAGATGGGCACCCAAAAACTGATCAGCTCTTAGCAGCCAAAAAAAAAAAAAGGTCCACCTTGACTGTGTGTTGCAGCCGCTGTTTAATTTTAACCATTCGGTTCCGTTTTCTGGAGTTAGTAGTACTAGTGCTACTGGTACTGGCATTGAATTAAGTAAAGCAAATGAATTAAGTAGTAGTGAAATCCGCTTTTTATCAAATTCCAAAGCGTCATTGGGATTCTAACGCACAAATGTAGGCCACTTTTACTTAAATTAGTTTATCAGCTAATTATAAAGTGCAATGCCTAGCTTCTTGTTATGTTGCAAAATGCCAACACAAAGACGCTTCACGTGAATTTACCAATATCAATCCTTTTTGCCCAGAAACAAACAAGATACTGGTACATTATCTTGATCTTATAGAACCATTATTCTCTGATCTACTTCCGTATGAGAGCACCAAAGTCAATGCCAAGTTGGAGATTATTCATTATTTTTTCCGTCTCATCTCAATAATCTATCTTACGAGATTATTTCCTAGTTGTTTAGACAAAAAAAAAAAATTGAGTCGAAATTGGTAGACAATTTGTGAAGGAAAATCATATTGATCAAAAAAAATTTCTTCTCATGATTCATGACATTATAACAAGGTTTTACCCATTTGGTTGAGCTAATATTTGGAAAAGAAAACCACAGCATTTTTTTTTTAACCAGCAGTAAGTACTCATTACAACCTCACCAAAGCACGCGGCTTCTGAGTAGATTGAAGAATCAACACCGTATCTCTCTGTTCAGTGGGAAAAAGAAAAAAAAAAAAAAGAAGATTATTGTTGTACTTAACTGATCAAACCAACAATGCTAGTCAGAAAAGACCATGATTGCATCCTGAGGACTGTAAAGGAAAAAAAAAAAAAAACTGTACTCTATATAAAACCAACAGTATCAGTATAATATCTCACACACTTCTTCTTCCTCCTCCTCCTCAGTCACTCTCATCAGTTTGTAGCAAAACCGACCCGAATCTCACGAAATATGTGTTTTGTTCCCCATTTAGGCCTCTCTTTCTGTTCCCAGTAACTCCCCTCCCTCCACAATCATTACCCTCATACTCTGCCACCACAGTCGACAAACCTTCTTCCTTCTTCACTGCCCACCTATTTATTTTTTACTTTTTTATTTTCTATTTTAGCATAAAGTAAAATAAATAAATCAGTACTATTCTACTCCCTCCTTCCCACAAAAATAGTCCAGTTTAAAAATGTACAACTTTTCTAATTTAGTCAACTCATTTAAAGTACAACTCATTTTTGTCTTTATATTTCCAATTGTACCCCTAATTTAAATTTTTAATCAATACCACCACCATCGTCGATCATCACGGGGGATAATTCCTCGGTTGTTGCTACGGTGACAAACAGCATCGCCGGAAAATTCTTCTATACAGAGGTGATTAAAAAAGAAAGCCCATCTCCTCCGCTGTTCACCGGAGCCAACTCTCGGTTATCACGAAGATGGAATTCCCAACTGAAGCTCTCAAAATATTCGGGTTCGAGATCAACTAGCTATCGCCGGAACAAATCACGGCCGCCTTTAAATTACTTCCAATCGCGAAATTATGGATTCTGAGAGTCATCGAATGTCCAATTAAATATCGATTTCCGCCGATTACAGCCGTTTGGGGCGTTGCTGGGTGGTTTGTCGGCGGCTTGCGGAGAACGACGTAGGAGACTGAGTTGTCAATTCATCGAGAGGGAGGAATTCTCGCTGCCGTTGAGGTTAAGTTGGCAAGGAGATTTCGCCCGTGAGAGGCCGAGAAAGGAGGAGAAATGGAAGATTGATTTTGCCTTAAACAACCGGACATGCCCCTACATAAGTAATTGTTTAACCACTAAGATTTTATGGATAATGTTTTTAACTGAGGACAAATGTGTAACTTAATCCATAAAAAGTCAAATTGGACAATAATTTTGGGACAAAATTTTTTGAGCAAATTAGACAATAATTATGAGACGGAAGGAGTACCTAGCTAGCTATAAGCCTATAGTACTACTAGTAGTAGCCATTACTACTATTAAACAAAAACGTCCTCTGTTTATAGGTATCAACCTACCCAATTTCCCCACCACTCTCCATTCTCATGAGAATACCACAAAAAGCCCTTCCTTTCTTTGCCTTCTTTTCACAAAACGAACTAGAGTTACATGTAACATCTGAGCAATAACAATCAATTACAGCGGAACTATTACAACTTACCTTTCACTTTTCAGCATCCATAATTTACTAGAAGTAATATGAGTAAATGTGGGTGAAGTAATAATACAAGTAAAATTAAGGATGCAGGTACAATACAAATGGTACTAACACTGCTACTGCTAGTTGTAGTACATCTGAGTTTTCAGTTTTTCACCGTTGGGTTGGAGGGTAAATCAGTTAGGAAAATTCAAGGAAACGTCGGTCCAGAAACAACAGCAGTCCCTCACTCTCTCTCACACACACACACAGTCGCAATCGCACTTTTTTTATCTCAGCACATGGGGGGTCGGATCAAATAACATTAACTTTTCCGGTATCCAACACGTGTCCGTAACTTACACGGCAAGCTCTGTTTTCCTTCCTACACCCGGCAACAGCCACCGCCACCAGCATGGGCTGCGGCATATTCCGGCGGTATCATTTCCCACAAATATTTTCCCTTTTTCTCTATATATTTATAAATATACACTTCAATTTTGCCTTTCATGACAACCAACCAACCAACAAACAAAAAATTCAGATAATTGTTTTGAGGGGAAAAAGAAAATATCATCCAATCATAAGTGAATTCCAGAAGGTCAATTAACTGACGAGTGGAATGGAATGGACCATATTATTCCGACCTTATAGATAGAAAATTTTTTATATTATCCTTTTTCCTGCTTCTTCTTCTTCTATCCTGGCAGTAGTCACTTCAGGAAAACCAAAAAGTATACACAAAAAACGTAAAATTGGAAAATGCTAAAGCCACCACACTGATAGATTAACATGGCAGAAAAGAGAAGAAGAAACCAAAAATGGGGACGGAGGAATTAAATGGCACACAAAGGTAAGCTGCTGCACAGAAACAGCAAAAGAACACAAATAGTAACACACACAGAAAGAAGAAGTGAGAGTCAGAAAGGGGGATGATATCATGATAATGCCCGTACTATATATCTGCCACTGCCAGAGACAGCTAAAGGTTAGGGGGCGTATAATACATGATGAACAAAGTAATCCAAAAGTAGTGCTTTTTTTTACACAACTTGGGTTTTTTGGTTTTTGCCACAACCACCATAGCTAAAGCTTATTAGGTGCACTGATTTGCAAAGCAAGAAAAGAGCTTTCCTACTCCCTTTTTTTGGCCACACAACAACCTCATTTACTTATAACATACCCAGAAAGAGGAAGGAAAGAGAAAAAGGATCTAAAGACCTTTTCATTTTCAAGGTTTTTTTTTTCTTCTTTTTTTGCATGTCTATCTACGCTTAAAACTGTACATACTTATCTTGGTTTCGTTGATGAAAACCAAGAAATAAACTTTAAAACTCCTGAACTTAGAACATTAAATTAATTTAGCACTAGAAGTACTACTCCTTGAATTTTGCCCTTACTAGTAAACTGTAACTAAAAATCATATAGGTACTGATAATAGTACTTCTACATCTTACTCATCTAGAACTAATATATGAAAAATAAACCTTCAATAATCGACCATGGCTATGGAACTTTTCTTGTCTTCTTCGTGGTTGTTAAGGATGTAAAATAGCTAAAAGGAGCTCTCTGTCATCATATAACTGGATCTCCTTCATGGGTCTACACGAACCCACTCGTAGCGACCATCTAATGGCTCCTCCTTCAAAATGTCAAAATTATACCTGCAAATTCCAAAATGCCTTTAGTTCTCTGGAACTTGAAAAAAAAAAAAGAAGAAAAATCTTGGAGAAAGTACTAATCTTGTACTGTGTGAGAGAGAGAGAGAGAGAATTATTCGTACTTGTGTGCAAATTGTTGGTGGATAGTTTTTTCAGCAGTTGAGAAGAATTCTTCAAGTTCGGCTTCCGACGGCATCTTCTCGCTGGGAGTTTGACGGCGAGAATTCGCCTGAGACAAAGAAGATGGCCTTGCTGTGGAATCCATTTCCGCAAATTCAACACGAACCTCACTCGACGACGGCGTCGTTTCCCTCCTGTAAAGTGAAGGAGACATAAAAACCAGTACTCAGAAACTCTGAAAGAGAGAAGAAGGAGAGAAGAAAACTGTGCCGGAACTGATTTCAAATTTTGAAAAAAAAACTCAAAGATATCAATGGGTTAAATACACAAACTCATCGGGTTTAAATAAAGATCTCTAAACAGTTTCAATTCGCACCCACAAAAAAAAAAAAAAAAGAGGGGGAAATTTATTTTTTTGTTTACCTGTCTCTGCGCGTTTCCAAATCATCATAAGTCGGTGTTCCTAGAGCTGTTATCTCCTCCTTCTCCTGCAACAGAAATTAATTGAACCCCATCATATCAAAAAAATACGCATTTATGACTCTCTTCACGGACATTTAATCTCTTTTCATGGCATCGAAACATCGCTAGCCCATACGAGAAAAATTTTGAAAAAAAAAAAAAAGTTTCGCAGGCCAAAGGGACAATTCAGATTTTTTTTTTGGAGGCCGGAATTTAAATTTTTTTTTTTTTACCTCTAGATCTACGGATTTCGAGGCGTCGTTTTCCAGCTCGATGGATCCATTACTTGAACAACACGACGCATACGGGTCATTCGAATTGGAAGAGGCCGCGTTTTCGGTGGAATTCTCCGGCGGCGTCGATCCGAAAAGCCTTCTCCGGCGATTCTTCAGCTGTACCAGCGGCCCAGAAGAACGGCCCAGTTCTTCATCGCAGCTATTATTAACCTTTCTCTTCCTTCCAACCTCCGAACGAGCAGCAGCTGAACGAGCTCTGTTCATCACCGCCACCTCCCCAATTTCCTCACACTTCCTCATACTTCTATACCTTCCCATCGATTAATTAATTTCCCTTATACCCAAAAGCCAAAAAGGAAGAAAGAAAAAATCAAAAGACTGATTCAAAAGGAAGCTTTATTGATTCTGTCCTTCTCTTTCAATGTCCAGAGATTGAACCTCTCTCTACATCATCCACCCGCTGCATAAACCGAAAATTTCGGCAACGCCATGAAAGAATATTCTGAGAGAGATAGATATAGAGAATTTGCTGCTGCTGCAGTTCCACTTTTGGGATTGGGACCTCTGATTAAAAATAAAAAAAGAAACAAAACCAAAAACACGCCTTTTGTACTGGAAAGGAAAGCCCTCCGCCTAGACGGTGATAGATGATGACGACGATGATGAGAACTGATGGGGGCTTGGTGGGGGATGCCGTTTCAACGACTCAGAGGAAGCTCTCTTTCTTTTTTAAGGCCTCTCTGTTCTCACTATTCACTAATAACCCACTGTGTGAGTGCGTGTTTTTTTTTTCTTTTGTTTTTTGATTTTGTTTTCGGGTGGTCCCTGCTGGTAGGAGAGAGGATGAACTTATTAGGAAATAATCCTACTGAGACTCCGTTAATGATTTGTGGAGACGGGAGACGGCGTTAATGGGTTTTTTTTTGACGGCTCCGTTTTGTTTTTCTGGGGATCTGAGTAAAAATAATTGGAAACGGAAAAAAAGAAAAAGTGGTTGGTTCTTTTCTCCGTGAGAGTAAACGGTAGCGGTGGATTTGGGGGAAAAAGAATTTTTGCCGTTGCGTTCACGGATGCAAAAGCAAAGGCAAAAACAATTGGTGCGGAGCTAGTCGTAAGCAAATTTGTCGTGTCCTCACTGAAATGACGGGACTACCCTTGGTCTAATAAAGCTTTTAGGAAGTTTTGTTTTCTGATCAGTGATTACCCGACCAATAATGATCAATACGCCAGTAGTATATTTAATACGCTTTGGTGATATATGCCTTGGGGAAATAATTAAATTTTGTTGTGTGATCTTGCACCATCTGTGAATCTTACCATGTTGATAATCATATCCTTCCGATTTTGAAATGCATAATGTTTAATTTTTGAAGATATGTGCATTTATAACTTTACAATTTCTACTTATGCTCCTCTTTATAAAGGCAAAAGATTTCTTGTAGCGCTTTCTTATACTACAAATCATGTAACATTTATTAAATTCGGACAAGTGTTACTTTACCTCTTTCTGTTCATACAATGGCTGATGGGTTAGTCCAAATTTAAGAAATTCGCAAAGATTAAAAAAAATGAATATTATTTTTATCGATAATGTTATAAGATGTATAATGTCAAAAATCGTGACTAGTCAAAATGACATCTGTTTATTAGTCTCGTGGCAAAAATGTCTAGCGGCTGAAATCGAGTGTTAATACTTATTTTCATCCGAGTCTGATACATATAGAGGCCATGAGAAAGTAGCATAATTAGCATCTATTCATGAACAGAAATGTGTGAATTTCAATAATAATGATTCTGGTTGTCCTACCATTTTTGCATGAAGCCAGAAGAAAAATAGTAGTACACCTTGAAGATATATCCTGGATGACTGGATCACGGATGAATATATTGTTCTTAGTTCTGGCTGAAGCATTGGATTTGTACTTGCATTATTGGCCTCGTCGTTGTGTGTGTGTATATATATATATATATATATATATATATATATATATATATATATATTTGTCTAGAAAAACCATAAGAAAAAAAATGAGGCAAAGGAAGGAAATTGTATATTGTTTGTTTTTGACTTTAGCCTGCTCTGATTCACGCCTGAATCGAATTTGGAAAAAATTGCAACACCCAAAAGAAAGTGACACTCACACTTTCCGACCTCGTCTTCTTTTACGTTCCTTCCCTTTCACTCTCCTTCTCTCACACTGCTTCATTCTTTTTCTTCTTCTATATTCACCATTTTTTTATTAAAAAAAATTACCCTAAGCTTAAAAATAATAAACATATAATTTGGTATTTAAATTTAATGGATTTAAATCTCATGATTTTAATACAGATATATGTTGAAAACCAATAAGACAAGTTGTTCGAATGAAAATCAAGTAATCTGTCACAAATTATTCTACTATGGTAGCAGTATTAATCACACCCCAAAATGAGGAAACATATTGAATCAATTCAGAAATGTAATGTCAAGGTTTACTACTATTTCATAGCCGTTTTTCAATTCTACAAGTGCCACCAACAAAAATTGGTAACAACAACAAACACTGAATTGAGTGTGACGTATTTAATCAAAGATTTATTAAATATTATGACACTACAAAAAGGGGAACGGGAAGGAGGCATGAATGGATGGTCATTTATTTTAGGGCCATAACGGCACTACCGTTAGGTATATGAATAATGATTATGATATATATTACATATACTCCTATAGTCCTATGATTGAATTTGTTTTGTTTTATTTTATTGTATGAACAATTAATCCCCAGTTTCCCTACTAACATTATGGCACAACACAATGGGGCTAACACCACACGTGGGCCTCCTTTTTGTTAATGTATTTTTATTTCACTGGGATTTATAGTACTTAATTACGGCAGCCGTATTGAATTTGGTCCAACGGGACCACTATATATGTTTCATCATAAATAAATATATCAACTTTTTTATTATTGTTGAAATCAACCGCATTGTTATTGTGATAGTAAATTTTTTAGGTCACCATATCCGTGTATACCAGTGATAAATAATTACTCCGTCCGTGGTTGTAAAAAAAATAAAATATTACATTTGTTAATAAATTAGGTTACAAAATGATCTCATATTGTTGCCACCAACTCAGCACATTTTTTAAGTTGTTTATTTATGGCTGGTGGTTTCACATCTCCTAAATTTTCCTTTAGTTACCAAAAGAGCTGCTTACAGTGTCATAATAAAAAGTAAAACTAATCACTCACTTTCGAGAATTCCGAGAATTATTGAGTGGTTTATTACATGATTGCATTTCACTTCGAAAGTTGAAAACATAGTACTTGCTTTATGTGATCCTAATTCCTAAAAGGGAATCGATAAACGTTCTCGTTCGGTATGAAATAGACATAGTAACATTAAAATTACAAGTCTTCCTTGATTGAAAGTCACATCAAATGATGTATTATATGGTACCTTTATGGTCTTAATCAAAATTTGAACTAAATTTAGTGTTAATTTATACTTTGTAATTAGGACCGGTGGGAATACTAAAAACCTCCAATGGTTTATAGCCTATTCCAAAACAAGGCTTAAACACAAATCTAGACTGCTAATAAGGTCCAAAACCAGGCTACTCACTGATAGATTGATTTTTGTGGTAAAAATGAAAACTAAAAGAAGCATTTTGGTGCTTAAAAAAAAAAAGAAGAAGAAGAAGAAAAGAGTGAAAATTTGATTACATTCATGGACAGGTCGATATACATGATCAATCTGTTGCAAACGTCTACGTGCATAATCTCCAACATTTGTTATGCAACATCTCAATCTAATAGAATTACACGGAATCGAGAGTGTTGTCAAAATAGTTGTAGTGAACAAAAGTTTAAACTAAAGTGATCAAACAAAAACAGTAAAAAGACAATCCTTTAATAGATTAATGGTACAAGGGAACACAGCTTTAGTCATGTCTGTACTGAGGATGTGATAGAGAGATACCAACACAGTAAATCAACGTTCCTACAGTAAAAATCTGCACGAACTGCCCGCCTAAATTTGAAAACTGTCGATGCATGGATTCTATTTAGTGCTAATTGACTAACTCCTATACAAAGGCAAAAGCTAGTGCGTGAGTGTGTGTGAACGATCCCTATGATGTGTTAACGACGATGAAAATAAAGTAAAAAGATTCCTCATATAAGTGTGATTGATGATAATGGGGGCCATAGGGCTCAGAAAACAAAGTGCAGATTTTGCTCGTTTTTTGATTATTGAACCTCTTCTTAGCACTCCTAAGTACTCCCTTAAGGGGCCGCCAGTATTATCAAAATGTGTAGCCTACAGTTATTCTTCACCTTTAGCTCATTAGTGTTAAGTGTTTAATGGTCCTTCTAGATCAATTAAACCGGCCCGGGAAATTCAATTTGAATAAATTAACGATATGCTTCCATTGTCTCATATATTACGATCATTTAACTATAAACTAATATATATATATATATATATATATATATATGTTTTAATCTTAGTGTTGCATCTATGACATTACAAACCATACTCTTTCCTTTCAGTACATTAAAACTAGCTCCTACAATTAAGATCATAATTTTATATTTCCAGTACAATAATTTTGTATGTGTACGATGAACAAATAATAGCAGCGAAACTCGAATCGAGTTATGAAACACAATAGTCAGTTCGGTTTCGATACCATGAATGAACTACAAAGGTCCATTTTGATAACTTTTGCTCAAGTTCTAATTCATATATCCATTACTACTATTATTAAAAAATAAACACGACCCCCTAGGAGTGATTCATCAAAATATACGTCAAAATCAAAAGTCAATATGGAATTTTGGTGGATCCAATGGGGGAAGGCTGGCGAGAGACATTCCTCTGAATTCAATTAAACTACAGGCTGAAGATGGCCAATGGTCAACTCTGAATGATCTAATAATGACTTCTTTATCATTGACATCTTTTCCAATCTTATCGACAGTATAAGGAAAAATACTCCAAACCCCTTAATCCTAAAGCCAAAAGGTTCAGGCAAAAAACGCTTTAACAAAAGGCCAATAAATCAAAAGCGAAAAAAGGCAAAAGCATGAATCTGAAAATGAAAATATAAGAAATACAACTACTAGTCTATAATACAAGAATGAAAGGCCAAATCCCTCGACGAAAATGAGGCTAGAAATTGCTTAACAACAACAAGTGGGTTGTCAATATTTCTATAGACGTCGAGATCATGTTCCCCTCCTCTTTTTTTTTTTTTTTTGAGTGCTGAAATGGTCCATTCCCTAAGTCTCTGAAAACATTACTTTTTCTTTTCTTTTTCCTTTCCAAATCAGTTACCGATTGGGCACCCTCGATCTGAACAAACATTTTTGTGCTTCTGCTTTGCTTTAAAAGTTGATCCTTTTTTTTTCTCTCTTTTTTCTTTTTTTTTTTAAAATTAAAAAAAAAACTTTTTGAACCGTTGTTACTTTTCACGATAAATGTAGCTATTGCTATAATTCTCAAAGCAGATCAATTTTTTTTCTCTTGTTCATGAAACTCTACCAAATTGGGTATCTGTTAGAAATAGAGTCATGGTGCTTCTATACCACATTGGGTAGTTTACAATGCATCATGGATGATTGGTTCAATCGGGAAACTCCACAAAAAAAAAAGAAAAAAAAGAAAGAATGAAATTAAAAAGATTTCATTGTTACTAGTTCGATATCGTGTTCAGTTTTCAACGTCAACAATTGCAACAAATTAACAAGTACTGCTTACATTGGAGTTATAATGTTTGTGTAATAATGCATCCATCATTTGCTTTTAGATGGTGACTGAAGAGAAGAAGAGTCATTCCGATTTGTTTGATTGTGGTTTTTGGAATTAATTACGCAGTTTCCTTGCCTTGGACTTATTACGAACGTACTAAGTTGTCCTCATAATTAACCCAATCTCCGTTTGCATTTTGAAAATGGTCCTGATCGGGCGCTTCATTTTCATGAAGCAAATACCCTTGTCGGGGGAATGGGCTCATATGCTTATTTGGATATCCATATAGCTTTTGTCTCATTGCACTACTGTTATCTTCTCTCGCAAGAGCCAATTCCCAACATTTATCCTACTAACACTGAGAACCTTTCCCTTTCCTTCTTTTGTACATATGGTAGCTGGCATGTAAAATTCTCTTATCTCCCAAAAAGTTTTCACGCAAATCTCCATTTCTTTTCTTTTGGCTCGCTTGACATTCAGTTGGTTTAAATTTGAACTTTTCTCGATATTTTGTGTGGATTCCCATTATCCGTATCATGTAATTTAACGAATTTCGTATTAGATATTCAGCATTCAGAATTAAGTGTTTATTTTTTTTAAAAAAAAAAGCATCACACAAAACCCTCAACAAGCTAATTTCATATGGGGTTATAGATGTTTATTTGTTTGAACAAATCTGTGTAATTCAAGCCTGCATGGACCTATATCATTGATGAGTGAATTGGACAATCATGGGTCAAACTATTTTGTTTTAAAAAAAATAATCTGAGGATTATAAATTATTTATTAAAACATTGGGACAGTTTTGTTGCTGGGCCCTCCATTGGTGGCCTTTGGTGTCAAAGAGCCATCAAACTCAAAGGGATTGAAAAGGAAGGAATTCGGGAGGTTTTTGGTTCAAGTGGTGGCAGCAGCGACCCTATTGCTGCCTGCTGCTCTACTAACCGAAACAATGACTGACAGCATTGGATTCCAAAATCCGTGCGTTGCCTCCAAAAGAAGTTAGAAAACGACGAAATCAATTTGGGCCTAAATCAGTACCCCTGACTTCTGCCACGTACGGTGTGCGGCTGGCCTGCTCGGCTCTCTTCTTGAAACGAAAGCTTCCTTCCGTCGTACCTGATAATATTTCTGGTACATTACACATTTGCCATCTAAAATTAAAATTAAAGCGACTAAATCAGTTAGGGTTTGTTTGTTTCGTTTTTTTAGTGTTTGTTTCAGGTGTTTTTTGTATTAGTATTATAAAAAAATACATTGAAAATATAAAAATGTATGATGGGATGGGACACTTATTAATATATTAATCTGAAAATACCATCAAGAAAAGGAAACAAACAAAGCCTTGGCTTTCTTTCTTTTTTTTTTCCCCGGAAATAAAACTCTTCCAACAAAATATTCTAATCTTCCTAGAAATGTATTTTTAGGTTATATCGAGCTCAAAAATAATGGGAGTTTTAGAAAGTTCTAAAGGGCGATGGTCATATTATATGCAAGTATATGGTAATATTGGCATGTGTCTTATTCCAATTTCCATGGAGATGTCCTACAGCAATTAAGTCCTTATGACACAGAGCAGGCCTTGTGATTATACATATACCTCAAGTAAGAATATACACACACATGATGTATTTCCTGAAGAAAATTACAAAACCAAAATACTCAATACACACATATATGGCCTCAGAATACACACACACACACACACACAAGATGATTCCCAGAAGTTCACCAACGTGCATGTGTGTGATGTGTCCATTAGTTTCGTTCTTACGATTGGAAATTAATGCCCCGGGGGGCTGGCTCCAAATATGCAGATACAGCAGTATTCTTTGTCTTTTAATTCTTTGTGGCAGTGGGGTTTGATTCACTTTGGATTTTCCTACTTCTCTTCCGCAAATATCATTTTGGTTTCATTCATGAGGTTGATCATAATGAATCAATGATTATATTATGCCAGCTGCAGGCTCATAGAAACTCTTTTACTTCTCTTACGAGTATTCTCGATCGACATAATTCAAGGAGGAATGAAAATTCCTCTTCTGATATTATCAACATGCATATCTAATCAAAGTATCAAACATGCATGGATGTCAACAACTCGATTAATGTTCAATCCGATCCCCATTAATTTGCAAGAGATTATGCAATATATTAGTACAAATATAGTCGAACACAATGAGAAAAACGGGGAAAAAAATATGTCGGTGTTACATCTCATATTCATGTAAGGATATTATCCCTACGTAAATGATGAATACATTAGGCTGCTTTTTTTCTTTTTAAAAAAACTTGTTTATCCCTTTGAATTATATTGCACAAACGAAAAGAGAAAAAAATCGATACAACAAATATATATTGAACAACGTTTTCCACAAACACACACACAGTGCTGAATTACCTAAACAGAAGGATATGAAAGGCATCCTGGTGACTCTTTTGCCTCAGCCTCTTCAAAAACAAAAAAGAAAAAGAAAAAAAAACCTAGATCTGTGACAGAAATAGCAACGACCCCTATTACGTGATTGTTTTTTTGGGGGGGTTGTGGAGGGTCTATAGGTTTGATGTTAGCTTGGGATAAAGATATTAAGAAGGCTGTAGGTGAAATGGATAGCTGAAAGTATATGAGGGTGATAATCAAAGAGACAACACAAAAGACATTAAAGAATAAAAATGAAAGATTTATGAATTTTACTGTTAGAAACTTGAATCTAACAATAATGGGGAATCACAAGATTTGAATATGTTCTAATCGTGTTAGACACTGTCCTTAAGAGAATATTTACCCTCTCCATGTTGCAATACCGGGTTTATTTGACAATTTGTCTCTAGGACATAAAGAACACAAGAACATGCAACTTGTAATTATGGAATGTTCTCAAGAATTAAGGAATGCAAAAGTTAGAATGAAATCCTGCACTAGTTCACCTATTTATAGACAACACTTGCAGAAATAAAGAGTACAAATTAAGTACATAACCCTTGACTTGTAGGAAATAACAACATTCAAGTGAAGGGTTACCAACTTACTTATTATCCTTAAATTTTAAATTAATTATTTTATTTTACAAACTAAAATTTCTAACAAGCTAATCTAGTAAAGATGGTTACAGAAATGGGTCAATTAGCATGGATGCATTATGGCATTGTAAATCAATAAAAAGAGCAACTCTAGTCAAAGGAATAATTTTCACCTTGATGTATCCAACTGATCATTGATGCAAAGATTAACTCAACAAATGATGAATATATTAGTTATCGTTGTTGGAACTTCCTAACAATTCAGTCTTTTTATTTAACTACCAGTGCCTAAGAAACCTTCATTAATCACTACCTGGAACCTTCTAGGATTTAGTTTTTGACAAGCAAAGACCAAATTCAATTTCTAACAAGCAAACCTTGTTTCATTAAAAATTGATTATTTTTTCTCACAACACAAGTAAACTACTTATCAAGTAATTATTTGCATTGTCTCTTATAAGGAACAAACAAACCTTGTTGTTCAATAAATTAGATTATCTAGGAGAATTGAATGCTACCAACTATTCAAATAATGCCAAATAATCATCAATACACATCAAAGAGAATAAATAAATACTCAAAATTCATTGGTGAAAAACAAACAGTTAGATCTCACAATTGAATAATATCAAGACTTCAATAAAATCCTTTAACTAGAAAAGAGGTTTAGTTGCTAATCATGGTAAAATCAACAACACAAGAATTGATGTGTGATATTACAGAGCTAAAACTGACGAAAACGGAAAGAAATCCTTGTCCTGAGCTCCAGCCGTTGCTCCCTGTGTTGTGCCTCTTCTCCTCCCTTTCTTAATAATGAAAACAAAGCGTACACATGGTATTAATAGGGCAGCCTTCGTTCAGCCTCTTCAAAATCCGCAAAGGGCAATTCAATTTTCTGGAATTTTTAGATTGGTCCCTGAAGTTTGCCAAAATTACAAATTGGCCCTAAAATTTTGGAAATTTTGCACTTTAGTCCCTGTTTCAGCGTGTCCACATGGGAATACAACGTTGTTTCTGGACTTTCCTGCTTCATTCATTGATTTTGGCATGGATTTTGTGTGCCCACGTGGGAATCAATCACTTCTTCTCCAACTTGAAACTTGATTCATAAAATATTCAAAAAATTTTCAAACCCAACACTTTTCTTCTTTTTATTCCAAATCCTTCCTATGATCAAATTAAGAACCAAAACACTAATATTAGCATAGATAATATTCAAAACAACACATAAACCACCACAAATATTATACTAATATTAACATTATGGCATCGTAAAAGACATCTGGGAATTTATGGAACTGCCAACAAAACGTCTATTTCTGTTTCTAATATGACTATCAAAAAGTTAATTTTATAGTCAATTATTTGGTTTCTTTGACGGCGTCGAATTCATGCACACTAGTTAAGCTGGATTCACCACCAACATGAGTTTAGTTCTTAGTTTGCATTATTGCATATCCCGAAAATAATGTAGTCCTTGTGTTGTGTTGTATGCCTAATATTCTTTCTTTTACCAAAATAAACTACCTAAAATAAAAAAAAATCTCTTTGGGTCATTTTGACGGGCTTATTAAAGCGGGGAGTTTTTAGAAAATGCCAGTTTTGTTAGGCCCAAAGATAGGCCTTTTTGGTAAATGATCAAATTTCGCTTTTTCTATAGTTCTTTTTTCCAGCATTGGATAAGAAGAAGACCTTTTCAATAGCTCAAAATGGCTAACTGAAGTCCCCGCCACCAAAGCATAGGCGGAGCACGGTGCTTCTATCGATAACTGGCCTTTTACCATTACCAACTCTATAAAAAGGGGAGAAGAGAATATGGTAGTTGGCGGTTCCTCCATTCAATCTCGGATTATCTCCAGCTTTGTTGGAGAATGCTGTCTTGCCCGGTCGAAATCCCGCTCCCTTCATCAACTCTTCCGCTACGACCCAGGTTTCAATTCTGCTTCTTTCTCCTCCAAGTTTTGTCTTCATGTTTGAAACGCATTCCGAAGTTTCTCCGAACTTACTGTTGTGTCAAATTGATTTGTTCTTCGTAGTTATGGTAAATTTAACTTTAATTGGTTTGCAGGGGAAAAACATACGTCTATGCGATTGTCCAGACCATTCTCTGGATTAGCTGACTTTTTATTTAATAAAAGGTATGCTTTTCAATTCAAACTTGTAGTTGCAACGATGGGTTTCATTCAATCTGTTACTTTTCTTCTTTAGCAGGCTTTCATTGTAAAGATTGCTTTTTTTCTAGAATGAATGTTTTTCGATCTGTGTGTATTCTGCGTAGTAAACGAGAGTTTCTATTATTGCTAATGTTGAGCTGTTCATTTTCCCTCCCACTTTGTGCAGGGAAGGGGAAGAATCATCTAGTAAAACTGTAAATAAACGTTTAAGGCCTGGGAAAGTATCTCCACGTCGACCTGTTCCTGATCACATACAGAAGCCACCCTACGTCAAATCTCGCAAAGCACCAGGTGTTTCTGGTGGACCTGAAGTGCACGATGAAATAGGTACTGAAAAGATGAGAGCTTCTGGAAGGCTTGCTGCGATGGTTCTTCAGCATGCTGGTTCTTTGGTCAAGGTGATTCTTGGTTGTTGGTTCTATTCTATATCCAAGGTTTGCACACTTATTGTAAAATTGTACATTAGTTTGAAATTTGATCTTTGCTTCTCTTGGCAGCCAGGCATCACAACAGATGAAATTGACCAAGAGGTCCACAGAATGATCATTGACAATGGAGCATATCCTTCCCCTCTTGGTTATGGTGGGTTCCCCAAGAGTGTATGTACATCTGTGAATGAGTGCATTTGCCATGGGATTCCAGATTCTCGTGAGCTTGAGGTTTGGGATGACGTCACATTCTTTTCACTTCAGTGCATCATACATTATGTAAAGCAAAAAAGCGTTGAAGTTTCTTTTGTTTATTTTGCAGGACGGTGACATTGTGAATATCGATGTTACAGTTTATCTTAATGTAAGTAGCTTCTTCTTTGATTGGGGCATCATTATGTACGTTGAAGTTTGGGAAATAAGAAACTGAATGACTGGAACCTTCTCTCTCTCTCTCTCTCTCTCTCTCTCTCTCTCTCTCTCTCTCTTTCTTTTTTCTTTTTTTTTTTTCCTCTCGTTTTTCCTTTTCCGTTGAGTTGCTTATTTCTGCTTTCAATAGTTGCGGAAGTAAAAGTAAAAGTAAGATGTTTTGAAACCATGAGTTGCTTATTTCAGCTTTCAATAGTTGTGGAAGTAAAAGTAACAGTAAGATGTTTTGAAACCATGACATTGTTGTCCTATCAGATATACTGCTTCGATTATGATGTTTCCCTTTTAAACTAATTTGATATCAGTTATAAATACAAAGTAGTATGTTTGGGTTGAAGGAACAAAACTGTTAACGGAAGCTAGCTTTTATATGCATGTAGGGGTACCATGGTGATACATCGGCAACATTTTTTGTTGGAGATGTTTCAGAGGAAGCCAGAAAATTGGTACAGGTACTATTTCTTTTGTTGGATAAGATATTTAACATTTTGCTGTTGTCTTAACTACAAACTGGCGATAAAAAATCCAATCTGTAATTCTATGAGTCTCCTATCATTTTGCTAGGTAACTAAGGATTGCCTGGACAGGGCAATAGCAATGTGTGCTCCAGGAGTTGAATACAATAAAATTGGCAAGACGATCCAGTAAGCATCTTCTCAACTCTTTGTTCCTCCCTCTCTCAAATAAGAAACTAAGAAAGAAAATAGAAAAGAAAATAGTGCTTGAGTATCTTCTTTCCCTATCAGTTTACCTTTCTTCTTAATGGCTACTCATTATTTTCTCTCCCTTTAGATGTTATGGGCCTTGCTAGTGTCTTTTCGTTACATAAATTATCCTCACGTCATTTTTATTTTTCTTACTGGGAATAAAAGGTCTGCTTGTACATTCATTTGGGGACAATGTCATGTCTGGTTCACGGTGATTAATTGGTTTTGACAAGTTAAATCACTATGTACACTTCATGTTGTACTGCTGTCTAGAAGCATAATCTAACCAGAGTTATCAGGGATGGTCTGTGAAGAGGAGATCGTTTGTACTTTGGATATGTTTGTTTATTGTTGCCGCTTTCTTCAGTTTTGAGTATATTCAGAAATTTCATTTTGATGTGGGCATATGATTAATTTTGGAGTTTTCATCTTGAAGCAATCTTGCAGATGAACATGGATATGGAGTTGTCGAACAATTTGTTGGCCATGGAGTAGGACGTGTTTTCCATTGCGACCCAGTTATTCTACATTGCAGTAATTCATCTGAGCATTTGTTTAAATCTTGAATTGTTAATTCCTGCTCTCGCTGTCGTTGTCTGAAATTTTGGGTGCAGTTGTACTGATTACTTGCTTGCTTGTTGCATTGCTTTTGCTTGTCATTAAACGAAAAGGGGACAGTTTCCTTGCAAAACTCAGTTGCCAGTTTCGATTGAGGCCTATTTTTCCCTAAAGAAAAGCCCCTAATAATCTGGCAATCTACATTTCTAAGTCCACAATTGTAGTATATTCACATATAAAGTACTGTACAGTATACTATCCGCAGATACCTATGCGTTTAATATGTGCCCGTTTGTTGTATTTCACTTGTATGACGGGGTTTAACTGTGAGTGATCTGCTTTTTGATTTTTTGGTGAATTAAGATGTAGATAAAAACATAAAGGCAAAACTCTTATGCTAATAGAATAACTTTGAAAATAGCTTCATGATGTACCAAATTATCCACTTCATCCCTTGTATTATAGGAAATTCTTTTTCTTTTTATTGTTGTTGTTTTGCTTCATCTCTGTGCTATTTGATTGGGTGTTTTGGTCATAGACATTTTGCTTTCCATTTTCATTGATTTTGTTTTTGAGCAGGAAACAATGGTCGTGGACGCATGATTCTAAATCAGACTTTTACCATCGGTAATGAATCTCTCTTCGATAACTGGTTCTCTCATTGTTGAATATTTGAATGATTTTTCATGAGAGTTTTGCTGTGTGGTTCTGGAGGCTTTCACTTCTGGGGTTCTTTTAAGATTTCATTTACATAGTGGGACTTGGCTCATCAAAACAAGAGTCTTTTTCATGCAACAAAAGGATTAGAATTGCTTGTCTGCATTTTCTTAACATTTATACCATCATCTTATACCATATATTGATTATGACCGTGTGTTTTGTGCAATGCAGAACCGATGCTAACTATTGGTAGCATAAAACCTATTATGTGGGATGATAATTGGACAGTGGTGACAGCAGATGGGAGCCTTTCAGCACAATTCGAGCACACAATCTTAATAACTGAAAATGGCGCCGAAATACTCACTCAGTGCTAAGGTCATGATAGTGATCCATGGAAGTCATTCCTTACCAAGAAAGCTGGGAACAAGGGGCTGGAACGGCCTCCCTAAAAAAGTCACACTTCATTCTTCTACTATTGTATCGATAGCTGCTTGTTTTTGAGCATTAGTTAACAGTGATGATTTGCTTCTGTTCTTTCTGTCTCTATGGGGTTACAGATTGGAATTTATTTGCCATTTTTTACAAATTGGAAAACCAGAAACAACTAGAATTTCCTTCTGAATAGGTCATCCTGTCTTGCTAAACTGACCAGTGAACACATTGTTATCTCTTCGTTGAAAGTATGTAGTACTAACATGTAATGCTGACATCATATCATATTTGAATATATAATACTCGCATATTTTGGGACGGAGGGAGTACTTAGAGGGAGTTTGATGATCCAAAATAATGAATAAAATTTATACTCATTCCCTCTTTTCCCTATTCTAAATGTAGCTCGATATATCATCTTATTTAATGTATCTGGATGAATTGAGTCATTGCGAAAACATGAAGGACAAAGAATCTGGTTACGTTTCATTGTCAAATCTTCATTACTTGTCATAAATAGGAGAGACGAAACTACTTCCAAACAAAAGAAAAAGGAGCAACGATACAAACCAACAAAATATTTCTTTTTCCGATTTCTTTTGGGAATAAATAAGCGGCATTTTTCGTGTCGCCGCCTTTTTTCTGTGTACACTGTAAAATTCCACGTTTTTCATTATCAGTATTAGCAGTATAAAAAATAAATATAAAATATAAATTATAAATATATAAAGCAAAAGCCGTCCCCCAAGAAGTTCTCTTAAACTCGCTTATCCCTATCGAGAGAAAAAAAAAAAAAAACTGGGGGAAAAATAAAACAAGAACGTAGAAGAAAACACGAAAAAGATGGAGTCGATGCCCGTGAATTGGGAAGCACTGGACGCTCTCGTAATCGATTTTGTAAAATCGGAGAAATTAATTGAAGTTTCAAGTCCTCCGTCTCCGCGTTCGCCGTCGCCGTCGCTCTCGCAGTCACCATCATCGTCCTCCTCATCATCGTCGTCTTCCTCTTCCTATCACTCGCGGTTGGTGATTCGGCAGATCAGGCGGTATCTGGAATCCGGTGAAATTGATGCCGCGTTAGATCTCTTGCGTGCTCACGCTCCTTTTGCTCTCGAGGATCACCGGCTTCTCTTCCGTCTTCAGAAACAGGTATCTCAGTCGTTTATGCTTCGAACGAAGGATAAATGTCTGCGGAAAACATTCGTTAATATGTGATTCTTTTGTGCAGAAATTCATTGAGCTGTTAAGGAAAGGGACGCAGGAGGATCGTGATGCTGCAATTTACTGCTTACGAACGGCTCTTGCTCCTTGCGCACTTGATGCTTATCCGGTATCTACCTTTTCTGTTTCTAAATTGCTTAATTGGCACAGTTTGGTAGGACTTACTCAGTTGAATTATGCTTGTTATCTTTCTCCTTTCTGCTTATTAGGTTTTTGAAGTATTTTGATAGTTTATATTAGAGCTCCCATATTAGTAGTAATTTCCCTATGAAGTTTGTATTCTGCTCAAGTGGCCACTCCAAGTCACAAGCTTAAAATTTGAGAAGTTACAGTAGTATTATTCATGTATGTGGAGCACAATGAAGTAGAAAAACATGCCCTATCATTAATGGCTGTTGCCTAGTCAAATTTCTAGTGTAGTTGTGGCACTAATAGACTTTCAAGTTAACTATGTTATCATACTATCTGTTCTTTTTTGAAAGTGTCATTTTGTATTATCTTATCATTAATATCGGCGTTCTTTCTCGTTCGGTTGCTTTTTGGAGAGTATGCGCAGTCTACAAGTTATTTCCTAATTTGCAGATTTTATTAATAGTTCTCCTAGTTGTCAATTCTGACCTGTAAATTATCCCTAGATCTGTATTTTACAGTTATGTTAGTGTCAATCTTTTTCACTTTTGTTTCGCTTTTTTATCCATTTTTATTCCTGTGAGTGCTCACTTTTTATCCATTTAATTTCTGTTTGCCATAACTTAAGCAAATGTTTGATCCGATTTGTTTCCTTTATGATTTTGAAGGAAGCATATGAGGAATTCAAGCATGTCCTTCTGGCTTTTATATATGATAAAGATGACCAGAGCTCCCCGGTGGCTTATGAGGTTGGTAGTCTTGATGTCTTGTACCTTATTTGATTTCTAAGGGTTGGGTTTTGAATGTAAACCTTTTCTTATTAGTATGATATTACCGGCGATAAGGTGTTATTTCTCCAATGCTGAAGCTTCTACTTATGCAAAGTGTAAACATGTGATCTTTGCACTGCAGAGATTGGGAAAAGGAAAAATTTTCTTTCTGTTAAATATGATATATATTGTTCTTTACTGTTCTTGTTTTAGTGGTCAGAAAAGAGGAGATTCGACATTGCGGGTCTTGTATCTTCTGTTTTAAGAGCTCATCTGAATGCCCATGATCCTCTTTTTGCAATGACATTGAGATATTTGATAAGGTTATTTCCAGTTTCCTTGCACTTTTCCCTTTGTTGGGCTATCCCTCCAATGCTTTTCTTCAGGATGCATCTTTTGTAAATTAGTCCTTTAATTGAATTGTCATATCTTTGCAGTATACATAAATGGTTTTGCATTCGCCAAGGAGTCCTGTCACCTGTATCAGATCTCACTGAGAGATTGCTCCTTGAGGAACGTGACTTCGCTCCAATTCCCCCAGAGAGCGCATATGAAGCTCCACCTTTCGACGAGGTTAGTTATGGGTGCTAATTCTTTCCATAATGCCTAGGAGCTCTATGGCTGCCAGGACTCTGACATCCTGATGGAATAGTATTTGCCTTTTCTATTTTTTATTTTTTTATTACTCTTCTGGGAATTTTTTTCTGTTTTAGCATTAATCTTGCTCTAAAACAGGTGGATATACAAGCCCTCGCTCATGCAGTGGAGCTCACTAGGCAAGGGGCTGTTGATAGCTTGAAATTTGCCAAGGGTGACTTGTTTCAAGCATTTCAGGTTGTTATAACTAGGGCTCTAATCACCATTTTTTTGGGTACCTTGTGAAGTCTTTTGGTTTACGTTATCAATGTGTTGATGTTTAGAGCTTACCACTCTTCTCAGAATGAATTGTGCCGTATGAGATTGGATGTCTCCATGCTTGATGAGCTCGTATATGAGTATTGCATCTACAGAGGTATTGTGGACTCAGCTCCTGCTGCTCATCCTGGTTAGTTCCCGGCATTTTTCTCGTTACTCTGTCATCTTTTTTTTGATTACTTGACATCAGCAGACAGCTAATGGCTGGATTAATTCATCTGATTCAGGTTCGTGTTCATCACAAAATAACGTCATTGAAGGTGATTGTGGTAGCATTAAAGCCCCTGATGGTGAGCTATCTCACGGCAATGCCAATTTGAATGGTTCTAATGAAGGTCAAGCTCATTTCATGACAACTCATACTAAGGACATTGTTGAGCGGTACCCTTCAGGGACATCCAATTGCCAGGAACTTTGTAGCACCAGTGGAACATATCAGCCCTGTAGTTTGAAAGTCCAGCAGAAAAACAGAAATAAAGGGTGTGGAGAGAGGAACAAACGTAAGCGCTGGAGGGGGAGGCACGAGGAGATTGAATGTATAACAGAAGTTATCAGTGGATGCAACAGAGAAGAGGTTGGTTTAAAGAATTTTTTATGGGCAACACCTCTTATACGATAGTGACTGAGGAACTAATGCGACTTTGTTTGTGCAGACTGAGGCTTCATCTGTTATGGGTAGTTTGAGTCATGGGGATGACAGATATGAAATGTTGCTGGCCATAAAAGAATTAGCCTGCAGAGGAATGGCTGCGGAAGTTGTTGAAGAGATTAATGTTATCGACCCAAATTTTTTCTCACAAAACCCTGATTTACTGTTCCAACTAAAACAGGTATTAAATCAACTTGCTTCTGTTTGAGAGTCGCTACAGAAGATACTATTAAGTTGTTATTGATGAATGCTTGTGTTCTTACAGGTTGAATTTCTGAAGCTAGTCAGTTCTGGTGATCACCCTGGTGCTTTAAGAGTAGCCTCTTCCCATTTAGGTCCCTTGGCAGCTAGCGAACCTTCTCTTCTGAGGCCACTGAAAGAGACTTTGGTGACTTTGCTTAGACCTAATGAAGAGGCATATGGTGAATTCTTGCCCTTGCACGCTCTTGCCTCCTCAGTCCAGGTTCGGCACGCTAGTGAGTTCATATTGTTTGTTTACATAGTGATCACTAAACTTAAGTCTGGATCTGTTACTAGTTGATGCATTGTTAGTTCACTTGCTGCTTCACTTCATGTTGGTGCTGCAGTAATTGGGCAATAGTGTTGAATTATTTTTGTTAATTAAAATGGGCAATTACTTGTTGGAAGTCATTGACCTTTATGGTAATGGATCATATTGTGTTGTACCTGTTTTGAAATTCTAAGATGCTTCTTTCTGGAAAGGTTGCTATTGGTAGGAGGCTTGGTATTGAAGAACCTCAGCTGATGAAGATTATGAAGGCGACACTGTACACACACAATGAATGGTTCAAACTTCAGATGTGTAAAGATAGATTTCAAGGTCTCTTACAGATCAACTCTTTGAAAGAAGTTAGTCCCTCTTTGCTTGCTGAAGCTGCTTTGAGGTCAAATGATTCTTCACTTCAGGGATCTTCCACTGTTACCACATCGTCAAGTAGTAAGGCACAGGAAGATACTGGCAGTCCTACTCAAACGTCATCTGCTGATGTTGCATGTGATGAAAATGCAATACTGAAGGTTATGGTGAGTTACACTGGTTTTCATTTGTTATTTTCTCCCCTTTGTCAACACGTGTTTGCTTCTTCAAATGCACTAGCAGCCATGCAGTATCGTTGAGGTGTAGTTAGAAAATTTTCATCGACTTGGATTCATTTTGCATTGAAAGTTTTGTGCTGCTAATTACTTTCTGTATCTTTTATATGTTTTCATCTTCTGTTAGGAGTTCCTTGAACAAAAGGCATAAATTGATTCGTACCATTTGCTTTTATTCTGACTTTTATCGAGAACAGAAAGTAAATTATTTGGGAAACACCTTTGTAGATAGTTACACAAGCACTTCCTCTAATAGTTCTAGCATTTCAACTTTTGACAGGGTTCCTTTATGACAACTGTGGTTTCATTTGTAACTTGTTTGCTTGTTTGTTTTCCGTTTTGTCCAGGAATTTCTTGCTTTACCAAGAGCCGATGCTATCCATCTTTTAACTCAATATAATGGCAATGCAGAGATTGTAATTCAGCAGTTATTTCCATAGCTACAGTGTACAGAGAGAGTTGGTGTTTGGTCAATTTATTCATTCTTTAAAATTATTGGTTTACTTTAAGTTGTAGACAGTGAAACTCTGTTCCTCTCCTGGTTGACAAAGGAAGGTTGGTAACGGAATGTTTCAAAGTATAGTACAAATAAAAAATTTTAATTTTCCTAACTGTTGCACTATATAGTTTATTTTCCAGTAGCACTGAACGAAGATTGTTGTGTTGTCCAACCCAGACATTAGTGTGACTAACAAATGCTACGTTGCTAACTATAGAACTTCATTGAACTATAATAATTTCGTTAGTTCCCTATCACTTATATTCATTTTTTCAACCAAAGTTTATTTATATGATGAGAGAACTATGGGAATGGGAACCTTGCTATGAAGAAGAAAATGGGGATCAATACCCCCTGATAATGCTAAGTTGTTCTTTTTCTTCTTGTTCCTGCCTTCCTGGTCTTAGACCAGACTGTGTGAGACTAAGGCTCGTTTCGGCCGTAATTTTTGTTTTGATTTTGTGTTTGTCCTCTTAAAAAACTTCCCAAAACACGGATTAGTATGCTGTATGTTCTCATTTTATTGGCTTTGGTGGGCTTTGGTTTTCGCTGAGTTATGTTCCTCATTAAATCGTTGTTGCATCTGTCTTTAAAGCTTAAAACCGACACCCATGTCAAGGACGAAAACCAATGATCAACCCTCATTATTCCTCTTTTCTTCCTCAAATCCAATTATACAACAGCTTCAAACAAGTATGAAATACCCTTTATCCCAAAATAATTATCAAGTCTGCATTGTCGTATTTGGTACTACAATTTTATACAAATTGAATATTCAAACTACACAATCATTTCAGAACATAATGAGTATATTACTTCCTCCGTCAAAAAAGAATAGTCTACATGGAGTTTTGAATTTTGTAATAAATAATTCATATTGAGTTTTTGAATTTGTACTAAAGACAGTATAAAACTCAAAACTCAATGTGAACTATTTTCTTTGAGTCAGAGAGAGTATAATATAATGCCATTAAGAACTGCTTTGTGCTTGTCCACGCCTGGATTCTCTCAATTTCCTCTCATCAGAGAGTATTTTTGCAAACCTGTAATAAAAAAAAACAGATAATCTTAGAACTCATATAGTATTTCACTTACAGAAAGTTAAAAAAAAAAAAAAACATATTGGAGACATCCAATTGATGGATGTAACACAACCTTTTAAGAGCTTCCCTGTTGGTACCACCGTTAGGAACGGGTTCATATTCACCAGTGGCGAGATTTACCCGAGTAACCGGTTTGTCCAATAACGATTGACCAACCTTCACCAAATTATCTAAATTCTCCTTTGTTGCTGCTGTAGCCGAGGTCAACGTTCCGGTCAAAGTAGCATCCTATGATCATGTAATTAAAACAATCAACCTTAAATTGATTTAATTTATTAGCTACAAATTATCTCAATGATAACAAAAAAAATAAAATAAAATAAAATTACTTGAATACGCAGATAATTGTTTTCTGATTGGAGAGCTTGGAAAACCCTGGCGTTATGCAAATCAACCATATCTGCACTAGCTTGACTAAAAGCGGTGAGGAGTGGAGTGGAGCCGCCGTCATAGAGCCACCCGAATAACCCCCATTTGGCAGCCTTGGCAGAGGTGAACTTGTGATCATTTCTGGCGGAACCAGTTCCAATAGATATCACAAGAAAACGATCGTCCAATGGCTTAATAGGGTAGAAATTAGGATCCTCCTTAATTAGTTGCTTTGTCACTTCTCCAATGGCCACCAAAGTCTATAGAATATTGATGGGACAAAGGGGCATTATTATTGTTTTCATTATCAACTTGCTTGTAAATCACTCCATTTACCAAAAAAATAACATGTAAGTTTTATATAATAGCTAGTACTCCCTCCGGTCTTTATTATAAGGCCATTTTGAGTTGTTCTAGATTTTACCTGAGATATCTTTTTATTTAAAACAAAAATCTTAAAAATATTTTTTAATAATTGGGAGAACAGTAAGAATGTGAAAATATATTTTTAAGTTTTTTTTTTCAATTAAAAAGACATTTTAAGTAAAATCTCGGATAAAATAAAAATGTCTTATAATAAGTACCGTAGGAAGTTCTTAATTGATCTGTCCTAGCAAATGAAATTGTGGCTTACGGGATTGGTAGCTGCGACTCCACCATCAACCAGGTTGAATTCAATTTCATTCCCGTTTTCATCTTTGTTCTTAAAATAGTAAGCAGGAAGTAGTGTTGGCGCCGCTGAGGTGCTTATACATATATCTGCCAGTGGCGCATCCAGCGCGGGATGGTCCGTCACCTGATGAAGCACAATTAATTAATGTCGAAAATGTAACACGACGAATAAAACACTCGATTGTATGAAGTAGGTAATCAATTTTCATCCACGAACCACTCACAAAAAAACTTCGTGTATATACTGACTCTTATCACTTTTCGCGTGCGATTTTCAGAAAATGAAAATATATCAGATGGTAATATTAGATCGAGAAATTAAGGTATCAATTATGCATAATGGCTGGAGAGATAAGATCGAAATGCAATTTAATTGACCTCATAAGAGCTGAAGATGACTGGCTGGAGATTCCTAATGTCGAACGTGGGAATGACCACAGAAGTCAACGTTTGGTGCAATTTTGTACTCTTCAGAATGCCCCTGATCAAACTCTGAAGATACTTCCCGTTGTAGTTTGGTCCGACCACCACTTTGAACCTATTAACCATTCCGGCAAATGGTCCTCTGCCGGTTCACACAAATCAACCATTACTAAACTATCCAAGAAAAAGGGTTCATCTTAAACAACAAAAAACCACTTCTTCTGCATGCAAATTGTGAATATGTTTACCCGGGTTGTGGGAAGATCTTGGGGGATTCCCTAAGGTAGAAAGGAACAATATCTTTGGCAGCATAGAGAGGCCTTTGATTTTCATTGGGGGCCGTAAGCATGGCGGTGACTAAGCCGCCGGTACTTGTTCCGGCGATCGTATCAAAGTAATCAACCAGCCTTGCATCCGGACCGTCGAGTTGCTGCACCATTTATCCAACAGCTTTAGTTTTTAAAGGGTATGATCATGAGGAAATGATAATTAAAATTAAAAGTCATGAATAATTTGCATTTCTGATTATACCTGAAGGAAACCTTCCAAGCATTCAAGAATGACACCAGGAATGATTCCTCTGATTCCACCTCCATCAATAGCAAGGATGGTAATGAGATTCCCAGTGTTTGGAGGAAGATTATTTCCTAAATCACCACCACTACTTGAATCTGCCATTATTAATTTGCAACAACAAAACAAAGAAGTAACTGTAAGGCAAACCCTTTTTAAAAAACTTGTGGTGAAACGCTAGCTTGCTGCTGGCGGCTGACCAAAAACTCTGAAAAATATTGATTAATTTCAATGGTTTAATCCGACTATAATAATTTAGTTGAATACCTTTCCCACAAGAAATGGACGTGGATTTTCCATTATTCTTTAAGTTAGATTCATCCCAGAAGGAACTGACTCGATCAATTATCAAACATGTAGGTACCATATCCGAAAATTTTACTATTCGTTTACTTTATTTTTTTTTTTTGTTGAAGTCTCATCGAACAAGTGGCACGTTTTTTGAGTTATCTTGGAATGTATAAATATGCTTTTTAATATGTACACGTTAAATCCCTGAAAAATACTCATCATATAGCCATACAAAATGACTTCTCTTTGGAAAGTAAATGCTACTTTCTTTTTTGCATTTCGCCATTAGTTTTTGTCATTTGTAATATCGAACTCACAATATTCTTCTTTTTTTTCCCCCTTTTGTGTGTGTTCCTTTTCTCAAGTAATTGATATATAAGTCCATTAATTCCAATTCCTTCTCGATAACTCCAAAAGGAAAATCTCAAATTGGATGCCTTCCCTTCTATCAGGTTGATTATAAGGACTTAACAAATGGCTTCTATATTCCAGGAAACTGTGCGTCTAATAATTATAGAGAAAGTATCCGGAACTCAAGAAATAATCACGATCCCTGCTTCCGGAAAAAACAAAAATCCAATCTTTTCGCAGATATCTCAAACTAATTAGATTTTGAGGGTTACTTTCTACTCGCTAGTAATTCATTCTGTTTGAATTTTTTAAAATAAAAGATTAAAAAAAAAATAACCAAACATATTGGGAGTATATTTACATGTGAAAACCAAACATGTTGCTGAGCTTAATTTGAAAGTGATATTAGGAGTATTAAATTACAAACTTAAAATCAAGTCCAACATCCTATGTCCCAGCTTGAAGTATACACAACTCATATGCTAAGTCATAAACGAAATCAATAAGAAAATGCCTTAACTTGATCACTGCAACTTGAAAATTTACTTGAATTAAAAAAATCCCAATCCTGGGTAGGTGAAAACGATATCAATATTATCTTTTGCAAATTTTCGTACATGAACGTCTGAAAACTGTACACGGAAAGACCGTATAAATTAAGACTTTTTCTACCACATTTGCATTAAATAGATCCAATGTGGCACATCTTGTAGATGAAATTACAGACGTGAAATGCATAACTCAGTCGTGGTCGAAAATTTTAATATATGTAACCAGATATATATATTAAATAAATATATGTTTCCTGAGGAATAGATGAATTAGCCATGATAAATTCCACACTTGGAAAAAAGTCTTATTCGCTTATCAACTTATTAATTGTCTACAGGAATGAGTCATTGTCTTTTTAAGTGAAAGGAAAAACAATCAATAATGCTCTCCCTTGGCCACGAATCTAATCAACTTCAATGGTTCGAAAAATAAGAATATAACGTTACGGGACTCGCATGTTCGTCGACTGCGACTCTGCATAACTTTTTTTTTTTTTTTTTAACGACGTATACACTACATTTTCTCGGTTTTAAAATAAAAACTATGTTTAATGTACATTTTTTCCGGGTACAATTTCTATTAATTTAGTTCAAATAATAAAAATCTACTTTTGAATCAAGGAAAAAAAATAATTTTCTTCCTTTTAATTATTTTCTCCAAGTTGGCTCACCTAATTGGAAAATTACATGAGAAAGATAATGACGGGGTATGGATATGGAATAAAGAGAGAACCATTCTATATGCTTACGTGGAGATATTTCCCATAGTTTAAAAGTATTTTAGGAGTTATTGCCCATTTAATTGGTGTAGAAAGTGACGAGTTTTTTCTGTATACAATCAAATTTCATTTTACATTTCATGCCTGGTGCCTTCAAAGTTCAAACAATAAAGAATAATATACTTTAATACGTATAACCTATCAACAAAAGTCTTAAGTTTTATCAATATAGTTAAACGAAACAGTATGGTAATAGCATGAGCATTTTTGCATCATTCTGGCTGCTGCGTGAGTGATTGGTTCACCTTAGATTAGGCCGTACGATTTACGTCTTGTTGGGAAATTATTATATTAACAAAACCAAAAATGACCGCAATTTATATGGTAAACCATGTTCACAATGGGAGAATGAGCCTTTTCATCCCAAGATTTGAGCCACACCATCTAAAACATCCCAAAGTTTAAAAGCATGTCATTTTCATCTCAAACTTTTTAAAAATATGTAATATTAGGACATTTGTTAATTTTTTCAAGTTATTAACGGCGATATTTCATTTAGTTCTTTTCCCTTATTTTTTTTTAGTCAAAAAAGTTTCATGCTTGCGTTTGATAAATTTGGTCCATATCAAGCAAAAACGTTGCATGCCACTGCATCAATTATAACACGAATTTTTATAATGATGCTACGTATTTAAAAAATTAAATAAAATAAGGCTTACTTTCTAATTAGGACACACACAACCTCTTATGATTGTTATCAATCTAGAAGGTGAATCTTGGATTTTTTTTTTTCTTTTTCTAAGCAAGGGAAGAATGGATGATGTGAAGACCAAATTAGGTTTAGCTATTTTCTTATAAGATGGGAGTTAGTGGAACGTGTTAAATGATTAAAAGAATTGAGGGAGGAGAAACAGAATAGAGTACCACCACTAATTAATTAACTGGAGTTAAAAATTTAACGAATATCCTAATGTAACATGTTTTTAAAAAGTTTGGGATGTAAATGGCATGTTCTTAGACTTTGGGATGTTTTGGATGGTGTGGCCCAAACTTTGGGATGAAAAGACCCATTTTCCCTGTTCACAATATATGGTGGACTTGTTTGAGTAATTGTATTACACACTTAAAAAAAAAAAGAGTTAAATTTCACTTAATTTTTATTATAACAACCACCCGCATCAATATACTTGATTTTTTTCCTCCTTTATTCTTCTCTTTATCCTGTAGCTAATCGCATGTAAAAAATCAAAACTGAAAATCTAGTATTTTATCAACACTATTTGGTGGTTCACTTAACTTTTTATCTATGAAATAAACCATAAATTGAAAAGTAAATGCAAACTATCTTTCATTCATCTTAAAAAAAATATTAAGAATTGCAAGATTGAGTTTTGATTTGAATCAAATCTTTTTGATATCGTTTATGATGAACGATGATACTTTAGAAGTCTATCAAGAAGGTGGCAGTGACGAGGACTCAAATGATAACGCTAACAATGAATTCACCCAAAATTGCAGTTTTCACAGCTAAACCAACAACGATGATCTGATACAACTTCAATTGATACGCATTGAAGATGATGTATTGTCTCCAACAACTTCAATTAACATCCGTTCATGAAGATGAACGTCCTCTACATGATTCTGGTAATGTTGAGTTTATGTTTAAAAAGTTAGAAAATAATAGAGTTTTCGATGAACATATAGTTAAGTGTTAATGAATAATTTTTAATAAAACCATGAATACGCTTGTCTATATTATTTATTCATGAACTTTTTTTTTAAATGGGTTTGAACATTTTATCATATTAAACACTCAAGTCTGGTTCGTGTTCTTATTTTATTGCATGTATGAATATGATGCAAATTTATCATGAATATAACATTTGCGATGTATGAATATGACTATATTTATTACAAACATAATATGGTCATGAACATATTACAAATTGTGAATGTAATTACGAACATTATTAAAATTTTCATGAATATAGCATAATATGATCATGAATATTATTTTATTATTACTACAATGTGCTATTAGTTATGAACTTTAGATTTATATACCATGAAAACGCATTTAGTATTCATGAATTTTTTTTCGTTATATAAGTTTGAACATCTTAGGAGAAAAATAGTATTATTTTATTATGAATATATGAATTTTGTGCATATTTATCATGAATATTACATTTGCGATGTATGAATGTTATATAGTATTTTATTATAATGTATAGACATTGTGCATATTTGTTACAAATATTGTAAATTAGTTTCATGATTATTGACATCATTAATCATGATACTTATAAATATTGTCGTGAATTTTTATTGTATGCAACACAGAATTATTATTTATATTATTTGTTTATAGTATATTACGTATTTTTGTGTGGTAGTGTGTAATTTTATTTTTATTATATGACTGTAGTGTAATTGAATTTGTTTCTTGTTAGAATTGTATTTTTTGTTACTGTAAAATTTGGATACAATTTGAATTGTAGTTTGTTTGGATTTGATTAGTTATAAATTTTAAATAAATAAAAAGAATCTGATTGAATAAATAAGGGAGAAATAAAAACTAAAATTGTAGGAGCGCATGTAAATAATAAACCAGTTCACCAAACATTGTGAATTGTGTTGTACGATATAATTACTCAAAAATGATGATATCGTCAGTTGAAGAAAGATCTCAATTTTGACACTAATTAGTCAAACTGAACCCGCCAAAAAGAAACTCAAATCAAATAAAAATATTTGTTTATCTTAAAATGATTGTCTAAATTAAATTTTCATTTTATTGTATTTTGAATTAAAGATAAAAATTCAAATTGTATAATTATTTTGAAACTGAATAAGTATCAACAAAGAGAAGAATCCACTTCTAAGTTCTTACTTAGGAGGGATAAATTTCTACCCTTCAACCGCAATCGGAAGTCGAAACGATTAATCTACATCTTAACCATGAAATTAACAACCTTCACCCTGTAAGGCTGCTAAGCCTGCTATTGTGTCCAAGATGTGTGAACTCTGCCAACTCCCACGTTTGCTGAGATGGCCCAAAGGTTTGCATTCTTAAGCAAGTTTATAGTGTAACCCATCGGTTCCAGCTCAAGCCTACAAGAGAAAATTTGGGCTTTGTTTGTAGGTTCCTAGTTTTGAATGTACAGGCCATTTCTCGTAGCTTCGTCTTGCATTTGGGTCAAAAGAGATTGACCAGTCTTCAATGAGTTCAATCTTTGCCTTTTATTTAAACACCACAAATATGCATAATATTATACTACAATCTAGTCGAGTTTTTTACCCAAAAAAACTCAAGAAACAACAAATTGTTGAAGAACAGAGAAGTGGCCAAAAATATGATTATTGGGTTTGCTCCGATATGAGTTTTGAAAATGCATAATTATCTGATTTTCGACCATTTCCCTGTTCCTAGATTATTATTGACCACTTTTTTTTTTGGAAAAATTAATTAACTCAAGCACCCTAATCTCTTCAACCAGCGAAAGATATATGTCTCATTTACTTACTAATAACTACACATATTGAGTGTAACTACACAAAGTTACGTAACATATGTATATATTTAAAGACAAGATTTGATTTGTACCCAAAAAAAAAAAAGACAAGATTTGATGTTAAAACTAAAGGAGCAAGATCTTATGGCATTTGTACATATTCTAAAAAGGATACACTTACACTAGTCCAAGTGC